TGTAATGCCACACACACGTTTAGTTTACAATAGGACTCATCAAAGATACAAGGATTATAGTTTGTAATGCCACACACACGTTTCGTTTACAATAGGACTCATCAAAGATACACCGATTATAGTTTGTAATGCCACACACGTGTTTCGTTTACTATAGGACTCATCAAAGATACACGGATTATAGTTTGTAATGCCACACACGTGTTTCGTTTACTATAGGACTCATCAAAGATACAAGGATTATAGTTTGTAATGCCACACACACGTTTCGTTTACTATAAGACTCATCAAAGATACAAGGATTATAGTTTGTAATGCCACACACACGTTTCGTTTACAATAGGACTCATCAAAGATACACCGATTATAGTTTGTAATGCCACACACGCGTTTCGTTTACTATAGGACTCATCAAAGATACAAGGATTATAGTTTGTAATGCCACACACGCGTTTCGTTTACTATAAGACTCATCAAAGATACAAGGATTATAGTTTGTAATGCCACACACGTGTTTCGTTTACTATAGGACTCATCAAAGATACACGGATTATAGTTTGTAATGCCACACACACGTTTCGTTTACAATAGGACTCATCAAAGATACACCGATTATAGTTTGTAATGCCACACACGTGTTTCGTTTACTATAGGACTCATCAAAGATACACGGATTATAGTTTGTAATGCCACACACACGTTTCGTTTACTATAGGACTCATCAAAGATACACGGATTATAGTTTGTAATGCCACACACACGTTTCGTTTACTATAGGACTCATCAAAGATACAAGGATTATAGTGTGTAATGCCACACACACGTTTAGTTTACTATAGGACTCATCAAAGATACAAGGATTATAGTTTGTAATGCCACACACACGTTTAGTTTACAATAGGACTCATCAAAGATACAAGGATTATAGTTTGTAATGCCACACACACGTTTCGTTTACAATAGGACTCATCAAAGATACAATGATTATAGTTTGTAATGCCACACACGTGTTTCGTTTACTATAGGACTCATCAAAGATACAAGGATTATAGTTTGTAATGCCACACACACGTTTAGTTTACAATAGGACTCATCAAAGATACAAGGATTATAGTTTGTAATGCCACACACACGTTTCGTTTACTATAGGACTCATCAAAGATACAAGGATTATAGTTTGTAATGCCACACACGTGTTTCGTTTACTATAGGACTCATCAAAGATACAAGGATTATAGTTTGTAATGCCACACACACGTTTCGTTTACAATAGGACTCATCAAAGATACACCGATTATAGTTTGTAATGCCACACACACGTTTCGTTTACTATAGGATTCATCAAAGATACAAGGATTATAGTTTGTAATGCCACACACGTTTCGTTTACAATAGGACTCATCAAAGATACAAGGATTATAGTTTGTAATGCCACACACGCGTTTCGTTTACAATAGGACTCATCAAAGATACAATGATTATAGTTTGTAATGCCACACACACGTTTCGTTTACAATAGGACTCATCAAAGATACAAGGATTATAGTTTGTAATGCCACACACACGTTTCGTTTACTATAGGACTCATCAAAGATACAAGGATTATAGTTTGTAATGCCACACACACGTTTCGTTTACAATAGGACTCATCAAAGATACAAGGATTATAGTTTGTAATGCCACACACACGTTTCGTTTACTATAGGACTCATCAAAGATACAAGGATTATAGTTTGTAATGCCACACACACGTTTCGTTTACTATAGGACTCATCAAAGATACAAGGATTATAGTTTGTAATGCCACACACGTGTTTCGTTTACTATAAGACTCATCAAAGATACACCGATTATAGTTTGTAATGCCACACACGCGTTTCGTTTACTATAGGACTCATCAAAGATACAAGGATTATAGTTTGTAATGCCACACACGTGTTTCGTTTACTATAAGACTCATCAAAGATACACCGATTATAGTTTGTAATGCCACACACGCGTTTCGTTTACTATAGGACTCATCAAAGATACACGGATTATAGTTTGTAATGCCACACACGCGATTAGTTTACTATAAAACTCATCAGTGGCAATGTAGTAAAACAAAACAAAAAGTAAAATAACAAAAATACCGAACTCAAAGGAAAATTCAAATCGGAAAATCCCTTAACAAATGGCAAAATCAAAAGCTCAAACACATCAAACGAATGGAAAACAACTGTCATATTCCTGACTTGGTACAGGCATTTTCTTATGTAGAAAATGGTGGATTTAACCTGATTTTATGGCTATCTATGACAGTCAAGTGTAAAATCCAAATGAAACACTAAGTTGAGGAGCACTGCAGGCCAAAAGATCCGAAGTTACAAATATTTAAGACAGAGAGACAATACTATGGCAGAGAGAAACAAGATCAATATTATGAATAGTCCTGCATCGTAAGGGACTGGTAAAAAGCCTTGAGCGCAATCAGGTTTGGAAAAGTTAGAATTTCGTCCAATCAATCAAAATATGAATATAGTAGGTTCCATGGTAATAAAGCAAGAGAGATGCCATCAACAATAAATTTAAGAAAGACTTGGCATATGCATACATATGTTTCATTGTTATTTTTGGAAACCATTTGTTCTACTCTATGCGTTTGAAATAGACAGAATAAAGGAGTCGATCGCTAACTCCTTACCTCGGAGACACAGGAAAAAAATTTGAACAGACAAAAAAGTCCACAAAACGCTATAAAGAAAACCTAAGATTGTAAGGCGAATCTCAACAAAATTAGGGTTGAAATCAGCTTCTCTGGAAATGTAACTTTTGCAGTCTTAACCAATTAAATTAATCAATGTGCAACCTGTTGTTCCAATTCCCTCAGGTAAAATTGATATTGCATGGTTTTAGCATATTCCTCCAAAGTTCTCTTTTGGAAAATTGTTCTTCCAACAGACTGTTACATTTTTGTCTTTCATAAATTTAAATGCCAACATATTCTATTCTTCAGAAATATTCTTATTGCATTGTATCAATTTTATGCAAAGGAGCCACTAGTTTATATTTTATCTGGTAGAATTTCTTGGTCCATCTTTTCAAACTTTTACCTTCTGTTTCAAGAAAATTACAAATTTGGATAACTGACTAGTGTTCATTGAAAGTTAAAAATTAGTTGAAACTCTGGATTTTTTCAAACCAATGCAAAGACAGCATATGCCAGGTACTCTTTTGATTTTTTTGGCTTTAATTGATCTACAACATTGTAATTGAGTAACCTTCTAATTTGACACTAGCACCACTGGTTAATCATATGAGGATGAAACGCATGTCTGACATACTTAACTATTAACATATCTTTTATGACTTTATAAGGAGAAAAGGATAATTCAGGACTTCTCACATTTTTTTTCTTAAATACATGAAAATGGGTAACATGGAATTAAATGCATAATCCAAACTTAAACTGTTTGTAAACTCACAAATGAATTACCAAGCCCCAAATTACTATTGTTATATATTAATAAATGTCTATAAAAATTTACAAAAAAGAACACAAAAAAAAACAGTTTAAGGGTTATCTTTACCTATAGGCAAAAATTGCCGTGTTTTCATCACAAAATATACTCTTGTACAGCGTGTGCTTCTGGATAAGTTTTTAGGCCTGGCAGTAACTAGATAATTGAATTTCAAATGCAATTTTTTGGGCGTTTCAGAAAATTGAAAATTTTTGTTCCAGTCGAAGGTGCTAAAATAAACTAAGTTGAGTGATGTTTAAGAAGTTCCCCTTATGTAATAATTGTTGTAAAAACAGTATTAATCGACATTGACAATACAGGGACAATTGATATCTGAGTATTTGAGTGGATCCTCAAGGTTAATCAAGGTATTTCTTTCACAGGCTTGAAAAAAGTCTACAGCAAAATTTAGTCTGAAAAACATGAATTTAAAATTTGTTTATCCAGTTCCTGCCATGCCTCAAAACTTTTCCAGATGCACATATTTTGTGGTGAAAACATGGCCATTTTTGCCTAAAGGTAAAGATAAACCTTTAAGTCTTCTAGGAGACAGGGTCTCCTTTAACATGTAAGACCAGCATATTTTATGTACATCCTAATGTAGTTTCTAAATCTCTGTAAATTTTCATCAAAATCTGCCTAGCTGTTTAGTTGAAGTCAAGCATTAGAAAGACTATTACCACATAATTTTTATACAATATTTAAGTTGGTAAGTTATAACATGTGGAAGTGGGAATAAATTTCGTTAAGCACATCCTCACGTAGTGTTCTACAACTGTGAAAATACACTCATCATAGATAACAGAATAACGATTTTGCACGTCAGACGCAAGTTTAGTCTACACAAGACTCATCAGTGACCCTTGAATCAAAAAAGGTTAAAACAGCCAAAAAAAGTACGAAGTTGAAGAGTATTGAGAACTCAAAATTCCAAAAGGTTTGGCCAAATATAGCTAAGATAATCTATTCCTGTGGTAGAAAATTCTTTGTATTTCGAAAATTTCAAAGTTTTGTAAACAGTTAATTTATAATTATGACTACATCAATGATAATTCATGTCAACACAGAAATTTCTTCAATATCCGTAAAGGCATTTAAAGGGAGTAGTGCTTTCAACATATAATCACATGCTTCAATTATCAATAATGTAAATTTGTTTCAACATGTTGGACAGGTTTAATATTCATTTGTGTTCTACAGCTGTTTTAAGTTTCATCAATATCTGTGAAGCTGTTTTGGAGTTGCCCCTTATGAGACTATTACCACTTATTGCAATGTTGAAGTAGACTCGATAATCTCCCAATAATGGACCAGAACTATGTTTGCACATGGCTTACAAGGCACATGGTCAGACAGATGAATGAACTGAAAGATTAACTTCAACACACACCCCTCCCCTTCCAAAACAAAAAACAAAAACAAAAAACAAAAATAATAAGAAATAAATTTTAGTTTTCAGTGTGTATAATAACATTAAAGAAGGAAAAACAGATAAGAAACTAAGATACATATTTGTTTTATTTGAAATTTGTTGATTAAATCACAGACACTGACATAATAAATACATGATTCTACATTAATGATCATGGTCTATATTAATGATCACAATTTACATTTAATGATTATGTACAGAAATGTTATATTAATGATTATATGTACAATTTTCAACCTTTAATCTGCTTATTGCAGTATACATTAACAAAACATGGTACCCTGGAATGCAAAACAAACAATATTAACAACATCTCAATGAAAACTATTTCTGTGCAACCCATGTAATCAATGGAAAGTGGCTTTTCCTGATTTTTTTCTAAACAGAAAAGCACTTCAGACGCATGAGATTTTATAGTGTTGTTTTCAATTTTTTCACCTCTGCTTTAAAATTTTGTCATGTGGAAATATTCATCCATTTTGTTCTATAAACTTTTCTAATTTCTATTTTATTTTTATCAAATGAATTTTGCTGTCTCTTAGGGAACAAATGACATCAGGACAAATATAGATGATATCACCACACAAGTGCAATATCAAAAGTTTGGAATGTTCGTGCTTCTTTTGAAAAAAATCACACAATTTCAAAACATAATTTGACAACCATCAAACCTGTTAAAACAAAAACCACTTTCCAAGGTGAATGGGTCACATAATACATTATACTTTAAAATGGGAGGAGCTAACAAATAACAGCACTTCAAAATGGGAGGAGCTTAAAGCTTATAGAATTTACAATATCAATGTGATAAAAAAATATTTTAAAAACTTAAAAGTTTAAATAGAAATTAATAATTCCTATAGATGAAATGACAGAAAATTGAATCTGATTCCACTAGAATGCTGGGTCATAGAACACACAAGTTATTTAAGTTTTTAAACCCTCACCAACCTGTCAATGTCTGTTGTCTAACAACAGTTACTATAAATATCTAAAATACTAATATAAAAGGTTCAAAATTAAATAAATAATTTGATACAATGTAAGAGATGGGGTAAAAGGAAACAAGGATAATCTCACATTTGTACCCATCTTAATTGCATGTTGAACCATTATTTAAACTATTTAAATATAGTGAAAACTTCTTTTTTGTTCTAGTTTCATCCATGCAAACTTTCCTTCTTTCAAGAATCTTTTATTGTTCTTTGATAGTATTTCAATTTGTGAATAAAACAGAAAAACATAAAATCCAGGATGCCTGTCTAATTGGAAAACAGATTTTGACAGGAAGTAGATCCTTTTCCACAGGTTTCAATCTATATCGTATAGGGGTACAAATGTGAGGAAAAGTATGTTTTCATTACCTGGATCCTAATTTTAATTAACTGTTTTGAAACATTGAAAAAAAGAAGCATTTCTAATCATCACAAGAGTGCACACGTTGAAATGTCTCGCCTTCTTTACTAATCATTTATATTATGTTGATAGTCCTAAATATAAAGCTTTATTACAACTGTCACATAAACTTAACATTAACCAAGTAAACTAAACATTGACCAATGAACCATGAAAATGAGGTTAAGGTCAGATGAACCATGCTAGGCAGGCATGTACAGCTAACAATTCTTCCATACAACAAATATAGTTGACCTATTGTTTATAGTTTAAGAAAAACAGACCAAAACACATAAACTTAACACTGAGCAATGAACCTTGAAAATGAGGTCAAGGTCAAATAAAACCTGCCTGACTGACATATAGATCATAAAATATTTCCATACACCAAATATAGTTGAACTATTGCATATAGTATTAGAAAAAAAGACAAAATCTCAAAAACTTAACTTTAACCACTGATCCATGAAAATGAGGTCAAGGTCAGATGACACCTGCCAGCTAGACATGTACACCTTACAATCATTCCATACACCAAATATAGTAGACCTATTGCATACAGTATAAGAAAAACAGACCAAAACACAAAAACTAAACACTGAGCAATGCACCTTGAAAATGAGGTCAAGGTCAAATAAAACCTGCCTGACTGACATATAGATCATAAAATATTTCCATACACCAAATATAGTTGAACTATTACATATAGTATTAGAAAAAAAGACCAAAACTCAAAAACTTAACTTTGACCACTGAACCATGAAAATGAGGTCAAGGTCAGATGACACCTGCCAGCTAGACATGTACACCTTACAATCATTCCATACACCAAATATAGTAGACCTATTGCATACAGTATAAGAAAAACAGACCAAAACACAAAAACTTAACTATAACCACTGAACCATGAAAATGAGGTCAAGGTCAGATGACACCTGCCAGTTGGACATGTACACCTTACAGTCCTTCCATACACCGAATATACTTGACCTATTGCTTATAGTATCTGAGATATGGACTTGACCACCAAAACTTAACCTTGTTCACTGATCCATAAAATGAGGTCGAGGTCAAGTGAAAACTGTCTGACGGGCATGAGGACCTTGCAAGGTACGCACATACCAAATATAGTTATCCTATTACTTATAATAAGAGAGAATTTAACATTACAAAAAATCTTAACTTTTTTTTCAAGTAGTCACTGAACCATGAAAATGAGGTCAAGGACATTGGACATGTGACTGACCGAAACTTCCTAACATGAGGCATCCATATACAAAGTATGAAGCATCCAGATCTTCCACCTTCTAAAATATAAAGCTTTTAAGAAGTTAGATAACGCCGCCGCCGCCACCGGATCACTATCCCTATGTCGAGCTTTCTGCGACAACAGTCGCAGGCTCGACAATAAAATCCTAACTTTTACCTTACCTAACAACACATCAAATGTTTCAGACAGACTAAAATGATGTACTAAATGTTAAAATTAAACCAACACAACATTCATCATGTGCTATTTCTTTAAGCACAAATCACTTTGAAATAAGCCCTGAATTATGCTGATCAAACACTCTGAACACAATGGCAATGTATCTTCCATGAATTAATACACTCAAAGAATATCATGATGACCACTGAAAGATTAATATGCCTGTTTGTAAAGGTGTTGTTACAAAGACAAAACAAGTGATTTTGTTAATACAACTTTGAAACATGTATAGTGTGTGCTCAGGTTTCTAACACAAAAACTATTGTTTGCCATAATTACAAAGGATTTCTCTCACTTGCGTTTAGAAAAACGTATTTACTTATAAAGATATTTTTATTTTGTGATATTTTTTTTTTTTATTAGAGCTAAGTATTACATTTTTTGTGTAATAATGTTTGAATCATAACCAGTACAAAATTGTTCAAAAGTTTACCTTTCCTCAAAACAGAATATCAAATCATATTATTTAGTATATGAGCCATGTCGGATATAAATTGTCCATATGCAAGAGTACATATACATGTACATGTGTAAGACATTGGTAAATTTTAAAACATTCAAATACGAAATAAAAGATGAATTTTGGTCTGTTTTGTGGGGTTCTTATAACAACTCAAATTACAGTTACAGACTTTTCATAAGAGATTTTTATAACCAGAAATAGGTTAGCAGATGTATTGATATTTATTTACATAAGGTTGATTTCTATACGACCCAGCTCATATATAATTTATCATTTTTTTTTCCAGCACTTTTTTTTCCAAACCAATATAACATTAGTTCAAATATTTTCTCATTCATTTCAGAGGTTTCTCAACAAGAACCTTAACATATTTTTTATTTATTTATCAGACTTATCTAACATACATTAAATGCAATTATTATGGATATTGAAACATTTCATTATTTTTTCACTAATTGAAGTGGTCTTCCTTTGAGCAGAAACAGATATAATATTAAGTTATATTTGTTAATATGCTTCCTGAGAAACCTCTGTGTTATTGATTGATCTAATGATTAAAACATAACTTCCTTAACATACAACATTAAACACTGATGTACTAATACCACCATCAAAGTATCATGAACACAGTCAATAAAATGCAAAATAACAAAGTATCACAGATTTCAAATCTCTTATATTGTAGAGAAAAAAGAATATTAAAATGACTCATATCAACAATTTTCTAACACTATTCCAGCATATTTGTTTTTTATTTCTCCGCCAGATTGCACAATAAAGTCTAAAATGACAATATTGATCGAAACACAATCTGAGACTGAAATGTTTAGCAGAAAAAGGATAATTGGATCATTTTTTTGTACATAAAAAAAAATTTATCAGATTTTCTTTAAATTCCTGTAATCAATTCATGTATGTTCAGTCATTTCCAAACAATTCAGTATTAAATATTTCACACAGGTAAATACAGCTATCAAACATGCTGAAAAGGGACTACTAGTAGCTAGTTTTCTGCTGACTGCATGTCATGTCTTTATTTAGATTGTTCCTTTCTGTACTGATATTTCAGTTTTTCCTTTCTGTACTGATATTTCAGTTGTTCCTTTCTGTACTGATATTTCAGTTTTTCCTTTCTGTACTGATATTTCAGTTTTTCCTTTCTGTACTGATGTTTCAGTTTTTCCTTTCTGTACTGATATTTCAGTTTTTCCTTTCTGTACTGATATTTCAGTTTTTCCTTTCTGTACTGATATTTCAGTTTTTCCTTTCTGTACTGATATTTCAGTTTTTCCTTTCTGTACTGATATTTCAGTTTTTCCTTTCTGTACTGATATTTCAGTTTTTCCTTTCTGTACTGATGTTTCAGTTTTTCCTTTCTGTACTGATATTTCAGTTTTTCCTTTCTGTACTGATATTTCAGTTTTTCCTTTCTGTACTGATATTTCAGTTTTTCCTTTCTGTACTATTGTTTCAACAACAAAAAAAACTGAGTCAAAAATATTTGAATTCCCTTTGCCAAGTTCTTTTCTTGCTTTTGATTGCACAAACTTTACCATTTTCATTCCCAAAAAATAAAATAATAGCAATCGTAAGCAATTCTACTTTTAGTTGAGGAGTGTTCATTGTATCTCTAAAAGACAAAACTGCAGAAAATATTTTTCTTTATGGCATAGCTTTTATATTGGGTTTCACTAATACCAGCATAAAATTATCAATGACCATATTTGATAAAACTAAATTATTGCTTTGAAGAGCTTTCTGATTGAGTTCTAATATCTTGTTACATGTACATGATCCAGAAAACCTTATCATCCATAATCTCTGAAATTGTTTCCTCAAAGAAGCTAGCTGCTCACATGTAGTTTTTATTTGGGCCAATGTTGAAGGATGTTTCAATGTTGTTGGCCTTCTTATTTTTTAGATTGGTACCAAAATAACAAGTTTTCAAGTGGCATATTCATAAAATAGAACTCAGTTGGCTACATGGTTTCATATAAGTGGCCATCTTAAACATTAGTAAATAAATCACAAATTCAGGTCAGGACATCCAAACTGAGTTTGTTCGATTTGGACAATGGCATTTTGAAAAGAAGTTGTCACCTTTCAATTTCTACACTGGACGAAAAAAGGCCTGAATTGTTTTTATTATTGCATTCTTTATATATTGAACTCTGTTTATAATATGCATATAATAACTTTTAATGGTAGGCACACAAAATGCATATCATCTTTAGCTTGTCATAAATAAATTAAGTAAATATTATCCAAAAGAGGGGGAACAGCCATCAAACATTACATTTTAAGCAACTGTTTACATATCATGAAAAGAAGTGTGAATGAAATTCACTCATAGGGTATTTAATTTTAAGGCTCTCATGGGTAGCAAAAATCCACAGAAGCCAAGAAATCTTACTTGACACTTAATATACAATTCTAATGAAATCAGTCTAAAAATTAGTGTGCACTTTAATTCTTTGTCAATAAAATACCTCCCCCTTTCTACAAAACTAACATGTAAAGAGTCTTCCCAATATCAATACCTTTTCACTCTTGAAGCAGGGCAATCTTATATAATAATGTATATCACTAATAAAAGCATACGACTGTTACACAAATAACAAGCATTACATAACAATGGAACAATATCATGATACATCATTGACGACAATGACACTCGGAGAGTTATGTTTTTGCAGCACCATCTGACTAGAGTCTGACATGTAGGTCACAAACACTGATAGTCTATTGAGGTTAAATATCCCTGGTTTACTGAAGCCTGCTGACAATCTGACAGGTTTCTGTTGATTAGGTTCTATTTTCAGTTGTGTCATAGTCTGGCTCACCCAATTAAAACAGCTACTGTGACTAGGGTAGGCTTGGTTTGTGAAAAGATTTTCTGGTCGGGAATTAAGTCTGAAAAAAATTAATATTTGGACCAATTAATAACTCAGAAGTTGCAAGTTACAAGATTGTGCAAAAATTCAGGTAATGAAATATTTTTCAATCTTTTATAACAGTTTATGAAGTGTAACAATTCAATATATGACTGTGAAAAGTACAGTAGAACCTTGAATTCTGATACTAATAACTATCATGCAATTCCCCTTAATAACAGATATGGATATATATATCAATCATAGTGAAGTCATATTTAACCTGCTTCACTTTTTAAGATTTCTGATAGAAATTTGGTCCATTTAGACAGGCATGCAGAGCAGACAGTAGATATTTACCTGTCAGGTGATTTACTGGTGTCTATTAAGACCTCCACAGGAACTTTGGAACAGTTGTGTAACATCACAACCACAGGTACAATACACACTCTTAAAAATATAAAAGTTTTCTCATGTACATACGATATTGATGGCTTTCATTGAAATAGCATGATACAATACATTGTGTAACATAACACTGTCAATTGTGAATTCTAGTGCAGGACATAGTCAAACAAAAACAATCAAACATTTGTATACACACTAATTAAATGTGATTATATCCTGAAGTTTATTTTGCATTTTTAGGGGGGGTTGTAATGGTCATGTGGAAATGTGGACAACAGAATATTTTTAGTGAAGGAACATTTCATGCAAATGCAAACTGAATTTCCAGCATTCCTTTTGCATGACAATAAAACAATGACAAATAAATAAGATGCTGTCAAAATAACAGAAATTTAGGTATTCCTCACAAAGTGTCATTGTTAAAGCAATCCCTGGCCAAAACACCTGTACAACACATAAAGTTTGAAATTGTCTAAAATCAAACTTATCTCCTATTTCTTAATTAGAAACAACATGTGAAATTTTGAAAAGAATTAATCAAAAAGTTTGGAAGTTATCATATTACTTACCTTGATGACCTGAAATTGTGTGTTATGTTACTTTTATGGCTAAAACTAATATCCACCAGTTGTGTAGTTACTTCGGAGTCTAATTTTTTGTTTTCATCTTCATCTTCTTCAGTTTTTATAAACTTTAAAGGTGGTGGGTCAGGTTTTATCTACAATCAAAGCAATAACGTAATAATGATCATACAAAAAAACTTATGCCTTAGGTTTAAATCCTCAAACATTGAAACATTTTCAAAAATTTCTGCTGTCCCTTTTTTGCAGGAAATCAGACACTGGTAAGTACTCAGCTACAACTGATGATGAATGGATGGCTGTCAAAACATCCACCAGACAATATTTCAACCATATTTATTGAAAAAAAAATGTGATATGAATATAAACCCTCAACAAGACTGACAATCTGAGCTATTTGTGAATGGGAATTTATACTTTAATTTGTATAATTCATAATAAAATATTGTTTACAGTAAGTGATTTTTTCAAAGGACTAGCTCACAAGGTAAGCTAGCAAGACAGGTCATTTCACGACAAAAAATAACTGAAAGTTTTAAAATCGTACTAAAAGTAGATATCAAATGGATTTTACAGACCAAAAATAAATATTATTCATTACACTATGGGTTCATTTATGTTGTTGTTACCAAATTTTGTGTTTTTTCAGGATACTTAATATCATGGTTTCATCATTTGTGCCTATCAAAGTAACAAAAAATTTGCATTTCGTCTATCATTTAATTTTGTGGTTTTCCTCTATCAACGAAATCCTGAATTGGTATCTAAAAGTTGACTCCACAGTAGATCAGCTCCTGAAAAACATGCTACTCTAGGTAGTATATCATGAAAATAGATTGAATATATTCAGGGGAAACATGGTCTCATGATGCAAAAAAAACACATGTCATTAATCTAGAGGAAGATAAAAGAGCATTCTCATAGATATATGAAAATGCAAACTGAGAACTGATAGCAAATTCTAGGAAATTATTTATAATTATATAATATATAAATATTATGTAGTACAGACATTCTCAATTAAATTGTTACAAATTTTATAAGCCTTCAAAAATGTCAAAGTAATTAGCTTTAATTGTACACTTTAATAACCAATCAGTAACCTGAGGATTAGGCACAATAAAAGGTCCCAGAAATTGCAAATATGGTAAATTCTTCAATCCTTTCAAAATATAGTTTATTGTGTTAATACATGCAAAATGATGTTCTAATCTGGTCAATTTAGTACAGAAAGGTTACTATCCAGTGGCAGATCTAGGGGGTTGGAAACCCCTTTTTTTGACGATCAATGCTTTTGAATGGGGACATATGGTTGGAACCCATCCTTTATCCTGGGTTGGAACTCCCCCTCCCCCCTTTAAAAATGGCTGGATCTGTCCCTGCTATGACATCATTAAACATGTCATAACTTGCCGTTTTTTTCTTAAAGCCTAGAAGTATAAAGGTCTAGTATACATGAACAATTTTTTAATCATATCATTAATGAAATCTGACAATAATTTCTAGAGAACATCTGTCAGTATTTTGGGAAAATGATAATTAATTTTGTTAACTTAAATTTAAGTTATACAAGAATATCACTGGTTTACATTATTGGAAGTGTAAATAAAGAAAAAGTATATCCAATTCCACACTCAGTTGATGTCAATACATATCAAAATGGGAATAAGCAGAGTATATAAAAAGAACACATTTCTCCATACAGAAAGTCCATACAAATGTCATTCCATTATACAGATGCTAAACAAATGAGACATTCTTTATCACAGAACATATGCATTACCTACCAGAGTTAATCCCTGACAAAATGTGTCTGAATCATCCTAATCAGAGGTAAAATTATTAAAATAAGCTGCACTATTGTATATTTGATACAACATGTAGTTTCCTAATTCTTTTCAAATCTATGATTTCTTAACACTAAATATGCTTTTCAGGGAGACAGTACATTTTAGGCATTATTCAACCATGTAAATTTAAAAAAAATTCGTAAGGGTTCCGCGGAACCCAGTGTCTCGCCTACTTTTTCTGTTAATCGCAGGCTCAACAAAAATGAGGAAGTAAATCAATAAAAATATTCCTCTTGATACTATCTTTTGATTGTAAGAAGCTTCTGTCCAAGTTTGGTAAAAATCCAGGATAGTTTATGAATCTAATAAATGTTTAAAATCTTTAACTGCAGACTGAATGTAATGTTAACTGGAAGAAAACAAAATTTCCTTCTAGATACTAGCATTTGATTATAAACAAGCTTCTGTCCAAGTTTGGTACAAATCCAAAATAGTATAAGAAAGTTATTAAAATTTTAAAAACTTTAACCACAGAGTGAATGTGTTGTTTCCTGGCAGAAAATCTAAGTCCATTTAAAAGTAAAATACGGAAAAAATGGATTTATTTTTTTACAAAATTTCCTTCTAGAAACTAGCTTTTGATCATAAACACGCTTCTGTCCAAGTTTGGTACAAATCCAAAATAGTATAAGAAAGTTATTAAAATTTTAAAAACTTTAACCACAGAGTGAATGTGTTGTTTCCTGACAGAAAATCTAAGTCCATTTAAAAGTAAAATAAGGAAAAAATAGATTTTTTTTTTTTACAAAATTTACTTCTGGATACTATCTCATGATCATAAACAAGCTTCTGTCCAAGTTTGGTAGAAACCCAGGATAGTTTAAGAAAGTTATTAAAATTTTAAAAACTTTAAACACAGAGTGAATGTAATATTTCCCGGCAGAAAAACTAAGTCCATTTATAAGTAAAATACGGAAAAAATGGAATTTTATTTTTACAAAATTTACTTCTGGATACTATCTTATGATCATAAACAAGCTTCTGTCCAAGTTTGGTAGAAATCCAGGATAGTTTAAGAAAGTTATTAAAATTTGAAAAACTTTAACCACAGAGTGAATTATTGTGGACGCCGCCGCTGACGACGACGGAATGTAGGATCGCTATGTCTCGCTTTTTCGACTAAAGTCGAAGGCTCGACAAAAATCAAAAATTGAATGATACCATTACTTATCACATTTATTAATCTTTATAATAAAGACTTGGAAAATGTGAATTTTAGCCAAGCATTGATGACACAATCAAACTGAAGATTTTTTCAATTTTCATCAATTTTCATCAAACACATGCTAATTTTGTGATATTTTGGCTAAATCAACATAGAGCTCAAGCATGGCCAAAATAAATATTCTACACTCAAAATATCTGAGAAAAACCCATATTACTCAAGTAGAGCGGTATGATAAATCATAAAAAAAACAAAGGTCAAACAAAATTTTAGAAAATAGCAATAACTTAAATTGATCATTTATCTATATATTGTTTTTCACAACATATTTAATTGAATGCGTACAAAGACCAATGCAATTTAGTTATAATATTAGATTATCTTTTATTACTGATAAGAGCATCAATTCTTATTTTAGCCAATCAGATTATAGAACAGGTAATTTATCATATTTTAACCAATCAGATTATAGAACAGGTAATACATCTTATTCTAACCAATCAGATTATAGAATACGTAACAAAAAGAATGACTTATGACCTGTTCAACCAGTTTGAGTCCTTATCTACATTAGCTAATGAAGAATCCAGGGTTCCCTTAATACATGTAGTAATGCCCAAATAGATTAGATATAAAACTAACTGGATAATAATGGAATATTTGACACTTACTTTTATTGGATAAGAAGTAAATATAGTGTCAATCTTTTCTATATGTACATGGTGCTGTCCCACTCTTATCTGTACCTCACCAGTATCATTAATCACAAATGCCTGCAAATAAATCCAGTCTCTATACTGAACAAATACACATCTGAATAGGTTCTTGAAATAAAGAGCTGCACTATGAGTACATGATACACCCTTCGCATTTTCAACAAATAAAGTTTCATAACTTATCAATGTCATATCAGAAATATCTAAAATAAAAAACTAAAAGGAACTTATTTTAATACATATGAACCAGTCACTAACGTTTCATGAAATTTAGTTAAAGCATTTTTGAGTTATTGTCCAAAAACTGGAATTCACCCCTTTTTTTGTGAATAAAATCCCATTACTCGGAAACGTAAATCTAAAATTAAAAAAAAATGAAAGGGAGCTTACATCAATAGATATAAACAATTCACCAAAGTTTCATGAAATTTAGTTAAAGCATTTTTGAGTTACTGTCTTACAAGTTGAGGACGGACGGACAGACAACAGTATGCCATAATACGTCCCGTAAATGGGCGCATAAAAACTAACAATTATTAAAAGCTAAAATATGAAGGGCAGATAAAAACAAAACGATCTTTCCAAAAACATTTTTTAGGCCATAATAGCGACTGTGAATGTTAATTTTTAGTAAATTTGTAATGTTAGGTTATTGTCTCATTGATGTATAACTAAAATCTCTTTTCATAAATATTTGATTGGCAGTCTCTCTTTTTGAACTATAACATCACTCCTTGCAACAGCATGATCTAACAACTGTTGCGCCCAAATCAACTTATAACAGCTAAAACAATGATGTTTTTTTTTGCTTAGCTGTGGAAAACATTTCATGCAAAACGAGGATGGAACATACAAAGAATAAGCAGAACACCAAAAAAATGATTGACTGAGAATACTGGTAAAAAATTTGAACTATGAATGATACCCTCCACTCTGGAATACTATTAGTATATTGAAGCAAGTCAATTTGATAACCTTGTCCATGGACCTGGATTATATTCCTTTACACACATCATCATGTAGCATTCTCTAACTGTATCTACTCAAGTCATTTAGAAGGAGTTGTACTTACAATGGAAAGTGGCATGCTTTCAACATGTGCCTGGGACTTAACATCTCAAAACAGACAAACCATGACTGTGTTCATACACCCAAAACAAACACAGATCCTTTTTAGCATAGGTCTTACTGCCAGACAAGAATATCTATACCTTTTTTATATGTGAGGTCATAAAAAGCTTACCAGAATGTGTTAACAATTATAGCTTACCTTCCATATTATTACTAGTGTTAATCCTATCTGTATTGCACATTTCAGATCACTAAATTCCCCAGCAGTGTTACCTAGAGTATCATCAGAGGATAATTTGGCCTTGGAGCAGAAGTAGAAGTCAGCACAAGGTGTTAATGAGCTACAAATCTGTAAAAAAGTTATGAAAACCATGTGCACTATTCTTCCAATAATACAGCAAAGCTTAATTTTAATAAATCATTTATATGTCAATGTAGCAATCATCCAATTTTTACAAACACACTAAAAAGAAAACAGCTTTACTTTTATATGGGTCAAACTTCAAAAAGAGGCATAAAGTTTTTGTAACAACTGCATTTTTTGCTGGCCTCTTTTGTTTTATGAATTTTCAAAAGGAATAACATAATTTTAATTATTTTTAATTTCTGAAAAGATTAATTCTTATTCTATAACTAATGATAATTTTATAACTTAATGACACTGGTCATTTCACAAAATTGCTGCTATTACGAGTGACAAAATTAGTTAATTGTTTCTGCAAGACCTGACATAGATTTTAATAGACAAAATGAACTTTGCTTTAATATTCAAAACAACTACAACCAGAATAGAATTTTTTTCTGGAGTTTTTCAAGGCTTAATTCAATTATTTTTATCTCAAATATGATTCATATCTTAATCTTTGTCTATTTTAAAATGACTGACAGCAAAACACATATCAAATAGAATATTAAATTTTTTTGTCAATAACCGTTAACCTTTTGAATGATTCCTATGAAATTAGCTTTACTTGTAGCATGTCATACAAACAATCATTAAGAAACATGATGTATAGGAATGATATCTTAACATTTTAATACAAGCTGCAATTCTAAAAACACTTGAAGCAATTTATACATTACAAAATGCCACTATCTAATAAATTATTATTTACCTATTGATTGTCGATGGAAACATCACTAATTAATTATTATTTACCTGTTGATTGTCAATGGAAACATCACTAATTAATTATTACTTACCTGTTGATTGTCAAAGGAAACATCACTAATTAATTATTACTTACCTGTTGATTGTCATTGGAAACATCATTAATTAATTATTACTTACCTGTTGATTGTCAATGGAAACATCACTAATTAATTATTATTTACCTGTTGATTGTCAATGGAAACATCACTAATTAAGTATTACTTACCTGTTGATTGTCAAAGGAAACATCACTAATTAATTATTACTTACCTGTTGATTGTCAATGGAAACATCATTAATTAATTATTACTTACCTGTTGATTGTCAATGGAAACATCACTAATCAATTATTATTTACCTGTTGATTGTCAAAGGAAACATCACTAAATAATACACAGTCTTTCCCTTTTATTGATTCTGCAAACAAAAATATTTATATAAATTCAGTTTGCAACTATAAAAGATTGTTTCTATTTAGCCAACATAAAATAGCTGATCCAAATATCACATGGATTTGGAAAGGGAATCCAGTGGGCTCCCCTTAAGTTGGCAAAAAATATGTACACCCTGTAATTTTTTATAAGTTTAAAAATTTTACGCACAAATACCATTCAAAGAAAATAATTCTGTGCTACATCCCATTTAAATTGAATTCCATCTATGATAAGTAAAAACTAGATGTGTCTGAATGACATGAATGCCCCTACCCCCACCCAAAAAAATCTTAAAGCCATTTTTAGGAGTGGAAATTATTCACTGAAGGGTTGATAAAATCAACAGAATGGAAAGAAACATAAACTCAATCTGTAACTCATCATAGTAGACTCACAGACTAAAAATCAGCTCAATATGTGAAGGTGTTTAGAGAAATAGTCCCTATAACTGTTATTTTCACAAAATTTTCAAAGTCCATAGCACGTTATTTCGGCAAGAAACAGCGAAGCAGAACCAAACATCAACTCAATCTGTAACTCATCATAGTAGACGCACATACTAAAAATCAGCTCAATATGTGAAGGTGTTTAGAAAAATAGTCCCTATAACTGTTATTTTCACAAAATTTTCAAAGTCCAAAGCACGTTATTTCGGCAAGAAACAGCGAAGCAGAACCAAACATCAACTCAATCTGTAACTCATCATAGTAGACGCACATACTAAAAATCAGCTCAATATGTGAAGGGGTTTAGAAAAACGTCCGTACAACTGTTCGTCGGGGAATGACAAGACTAGGGGATAACTATATGGCCCCAACCACTTAGTGGCAGTACCATAAAAATCTTTTGTCAAATTTATAAACATCAAATTGAATTGTTCCTGATCATCTCTCATAATGATCATCTCTCATAATGATCATTTTTAAAGAGCCAGTCAGTATTTTCATAAATGGAAATAATAAATTTTTGTAAATATGATTTTTTCTGATTCTAATTGACACTCACCTATATTGGTAGGACTTCTTATTGCTTTTAAACATATTTGCATAGTTTCTCTACTGCCCACTTGTATTTCTACAAAAGAAAAATAATATATTTGTTTAAATATAATTGTTATACCACCAGTGAGCTTGTGATATTGTTATGATATGACAAATTTGTTGACATCTTCACATAGTTTTTTTCACAACTGTAGGTCTAAATTTAGTCTTGAGTTAATTACCTGATTTTTGTTGTTGTGAACTGAGGTGTTGTATTGTCCATTTATCACTGGCACAGGAGACTTGGTTAATTTGTACTTCTTTAACATGGGCTCTTTGTGCTTGGACCTGTTGTAAAATCGAAAATTTTATTTAAAAAAAATGTTTTATAAATAAGTATTACAACCAAGGGTCCAGAAACAGTCATATTTGCCAGTCATGACCGAAACTGAAAGTTATTTATCCTAGACAGCAGATTTGGATTTAGGTCAAAAATATTTTACAGTAATAATTTCGGTCATTTCATTAAGATCAGGGTTTTTCAATCCCCATTTTGCACATATTTTTGTTTTGAAATGTTTTCCAGTAATAAAACTGCCACTCCAGTATAGTATGATTATCATAAAGGCCGTCCTATAACCATATTAATGCCTCCGGGTATATTGGCTGCTCATCACTTTTTACCTGTGTGTTCTTCACACCTGACAGAAGTGATCAAGCTCAGAAAATTATTTTGAAGAAATTCTATTCCATTACATCTAACTTCATCATTTAAGAACTTTTCAGTAAAGACCATCGCCAATTCTGATTTAAAAATCAAAACTTTTATGAAATGTATGCTGATAAAAGTAATTTTTCACAAGTCAAATATATATATAAAATCTACTATTTAATATGAATGCGTGAAATTGTCTTTTCCAAATTAGAAACTTAATCATAAAATTCAAAATGATTTCATTCTTAATTAAACAAGTGAAACAATTGTCAGTGATATTCACACACTTTTACAGGTAATAAAATTTAACATGTTGATGATGTTTAAATATAATGATTTCCTGCCATTTGAGAAACAGACTGATCCTGTAAATGAATCCAGAATCAACCATAATTTAGTATTGACTTAAAACTTCCAGTTCTTATTTGTCTTCAAAATGGAAAGAAGGGTTGGAGATTCCTGAGAAATCTACTGTTTTGAGTCATTAAAGTCATTTCAATTTTAAACTTTTGCATTCCATCAATCGTTCATGAACATTTTTAGAAAAACGATCTGAAACTTCATGTAATAAATATAATGAAACCAGTCATTACAAGTTCATTGTTGCCATGAATCTAGTGTGAATAATTTAGAAAGTTTGAAAAAAAGACCTGATACCTTTCACCTAAAACAAAATTGCTACTTTGCATGAGTATGTAAATTCCATTGACACTTGGACTTGGAAAATAAACAGACAAAGTATAATTTGCCCTGCTACTTCACCTAAATGGGCAGTAAAGTTATATTCATAACAAATATGCTTTCTGTTGGCCTGAAGAAAAATATATTTAAAAAATGTACTGTTGTGACTGTATAACTAACCTGGCTCAAGTTTTCCAATTCACAGAAAACAACACAGGAACCAGTTGTGCCCCCTGTCTGTGATGAGTTATTTCCCCTTCTGGCTACAGCTCTCACACTGAGGGATTCTAAAGTGTTTATCACAGCAGTATGTCTTAACAGTCTGTATCTGAAACATTTACAAGCAATTCTTTTATACCTATAAAAATGGTTTATCTTTGGTAAATCAGATTGGCCAGTTCTTTGCTCTTCATTGTATGATACTATTATTGAGTACTTTACCCTTCTCTGATTTTGCCATTTGGACAACAAGGGAAAAGGTAATGATGCTTGATAATGCCATTCAAAAAGGTCACAATATTGGCTTATCAATGAAAAGGGCATCAGTTTTTTCTATGATTGGATAACAATAACTAATAAATGGAGACTGTGTCCAAGGGACACAGATGATGCCCCTGCTTACATTTAACACTATAAAGGGACAGAACTCAAGGACAGTAAAAGTGACGCCACCCAAATTTAAACTTGATCTGAGTTTTGTGATAATAAGCATTGTGTATAAGTTTTATAACATTTGGTTGAGGCAAACTAAAGTTAGAGAACAGACACCAATTTTGGGACGTACGTACGGACGACAAGGGTAAAACTTAAATAATGCCCACTCTGATGACAGCGGGGGCATAAAAAAGCATCTGCACCCTATAGAAATAACATATCTGCAAAAAAATCAGCATACCAATATTTCAAACATTTTTATATTTAACCATCTGAAATAAAAAATATCATAAATTTAGATATAAAACCTATTAATAACAATAACAAGTAACTATTTTGGAATGCATTCAGTAAATTTCAGTTGTTCTACTGTTACTGAAATATGAAGCTTACCTTGGCTTTGGTGTTGAATGAATAGGTTCATAATAAAACATAAAATGTGTTTCGTGCACTCCTCCTATATCATTCCCCCGTATCCAGGCTGGCACAGATAATGTATTTTTTGGTTGTAACACACCATTTGGAAGAGCAATGTCCACGACACATGACTTATTGTTTGTCATTTTGGAATTAAATTCACAAGATGAGCTTTTATTTGGCACTTCAGACGACTCTTGATACACAGTTGGGAATTTGGGTATTTCACCGTGAGATCCTAACGTAAAAAATTCTGGAGTGGATGATCCTACTTTGAGTTTGTGTAAAGGACTAGTACCAATGTTTGTAAACTGTAACATGATGGCATGTACCTCACCACACAATAACGTCTGTGGGAAATTACAAAACGACACTTGTAATTGTGGCATTTCCTGTTGAATAACTAAATCTAATCTACGATCAGGTCCATACATTTTACTGGCCTTTTCCTCTTTTGAATTATTTAACCGAGGTCCTTGAACTTCAAGTTTTTGTTTACCACGAACATATAAAGTATTGGAAGACTTGGGTCCTTCAGTCTGTGCTGTTCCTAAATGGAATGCAAGTCCAACTATCCTAAGTTCTCCAGTCTGGTGAGGGACAAGCACCAACTGCACCTAAAAAATTATATGTCTGGGTAACTGGTTATTGGACAATTAATTTTTTTTTTTCTTAAGTAATCAAATAATCAAAAATATCATTCTACATGTAAATAACGTGGTAAATCTTGGTATTTAAAAATGATTCAATTGATGCTATGTGACCAAGTAATCACCATACATTTTGGGATCATACATTTAAATGAATACCATGGATTTATCATTATTTTTTGGGGTACTAATATTTGTTGATTTTCATGAAAGACAAGCATCAAGTACCAGTTATTTCAATGGTAAGGGCAACCTTAAACTTGCCCTTAAGATTTTCACTCATCAACTTGTTTTATTGTTATTCAGATGTACAATAAATAAATTACACATCAATCATTTTTCAAACTGCTCAGTTTTACAATATTCTGTAATCTTTGTCAAAGGCAAGAGCAACTTAAATTTAATCTTAAAATATAAGTACTTCCCTCTCTGGTTTTGGCATTTCCACTGTGCAGTATTTAAAGTATTACCCGATTACTAATCTTATTTTCAAACTGCACATCTTATTGTCTCATGTGCTGTTACTTTACTCTTTGACAGTCATCAAGACTGTTTTCAATACAAAAGCTATCAAATTTGCCTTTTCAAACAGTCAAAACCAGAGTTGGCAAAAAAAAATGTGCAAACTTCTATTGAGTAGATACCGGTATATAAATCATTTTCTTCATCTTCGAACTTAAAAAAATAATCCATTTAATACGACCGGCAGCATTCTGTCCAATATTTTTTTTAAAGGTGAAAACTTTAGTGGGTATAGAAGTGCTAAATACATGTAGCATGACACAGGTCAAAATAAACTTGAGCAGTAGTGTTTGAATCACTATAAAATTACTTACTGGTAACTGTTCATTAGCTTGGAGAGTAACACTATCTATTACTTGAGTGTAGATGATTTCATTAGCTAAGGTGTTCTGAAAAGAAACACAATGGTCAAGAAAGACTTGAAATTTTCCACAAGCTATATAAACGTATTATGCAGGTGAAAAAGCTTGCTTCCATTACATCACTATAATTTACCAGATGTTCATCTGTCAGAGTAATACTGGTTTAAAAAAATGCTCATACAATAAAGATCAAATTGATCCCTAACAAGGAAATTACCACTTCTCTAATTTTGGTGGTAATGTTGTGATTTGATCAACAGTGAAATCCAAGAAAATTGATACCCATGATAAAATTTCATCTATTTAAGACTTTTTCAATTAATCTTACATGTAATATGAAGGTATCCAAATTGCACCTATTTTTTTAGGTTTGTTTCACCTTCATTTATCTAAGAAACAGACAAAATTTTTCATATTGTGTTTATTTAGTTTTTGTATCCCTATTTACTCTATAATACAACAAATTTAATTTTAAATCCATTTTGACTCCTAGAAATCAAGATTATGTAATGAGGTATATCTTAATGGTTCACATGCTTAACTATACATCCATTAAAGTCGAACAACTGATGTTTTGTTTATTTCTTCACATTTTTATATCAATTTGACAAGAATCCATGCTTATAATGCATTTTGTATGAAATGGATGCCTGTGACACATTTTAATTGCTAATTTTCAAAAGTTGACTTTTTGCAGACATAAATACAAACGATAAAAATATAAATTTTGTTTCTTAGAAAACCTTTGGACCTTTTATGAAAAATGGGTGCAAATTGAGTACTTTGTGCAATTTAGGTATGGGACTTTTCCCCTTCTTTATTCCTACTTTTATAAATCAAATCATTAGAGCCCTTTCAAAAAGATTTATTCAATGAGGTCTGTTACAATAATTGAAGCTGACCATAATATTACCTTAACATTAGAAAGAACTTCATTGGTAATCAGCTGTGGTTTCTCTGTTCCTAGTAATGATGGTAAGAATGTCCACAATAGGGACACCTCCGTCAACATTAACATCACTTTCAATGGGTTAACTAGCTGTGCTTCAACAACTATTGATTCTGAAAACAAACTTGTCCAATATATTACAAGTATTAAATTGGTAAGTTTTTTGAGGGGTTTTGGGAGGGGATGTTTGCACATCTAATATGACTAACACACCTAATATGACTAACACATCTCATACGACCAATTTGGAACTTAAACATAAAACCTCAAAATCTGATTGGCCATTCCACATTAATTTTCATAAATATATCAAATAGTAAATTATGTTGTTAACAGCATGCAGAATTCAAAATGACTTTTCTATGTAAACTTGGCCTGACCCATGGGTTAGCAATGAATTATTATGTCTGTGGGTGAATGCCAGTAACTATTATTCCAAGCAAGAAAATGAGAAAGATATTAAAATTTGTCCTAAGGTTATGTGTTCTAACTGTGTACCATGTATATCAAAAGGAACAGCTAAGACAAAATATTTATAAACTTTTGCACAAATTCTTGCAAGTTAGAGTTATTTTTAAATTCAACAGAATGCAGAGTTTTCATGCTAAAAATAATCTTGAACATTATGCAAAGTACATATAGTTGATTAAATGACTTCTTTAGATGCAATAAACGAAACTAATAGTCCATAGGATTTTATCTTTGAATTTTATGAATTGTCTTGATATGTAAACAAACAATTTCACTAGTTTATACAAGCATTCTGAGAGTATTGCATGGCAATACATAGTCCCCTACCGGTTAAAAATTAATTGTACTGGAACAAAATGCTAATTTGATCTATAGCTTGTCATGGTGTAAACTATATAACAAATATCAAGTCAATATCTTCAAGCATGACGAAAAAAAGTGCGGAAAACTGATAATTTAAGTGAATTTTCTAAGTTCAAGGACCATAACTCTGCAAAAAATCATCAAACTGAAACAAAATTCAAACTTGGTCTGTACCTTGTCATGATAAAACTATAAACCAATTATCAAATCAATATCTTCAAGCATGACGAAAAAAGTGCGGAAAACTGATTATTTGAGTGAATATTTTAAGTCCAAGGACCATAACTCTGCACAAAATCATCAGACTGGAACAAAATTCGAACTTGATCTGTAACTTGTCATGATAAAACAATGTACCAATTATTAAATCAATATCTTCAAGAATGACGAAAAAAGTGCAGAAAACTTGAATATTTGAGTGAATTTTCCAAGTCCAAGGACCATAACTCTGCACAAAATTATCAGACCGGAACAAAATTCAAACTTGATCTGTAACTTGTCATGATAAAACAATATACCAAATATCAAATCAATATCTTCAAGCATGAAGAAAAAAAGTGTGGAAAACTGATTTGCCGGACTGACAGAAGGACAGACAGACGGACAGACAGACAGACGGACAGAGTGCAAACCTAAAGTCCCCTTCGACTTCGTCGGTAGGGGACTAATAAAATTCACCATTAGTTTTCATGAATTTTCAGGACAACATTCATTTCTAAATTATTATATATAATTCACAATCAAACATACCACATGATGTAATTCCTTTGCTTTAATAAAAATATAAATCAACTCACCACCTACAAAACCAACTGGATTATATTTGTTGTTGGTTTTATTTGTGAAGACTTGCAGTGTTGGTCGGAATGTTGGTGGAAGGAATCCTTTATTAGCGGAGGACACTAGCCCCTCTTCCATCTGAGTCCATCGTGGGTGGTTACATTCACTGTGATCGAACCATACACCTGACACAGCTACTTTGTCAGATACTGGAAAATAATTAATAATAAATGATATAACTACTTTCTCTGGTTCTAAAATAAAAATATCGTGGAATGTTAACGGTGTTTTCAGTAAAATTGAATATTTTCTCGTTTTAGCTATTATTGGATTTTTATCTAGATATAACTGATATTTTATCATTTTTGTGAAGAAGTGTTACAAAGCACTTTTTAGAATTTCATAGCTTGCAACAAATTTCATGCAAAAGTTTGGTTGGCCTTTTATCAAGGATATGGTATATCAATTCATGACACAACATCCATGAAAAAAATATCAAATTCTAGCTGATATTGTCAAGTTGATTCTGTTGAGCACAAACAATGTATTAATAGACAAAGCAGTTGAAATTTTACCTTGACTAGGTTGAGGCCTACTGCCTAATAATACTTTAGTTTCGTTGGAGTCAACAATTGGTAATGGTAATTCAGGTAATGGTCCAGAATGTACACCCAGTTCTCCTGCTTCTTGGGTAAGTAATTGCTGAAATGTATCAATGCGTTAAGTAATAAATAAATTAAACAAAATAAAATAAACATTCTTTAGGTTTATTTCATTATTTTCATTATAATTTATTCATAAAACGTATCTAATATATAATGTTTTTATTGGCATAATTTTTAATTAAATTGTACCACACAGAGCTATTTCTCACTTGTGTGTCCTAATCAAACACCAGTTGACACCTCTAATGCCAGAAACTGCATGCAAAAGTCTTGCTTCCGCAACTTTTCATCGCAATGGATACAAAAACAAGAGTAAAACAAAATAATTACTAACGACAGACATGTCAAACTTGTTAAAGAGTAATTATTTTAATAATGAAAATATCTAACATATAATGACCAACCTTGTATACAAAAAGGTACTCTCTGAAGAAGGCTCCTTGCTGACCAGCAGTCTGCTTACTGTTTTCGGTCAGTAAGTGCTTGAAAGCAGCAGTAGCATTCTCCAAATGTTTTAAGTTGAAAGACTGTCTACCAAGAGTAAAATTAATGTGATCCTGAAATATGAAAAAACTACAATGAATAAAAACATTCAAATCTAGAAATTCTGGACCAAATAGCGTGCTAATATAAAAAAATTTACAAGATGTTGACTTTACTTTTATCTAACTTCTAAATTATTTTTTTTTTGCACAGAATTTAAAATCAAAGAGATTTCCCAATGATTTATCTTTAAATTTGTGATACTGTGGATTCATTAATGTTCATGACTATTTTTTAGGATAGAGGAAAGATTTTTTTTTTTATGGAGACTTGATTTCATGGCTTTAACAAATTTTGCATACAGGTCTGTAGAAAATTTGAATTTCTGTTAAAACATTTCAAATTCAAGACCTAACAATTACCTGTGAAACCTACAGTACTCAAAACACAAAAGAAACAGAAGAATTATATTAATTCCTGATATGTAAAATTTTAGGTCTTTTTCTCACCTCAGCTAATGCCCATCCTTTTCCTTTGTAAACTTGTAATGCTTGGGAATATGACCGTAAGGAATGTTTACGCTGAAAAAAAGAGTAATTTAAATTCTAAGTTCATACCAGAGAGTTCCATCTTCACACCTTTTTTTCAGTTTTGGATTGAGTTTGTATTCTGTTTATTCTCCAAACTCACCATATGGACATGGTTATAACAAATCATTCTTAAATAAATTAAACTGAAGTACAGATTGGAGCTTATTTTTTATTAATGCTGCTGACATGAAAAATGAAATTTTCATAAATGCACTTCCATATATGTCTCTAAATGACTCTCTAGATAACTAGCATATCAAATTTGAGATAAAAGACCTTACAGTACGTTACCCATCAATTTGTATTTTTCAAGTTCAAAATCATAAAAAAAGATGAGAGGCCCATCATCATCTCTTATTATTTCAATTCATTACTGACAGGTAATGTTCCAGGATCAATTTACTGCTACAATACTCTATCAGCAACAATTTGCATGCAACTTTGTATAACAATTTTTAATTTCTCTTACCTGTCCAGCTTTACTAAACCGGTGACCAGCTAATATCATGTGGAATGAATACTTTCTGACTTTGGGAACTTCCATGTTAATGTAACAATGAGCAGCTTGTTCTAGCAGTAAGGCACTTCTCAAGTCTGAATCCTGCAAAATTAATGTAATTTTTTTTTAAGTCTACAAGAAATATGATTGATAATAAGACTGTTTATTGTTCTGTAAGAATAAGAATGAAATGCAAATTGAACAAATCATTGATTGTTCAGATCTGATAATTGGCTGAAAATGTCACATATTAAAAAAAAACAGTCCCTAAGCTGAGTAACTAAGTAATTTGAACCTGAAAAGTGGAAAAGGGGATAAAAATATGGTTAAAAAATATTGTTAAGTTTATATAAAAAAAATCACTTAACTGTATTACTCATTTTCATATTTCACAACAATAAATCATATACTGTAGATACATTTATTTTGTTCAGTACATTTTTTCTCAAATGAAAAAAATAATTGTATTTTCATGGATTCTTGATGTGGTGATTTTAACAAATTCTGCAAACAAGACTATAGAAAATTGGTAAGTTTGGGGAATATCTAAATTGATGGTTCAACTATAAATACAAATTTTTAAATAAAATGCTTCGCTGGGCGCAGCTTGATACGACCACAGAGGTCGAACCCTGAACAGTTGGGGCAAGTATGGACACAACATTCAAGCTTGATACAGCTCTGAATTTGGATTGTGATTAAATATTTGACACAGCATAGGTTTCTGACACAGAAAGAATGTGGTCTAAGAACTTCAATTTTTTTAATTTACCTATTATGGTCCAATGCCCAAAATCAAAATACATGGTTAGATTCAGCATATCAAAGAACCCCATATATTCAATTTTTGTTGAAATCAAACAAAGTTTAATTTTGGACCCCAACTTGGACAAACTTGAAAACTGGTCCCATAATCAAAAATCTAAACACATGTTTAGATTCAGCATATCAAAGTACCCCAAGAATTCAATTTTTGTTAAAATCAAACTAAGTTTAATTTTGGACCCTTTGGACCTTAATGTAGACCAATTTAAAAAACGGGACCCAAAATTAAAAATCTAAAAACACGGTTAGATTTGGCATATCAAAGAACCCCAATAATTCAATTTTTGATGAAATCAAACAAAGTTTAATTTTGGACCCTTTTGACCTCAATATGAACCAATTTGATAGCAGGCCCACAAAATAAAAAATCTAAATACATGGTAAGATTCAGCATATCAAAGAACCCCATATATTCAATTTTTGTTGAAATCAAACAAAGTTTAATTTTGGACCCCAATTTGGACCAACTTGAAAACTGGGCCAAAAATCTAAAATCTAAATACATGTTTAGATTCAGCACATCAAAGAACCCCATATATTCAATTTTTGTTGAAATCAAACAAAGTTTAATTTTGGACCCCAACTTTGACCAACTTGAAAACTGGTCCCATAATCAAAAATCTAAACACATGTTTAGATTCAGCATATCAAAGAACCCCAAAAATTCAATTTTTGTTAAAATCAAACTAAGTTTAATTTTGGACCCTTTGGACCTTAATGTAGACCAATTTAAAAAACGGGACCCAAAATTAAAAATCTAAATACACGGTTAGATTTGGCATATCAAAGAACCCCAATAATTAAATTTTTGATGAAATCAAACAAAGTTTAATTTTGGACCCTTTTGACCTCAATATGAACCAATTTGATAGCAGGCCCACAAAATAAAAAATCTAAATACATGGTAAGATTCAGCATATCAAAGAACCCCATATATTCAATTTTTGTTGAAATCAAACAAAGTTTAATTTTGGACCCCAATTTGGACCAACTTGAAAACTGGGACAAAAATCTAAAATCTAAATACATGTTTAGATTCAGCATATCAAAGAACCCCATATATTCAATTTTTGTTGAAATCAAACAAAGTTTAATTTTGGACCCCAACTTGGACCAACTTGAAAACTGGGCCCATAATCAAAAATCTAAACACATGTTTAGATTCAGCATATCAAAGAACCCCAAGAATTCAATTTTTGTTAAAATCAAACTAAGTTTAATTTTGGACCCTTTGGACCTTAATGTAGACCAATTTAAAAACGGGACCCAAAATTAAAAATCTAAATACACGGTTAGATTTGGCATATCAAAGAACCCCAATAATTCAATTTTTGATGAAATCAAACAAAGTTTAATTTTGGACCCTTTTGCCCTCAATATGAACCAATTTGATAGCGGGTCCACAAATAAAAAATCTAAATACATGGTTAGATTCAGCATATCAAAGAACCCCAAGAATCCAATTTTTGATGAAATCAAACAAAGTTTAATTTTGGACCCTTTTGACCTCAATGTGGACAAAGTTGATAATGGGGCCCAAAAATCAAAAATCTAAATACATGGTTAGATTCAGCATATCAAAGAACCCCATATATTCAATTTTTGTTGAAATCAAACAAAGTTTAATTTTGGACCCCGATTTGGACCAACTTGAAAACTGGGCCCATAATCAAAAATCTAAATACATGTTTAGATTCAGCATATCAAAGAACCCTAAAAATTCAATTTTTGTTAAAATCAAACTAAGTTTAATTTTGGACCCTTTTGACCTTAATGTAGACCAATTTGAAAACGGAACCAAAAATTAAGAATCTAAATACACGGTTAGATTCGGCATATCAAAGAACCCCAATAATTCAATTTTTGATGAAATCAGACAAAGTTAAATTTTGGACCCTTTGGACCTCAATGTGGACCAATTTAAAAACGGGGCCGAAAATCCAAAAACTTAATACTTGGTTAGATTCAGCATATTGAGAACCCCAAGAATTCAAGAATAAAACCCCATTGAAATTGATCAAGAAATAAGCAATTTATACGAAGTATCTTCTTTTGCACAATACTGTGCAATTGAATATTTCTTGCTATTGTGCAATACTGTACAATTGACAATTTCTTGCTATTGCGCAATATTGTGCTATTGGATATTTCTTGCTATTGCGCAATACTGTGCAATTGAAGATTTCATGCTATTGCGCAATACTGTGCAATTGAAGATTTCTTGCAATTGTGCAATACTGTGCAATTGAAAATTTCTTGCTATTGCACAATACTTATTATATAATAATTTACACATCCTGTTTGGTGTGTATCTCCTACCATATCATTATTATTTGCTTTTAAATATTAATCAGAAATAACCAACTTAAAATGGAAAATTAGAAAAAAAAAAAATCCCCCCCCCAAATTTTTTGAACCCCCTTATGATTCATCACCCCCAAACTCAATCCCAGCCTTCCCTTTGTGGTATGGTACCTTGCAGTACAATTTCAGAGAGATCCATACACTTGAACACAAGTTATTGTCTGGAAACTAGAAAAATGCTTATTTTTGGCCCCTTTTTGGCCCCCTATTCCTAAACGTTTCGGGCAATTACCCACAAACTCAATTCCAGCTTTCCCTTTGTGATATGGAACCTTGTAGTACAATTTCAGAAATATCCAAACACTTACACACAAGTTATTGTCATGAAACTAGAAAAATGCTTGTTTTTTGCCCCTTTTTTGGCCCCTAATTCCTAAAATTTTGAGGCAATTACCCCCAAAATCAATTACAGCCTTCCCTTTGTGATATGGAACCTTGTGGTACAATGTCAGAGAGATCCATACACTTACACACAAGTTATTGTCTGGAAGTTACAAAAATGCTTATTTTTGGCCCCTAATTCCTTAACTGTTGGTACCATAACCCCCAAAATCAATCCCAACCTTCCTTTCGTGGTATTGAACCTTATGGTAAAATTTCATGGAGATCCATTCACTTAAACTAAAGTTAGAGTGCGAAAACCAATGTGTCTTCGGACGACGACGACGACGACGACGCCAACGTCATACCAATATACGACCAAAAAATTTTCAATTTTTGCGGTCGTATAAAAATTAGTACCCAACATATAAAAGTGGATTCACAGTGTATGTTAAACAATTTTCCTTCAATTGGACAAATATATTCCATATAAAAAATATTCCCTGCCTGAAACCAGCTGAATTATCTGAGCAAAAGTAAATTAAATACCAAACATGTTTAAATATGTGTAGCTTTAAGATTAAATTTATTTTGGACCAGATGAAAGAAAATTAGCTAACACATCTATTGTTGCAGTTGTAAAGTAAATCATTCATTCAATGTACAAGTTCAGTATTTAAAACAGACAGGACAGGTTAACTTACCTCACTAGTTAACTTTATGAACTGTAAAGCAGCTTCGTGGTACATCCTTCGACTCTTTAAAGCTTCTGTACTAACAACTGTGGCTCTAGCAGCATATAGGGGATTTCTGTAAATAAACAATAAATGTTTGTACTGCTTTCCAGCACTAGCAGAAAAGCAAGGCTTGTAGAGAATTACTTTTCTGTTTGACAGATAGGATAATTTAAGCCTTACATATCTACATACATATGGGTTTTAAATTTTCAGCCACTAAACTGCTTTTAAAGAAACAATAATTGCTTTAGACTGCACAAAATACCAAAATGAGAATGACATAAGCTGTTCTTCATCCACTACCATCATCAAAACAAGCAATGCAGAAGACTTCAATTGTCAAGTATACCCGTGTTTAGTTCAAATGTACTGGAATACATTCTTTCGTTAGGTGAACCGATTCCACAAATAAAAGGTGTTACAGCCAACAATTATATCAAAAGTTTCAAAAAGAAGTGTTGTACATAGGATTGGTTCTATTTACATATGATCTCATTTAAAATATCCAATCTGACATACTTGCAAGTCTGTAGGTAAGTCTGTATGGCACTCTCCATATAATGGAAAGGATACTTTTGTTCTTGTGGATCCATGAACATAGCTATACATGCCATTTCCTGCAAAAATATGTGCATAAAAGAAGGGTTAAGTCAATGATACACCCAAATATTTTAAAATAATTTATATATATTCTTGTCAATTAAAGAACTTGTCCAAAGATTTGTACATATATCTTTTTCGTCCAATTCTGAGTCCCAAGATTCATTAATGTTAGGTATTCTATTGAATAAGTACTGCTTAACTTAGTAATAATTTCATGCATATACAGGACATAAAACAGATCAACAATGCATAAAGTCTAATCTAATAATTTGAAATTAATGGGGCACATAGGGGTATTTGATTCTGAGAAAATAAACACTATACACAGTGAAAATAAAAACCATATATTGGATTCTGAATTATCATGTGATGCTTACTTAAATCAGCCTCTTTAAAACAGTTGACTGACATTTAAAAGTAAATAGAGATAGGCAGTGTCCAACATACCTATAAAACTAGAGGCTCTAAAGAGCCTGTGTCGCTCACCTTGGTCTATATGCATATTAAACAAAGGACACAGATGGATTCATGACAAAATTGTGTTTGTAGATCTTACTTTACTGAACATTCTTGCTCCTTACTATTATCTCTATCTATAATGAATTCTTGCTCCTTACTATTATCTCTATCTATAATGAACTTGGCCCAGTAGTTACAGTGGAAAATATTTACAAAAATTTATGAAAATTGTAAAAAATTGACCATAAAGGGCAATAACTCCTTAAGGGGTCAATTGACAATTTCGGTCATGTTGACTTATTTGTAGATCTTACTTTGCTGTACATTATTGCTGTTTACAGTTTACCTCTATCTATAATAATATTCAAGATAATAACCAAAAGCTGCAAAATTTTCTTAAAATTACCAATTCAAGGGCAGCAACCCAACAACGTGTTGCCTGATTGGTCTGAAAATTTCAGGGCAGATAGATCTTGACCTAATGAACAATTTTATCTAGTCAGATTTGCTATCAATGCTTTGGTTTCAGAGATATTAGCCAAAAACTGCATTTTACCCTATGTACTGTATTTAGCCATGTCAGCCATCTTGGTTCGCAGGCGGGGTCAGCGGACACATTTTTTAAACTAGATACCCTAATGATGATTGTGGACAAGTTTGGTTAAATTTGTCTTAGTAGTTTCAGAGCAGAAGATTTTTGTAAAAGATTACAAAAATTTACGAAAAATGGTTAAAAATTGACTATAAAGGGCCATTACTCCTTAAGGGGTCAACTGACCATTTTGGTCAAGTTGACTTATTTGTAGATCTTACTTTGCTGAACATTATTGCTGTTTACAGTTTATCTCTATCTATAATAATATTCAAGATAATAACCAAAAACGGCAAAATTTCCTTAAAATTACCAATTCAAGGGCAGCAACCCAACAATGGGTTGTCCGATTCATCTGAAAATTTCAGGGCAGATAGATCTTGACCTGATAAACAATTTTACCCCCATGTCAGATTTGCTCTAAATGCTTTGGTATCAGAGATATAAGCCAAAATCTACATTTTACCCCTATGTTCTATTTTTAGCCATGGCGGCCATCTTGGTTGGTTGGCCAGGTCACCGGACACATTTTTTAAACTAGATACCCCAATGATGAGTGTGGCCAAGTTTGGTCAAATTTGGCCCAGTAGTTTCAGAGGAGAAGATTTTTGTAAAAGTATACGGACGACGGACGCAGGACGACGGACGACGGACGCAAAGTGATGAGAAAAGCTCACTTGACCTTTCAGGTCAGGTGAGCTAAAAATTAATGCTGGGGTTCAGGTCCGTAGTTTTACCATCAGTATTCACTACTAAGGTAGAGATAATACAGTTTAATTTCTTTCAGACTAAAGAATAAATAAAATTCAATTTTCTTTGAAACATTTCCACAAATGCAAGAAAGTGTTCTTTTTTCAAACCTACCAAAGCTCCAGCATAATGAAGCCATGCATGGTCATTATTAAAATCTCTCTTTGCCGTATGGTATGTTCTGTAGGCAAAATCATACATCTGGAAAAGGAAGGCTAAATCTGCCAGTCTTCTCATCTGTAGCTCAGGTGCTTCTGTTGTGTATCTTTAAAATCATCAAATATAACACATGTTTATAGCTATTGTTCTTAAAGACTTCAATTAAATTTAACACTCATATATATATAGTGACCAACATAATATGAAAAAGAAGTGGCCAGACACATTATTTTAAATGTATTCACAAATTTTTGCAAATTCTGGATGGTTTACATCTTGACATTTTGCATAGACCCCTGTCTATTATTAAAGACTGTAATGTTGTCCTTCTAGATGTTTTATGATTATTTTTTTCATTGGGTTGCTGTCTCATTGATATATAACCCACATTTTCTTTTATTCATAGTCCATATGATCCGCGTTGAATCTAAAACATTTATCATAGTATTTCCTTTCCCTTTCATATAAATAGAACTTAATATTTTAGAGAGTAGTGGTTGAAAATTCAGCAGATACACATGTACTGTACAAGTATATAATATTAATCTCATTGAAAAAATTTACAGTTACACAAAAAAGACTTGTCAGTTCAGAATCAGAGAAATTAATAGAGGTAGACATGTCTTCCCTTGAGCTGGCATGTTCAACATTAAGCTCAGTGTGTAGGTCTTTAACAAACACAGGTTAATACCAATACCTTTTTATCCTGCATATGTTTGAAAATTGCCCATTAAACACTAACCATATATCCATACATCCTTTATACTTGAGAAACAAATGTTAAAATAACCAAAACTATGTATCGGCTTTCTTAAGTTTTGTTTTTATAAAACTTACACAACAGTAGTGTTCTGATTTGTGGCAGCTTGGTTGACAGGTTTGTTTCCACCAAACCATTTCTTTGTAGCACTAAATAATGACCTGTGGATGCCCTTTCTTGATGTAAGCTGGAATGACATAAAAATAATTAGAGATCACACATTGCCTAAAATACTACCATAGTTTATAAACAAATTAAGACTATGGGATTTCTACTTATATATTTCACAGATCTGTGGCTTAAATGCTTTGACTTGCATATAATATTTCATTTATAAAATATAAACAAGAGGCTGTCAGAGTGACAGCAAACCAGGTTTCTTGCAGAGGTCGAACCCTGAACAGTTAAGCAAGTATGGACACAACATTTAAGCTTAAAACAGCTCTGAATTTGGATTGTTATTGAATATTTGACACAGCTTAGGTTTGTGACACAAAATGAATGTGGTCAAAGAACTGAAAAATTTGAAATTGGACATTTACCTATTATGGTCCAATATCCAAAATCTAAGTACATTGTTAGAATCAACATATCAAAGAACCCCAAGAATTCAATTTTTGATGAAATCAAACAAAAGTTTAATTTAGGACCCTTTGGACCTCAATGTTCACCAATTTGATAAAGGAGCCCAAAATCCAAAATCTCTAAATACATGGTTAGATTCAGCATTTCAAAGAACCCAATAAATTCAATTTTTGTTGAAATCAAACAAAGTTTAATTTTGGACCCTGATTTGGACCAACTTGAAAACTGGGCCCAACAATCCAATATTTAAATACAGTTTAAGTTCAGCATTTGAAAAAACCCTATACATGTTAAATTTATGTTGAAATGAAACACAGTTTTATTTTATCCATATACTTAATTTTATGTTCAAAAGGAAATAACTCCAACTGAATAAATGATATACAAATAGTTCTCTAAAATTAGATATGATGTTATATCTATTTTCAAATTATAATCAATAAAATTAGATATGATGTTATATCTATTTTCAAATTATAATCAATAAAATTAGATATGATTTTACCATATTGTTAGAATCAGCATATCAAAGAACCCCAAGAATTCAATTTTTGATGAAATTAATCAAAATTTTAATTTAGGACCCTTTGGACCTCAATGAGGTATTATCTAATTAATAATGAAAATAAATACAGGCTTAAATTCAGCCTTTCAAAGAACCCTATATATATTCAATTTATGTTGAAATCAAACACATTTTAATTTTGGACCCTGATTTGGACCAACTTGAAAACTGGGCCCAAAATCAGAAATCTAAATACATGTTTATTAACAGACAATATAAGCTTAGTTTTTAAAGGAGTTCACTTCATCAAAAATATATATATATATACATCCCCAAATCAATAACCGATTTTCCTTCGAAAATCCAGTTAAAAATGAAGGACAAAATTGATTTATCTGCAGGACTGATTTCCTGAGATTGGATCATTATATCTTATCAATTATTAATAATATAATATTCAGTGTTTTATGTAAAATACTGGTTGCTCAATCATAATTATTTCAGTACAGGAAAAACAATTTGAACACAAGCTTGAAGTTTTGTGTTAAAAAAATGTTAGAGGAGACTTCACTTCAAAATTTAAAGACCATTGTCCTTAAAACATTTTAAGTGGTATTAATCAGTTATCAAAGAGTGAGATACATACTAATTTAATGGATTTTATTTTGATTCTATTCAAAACTTGTCACATAAATTCTATTTGACATTTTGACATGTATAATGCAAATACAGCTTTGTACAAATGTTTCTGTATAAACATTGGCCCTGAGAATCTTAGGGCTGTTCCAGAACTAATTGTAGGATGCTCTTCTAATATAATTTGAAGGGTGGTAAATATTTTAGAAAGATAGCCTGGACAATTATAGGAAATAATCAATTAAAATTCTATGTATGACTGAGTAAATAAAATGTGCCTTCCAAACCCAAAACATCCCTACATATATTTTTGGAACAGCCATTAGTCTTTTTTATCACAATCACCAACCTGATCATTTAGAATCCTCATATGCTTTTCAGCCCATGGAATCAAAGCTCTAACACAAAATTCATGAATAAATATTTTAAGTCTATCCTGATCACTGGTTGTCAAGCACATTCCGTGTCCTGAAGATGGTTTGTTTTTATCTGATGATTTGTTTTTTGAATAAGAGTAATTGTGACTTGATTCAGGTGATGAAGTGCCATCAGGTGACAGCTGATCATCAATATGATTGGTAGAGTTTGAAGAATGGTCCATCAATGACAGTGGATGGTCAAATAAATCACTGGATCCTGAAGAAGCTGCTAATAAAAGATATAGAATGTTGGATAATGCAACATTTATCAAATGTTTGAATGTTATTTCTAGGATATATCTCTGCTTACAAAGTTCCTTTAACATTAGAAAGTAAAAGGGTTATTTGAATAATTTAATAAAATTCAGCCTGGCTTATAAAACTCACCATCTTAAGGCTTTACAGATATTAAACTATTAAAACTACCATTCTACGGTATCTGAGCTTACCTATCACCCAGAACAGAATTTTTCATGTTCAACAAGTGAAACTGCGAGCTACTGCTCACTGATGATACCCCCGCCGCAAGTGGATAATTTTAATAGTGTAAAAATATGTAAGTGTTCGGTAAACAGGAAGTTGTTGAGTGATGAATCTGAAAACGCATCACATGGTATAGCTGACTTATATAAATCCTGAAACCAAATTTCAGAAATCCTTATGATGTAGTTCCTGAGAAAGATGCGACGAAAATTATTCATGGGACGGACTGACGGATGGACGGATGGAAGGACAGATGGACAGACAGAGGTAAAACAGTATACCCCCACTTTTTTAAAGCGGGGGTATAAAAAGTTTTCAATTACGTGTACTATATGTCAATCAGCATTAACATTTTTTTTTTTCAATTAACTGAAAATAATGTGTAGTAGATGATATGGTGGTTGAAATCAGACTTTAAATGGCAAATATAGTTTTGTATGGATTCAGTTAAGCAAATCCATGGCTAAGTCAATTCTAAAATACAAACCATCACCAGTGTCTGACAAGTCAGCCATCATACTGTCTGTGACACTAGTCTGATCAATATTTCCTTCCAAAACTTTACTAGGAAACCCAGCATCATCAGCACCACTACCATTGGCTATATCATAATCAGCACCTTCCTACAAATATGTAATGTAAGACTGTGAGCTTGTGTTCACTAATCATACCCCTGCTCAATCAAAAAGGCACGGAAATTTCATTTATGTGCATGACATTTTCAAGATTTAAGTTTTCAGCAAACAGGAAATAGAACACTGAAGGAATTAAAAACTTGTCCCACCTTATGTCATTACCAGATGAAGCTTGGTGCCACATATCAAGAAGCAATGACTTTTTGTTGCTGAGAAAAATGTTATAGAAATGTGCTCGGTCGGATGTACACAGAGACAGAAAGAAATCCGTAAACTACATACCACTTTCTTTGGGCCATGTGTATAATGAGTGTTTCAAACCCAACCACTCCGATTCTGACTATCCTGAATCATTGTTTGCTATTTTTATGTTCACCTATTGTTAATTCAGAAATATTTGCGATGTTTTAGTATTGCGAAAATTGCAACAAGATAGATGAGATATGTGAAAAATAGCCTCAATTCCAAAGGTTTAAGTCCAGCAACTCTGGAAAGACAGTGCAAAAAATTCTCAAAATCGAAAGACAGCTTTCTCCCACCATTCCTAATGTTGTGATAAAATATCATGAGAATTGGTGACAGCAAAATTTGAGTTATCGTATGAAGTGTTGACAGTTGGACAGACATTGATATACCATAATATGTCCCATCTGCTACGGCTTATAAAAACTGATATTTTAAATCTTTAAAGCATTATCTGTATGGAGCATTTTCTGAAATAGCAATTGCAATAATAAATGATCGCAATGATTTCTAAATTAACAGTTTTTGTGTCAGCCTGAAAACTGTATGATTGTACTGGCTATGTTTAAAATGTTTTTTTTTTCAAATCAAAATTAAAGGTAAAAGAAAAAGATGTTGTGTTTTCTATAAACCTGATTTTTCAATACAGTAAAGCAATGAAAAATTCTGTCAATATCCAATCTTTCTAAACAAGACCCATTTCATCAATTTTCCAATTACTGACTCTGTTTTGAATTTTAAGACATACTGTCTACAAATTCTAAAATTGGAAGCAATGTTTGTAATTGACCGTTTCAGAATCTTAAGGATTGTGGGTAAATTCATTATTCGTACCCCAGAATGAAAATAACCTCTTTCATTGGTTGAACTCCCATTATTCATTACATTATAAGCCAATCCCAACGTTTTGGTGTACGCTTGTGAAAAATTACCCAGAATTCATTAGATTCTGAAACTACTAATTGGACAATGGACTGTTACCTCATAACACAGGTCAAAGTGACGAAATAAAAGAGAATTGTAATACCTGCACATATCTGCTTTGCTTTTTGCATTCATTTTTTAATTCAGCAAATTCCAACATGCACAAATATTTAACCTAGAAGACTTCAATTGAAATATGCATTCCTTTCAATAAAAAGCACATCCATGCATTAAAAATTCTACAGTAGACATGAAAGGTCAAAAGAACCAAATTACTGAAAAACTGCAAGCAAACAATAGAAACAAACATGTATTCATATTAATTTATATAATAGTGGCAAAAAATAAAACTATGAAGAAAATACATCAACAAGTTTTTACAAATACACTGACTTAAAATATTTAAATTTTTTTTAAAGAACTTTTCACTGGATAATATTCCAACAGATTTTTAACTAACTATCTCCAGTTTTATGGTTTGCTTATTTCAAACCAATAAAAGAACGGAGTTTAAAACTTTTTACAAATATGTTAGAGAGCAAATGCAATGCAATTTTGGATATAATAAATATTTTCAAGGGGCATTTGAAATTATAAATTTGATAAAAATCTGGCAAAAATTGTATACGTGAGTGCTAACAATGCAATTTTTTCAATATCATTAATATTTCTAAGGATGCATAACTCTTTTAAAATAGTTGATCGACACTGATTTTCTAATATAATTTGTGATATAAATTTTATAAAAATCTGACAAGAATTATACACATGAGAGTGCTATCAAGCCAAGACGGACAGGCGCCCGAAATCCTCAGCATTTTACAAAAAGTTTACAAAAATCTAAACCATGCAACTAAAATAGCAAATAAAATGCTTCGCTGGGGCGCAGCTTGATACGACCGCAGAGGTCGAACCCTGAACAGTTGGGGCAAGTATGGACACAAAATTCAAGCTTGATACAGCTATGACTTTGGATTGTCATTAAATATTTGACACAGCATAGGTTTCTGACACAGGATGAATGTGGTGTAAGAACTGGAAAAAATTTAATTTACCTATTATGGTGGAATCTCCATAAACTAAATTGTTTGTTAATTTCAATATATCAAAGAATATGTAGAATTCAATGTTTGATGTAATGTAATAAAGTTGAAATTTGGACCGTTTTTGTTCAATGTGGACCAATTTGGTAACATGTATAAATAATCAAAAATCTAAATACATGGGAGCCCATTTAAATACATCATAAAGGTATTAAAATAGAAAGTGACATCATAGTCATGGCTAAAAATAAACAAAAATCCTTAATCAGCAACATTTAAAGTAATATCTAATAAAATGCTTCGCTGGGGCGCAGCTTGATACGACCGTAGAGGTCGAACCCTGAACAGTTGGGGCAAGTATGGACACAAAATTCAAGCTTGATACAGCTATGACTTTGGATTGTCATTAAATATTTGACACAGCATAGGTTTCTGACACAGGATGAATGTGGTGTAAGAACTGGAAAAAATTTAATTTACCTATTATGGTGGAATATCCATAAACTAAATTGTTTGTTAATTTCAATATATCAAAGAATATGTAGAATTCAATGTTTGATGTAATGTAATAAAGTTGAAATTTGGACCGTTTTTGTTCAATGTGGACCAATTTGGTAACATGTATAAATATTCAAAAATCTAAATACATGGGAGCCCATTTAAATACATCATAAAGGTATTAAAATAGAAAGTGACATCATAGTCATGGCTAAAAATAAACAAAAATCCTTAATCAGCAACATTTAAAGTAATATCTAAAAATAAAATTCCTTTGTAACCATAAAAGCCCATTTAAATACATCATAAAGATATTAAAATAGAAAATGACATCATAGTCATGGCTAAACATAGCAAAAAACCCTTAATCAGCATCATTTAACAGTAATATCTAAAAATGGAAATTACATCATAAAGGTATTAAAATAGAAAATGACATCATAGTCATGGCTAAAAATAAACAAAATCCTTAATCAGCATCAGCAACATTTTATAGTAATATCTAAAAATAAAATTCCTTTGTAACCATAAAAGCCCATTTAAATACATCATAACAGATATTAAAATAGAAAATGACATCATAGTCATGGCTAAACATAGCAAAAACCTTAATCAGCATCATTTAACAGTAATATCTAAAAATAAAAATTTCTTTGCAACCATAAAAGTAAAATAGAAAATGACATCATAATCATAGCTAAAAATAAACAAAAAGTTTTTTTATTGGCAAATTTTAAATGGAGTTTATTATACTAAAACAATAAATTTGCAACCATAAACATGATAAAACCCCATTTAAACACATCATAAAAGTATTAAATAATTCAACTACATCATAAGGCTATAAAAATAGAAAATGACTTCATAGTCAAGGCTAAAGGTAAACAAAAAACCTTCATCAGCAAAATTTTATATTGGCAAATTTCCAATGAAGTTTATTACACTAAAATTGTTGGCAAATTTCCAATGCATTTATTAACAATAAAGTTATTGGCAAATTTCCAATTTACATAATTTAAAAGCAGTGTAGATGAGATATTTAAATGAGTTTGAATTACCAACCTTACACTGCTTTTAAATAATGTTCTTTACTCAATTATTTGTCTATTAAAATGGAAACCCTTGTTTTTTAACCTTTTTTCCCCTTATTAGAGCCATAACCCCCCCCCCCCCCCCCACCAAAGCCAATTATTACTTTCCAATGTAACCTAAATTTCCAATATACATAATTTTAAATTTCAATTCCTCATGATATATAACCGTATCATTATTATTTTCTTTCATATATAAATCTGAAACAACCATCTTTAAATGGAAAATTTTAAAGAAAAAAAAAGGAAAAAAAAAATCCTACCCCCCACACATTTTTTCAACCCCCTTTTGATTCATCATCCCCCACCTCAATCACAACCTTCAATTTGTGGTATGGTACATTGCAATACAATTTCACAGAGATCCATACACTTGAACACAAGTTTTTGTTGCAAACTAAAACAAGAGTGCACACGCTGAAATGTCTCGCCTTCTTTACTAATCATTGATATTATGTTGATAGTCCTAAATATAAAGCTTTATTACAACTGTCACATAAACTTAACATTAACCAAGTAAACTAAACATTGACCAATGAACCATGAAAATGAGGTCAAGGTCAGATGAACCATGCTAGGCAGGCATGTACAGCTAACAATTCTTCCATACCACAAATATAGTTGACCTATTGCTTATAGTTTAAGAAAAACAGACCAAAACACAAAAACTTAACACTGAGCAATGAACCTTGAAAATGAGGTCAAGGTCAAATAAAACCTGCGTGACTGCCAAATAGATCATAAAATATTTCCATACACCAAATATAGTTGAACTATTGCATATAGTATTAGAAAAAAAGACCAAAACTCAAAAAACTTAACTTTGACCACTGAACCATGAAAATGAGGTTATGGTCAGATAACACCTGCCCGCTAGACATGTACACCTTACAATCATCCATACACCAAATATAGTAGACCTATGGCATACAGTATAAGAAAAACAGACCAAAACACAAAAACTTAACTATAACCACTGAACCATGAAAATGAGGTCAAGGTCAGATGACATCTGCCAGTTGGACATGTACACCTTACAGTCCTTCCATACACCGAATATACAAGACCTATTGCTTATAGTATCTGAGATATGGACTTGACCACCAAAACTTAACCTTGTTCACTGATCCATAAAATGAGGTCGAGGTCAAGTGAAAACTGTCTGACGGGCATGAGGACCTTGCAAGCTATGCACATACCAAATATAGTTGAACCATTGCATATAGTATTAGAAAAAAAGACCAAAACTCAAAAACTTAACTTTGACCACTGAACCATGAAAATGAGGTCAAGGTCAGATGACACCTGCCCGCTAGACATGTACACCTTACAATCATTCCATACACCAAATAAAGTAGACCTATGGCATACAGTATAAGAAAAACAGACCAAAACACAAAAACTTAACTATAACCACTGAACCATGAAAATGAGGTCAAGGTCAGATGACACCTGCCAGTTGGACATGTACACCTTACAGTCCTTCCATACACCGAATATACAAGACCTATTGCTTATAGTATCTGAGATATGGACTTGACCACCAAAACTTAACCTTGTTCACTGATCCATGAAATGAGGTTGAGGTCAAGTGAAAACTGTCTGACGGGCATGAGGACCTTGCAAGGTACGCACATACCAAATATAGTTATCCTATTACTTATAATAAGAGAGAATCTAACATTACAAAAAATCTGAACTTTTTTTTCAAGTAGTCACTGAACCATGAAAATGAGGTCAAGGACATTGGACATGTGACTGACGGAAACTTCGTAACATGAGGCATCCATATACAAAGTATGAAGCATCCAGACCTTCCACCTTCTAAAATATAAAGCTTTTAAGAAGTTAGCTAACGCCGCCGCCGCCGCCGCCGCCGCCGCCGCCGCCGCCGCCGCCGGATCACTATCCCTATGTCGAGCTTTCTGCGACAAAAGTCGCAGGCTCGACAAAAATCCTTATTTTCGACCAATATTTGGCCCCTTATTCATAAATGTTTGAGCAATTAACCCCAAAACTCAATTCCTACTTTCTCTTCGTGATAAAAAATAACTAACTTAAAATGTAAATTTTAAACAAAAAAAAAAGGAAAAAAAAAAATTACCCCTTTTTTGACCCCCGCCCCCCTTATGATTCATCACCCCCACCCCCCTTTCCCCCCAAACCAAGCTCAATAACAGCCTTGCCTTTGTGGTATGGTACCTTGTAATACAATTTTAGAGAGATCCATACACTTGAACACAAGTTATTGTCTAGAAACTAAAAAATGCTCATTTTAAACCCCTTTTTAGGCCCCTTATTACTAAACGTTTTGGGCAATTACCACAACACTCAATTCCAGCTTTCCCTTTGTGAAATGGAACCTTGTAGTAAAATTTCAGAAAGATCCATACACTTACACACAAGTTATTGTCATGAAACTAGAAAAATGCCTGTTTTTTGCCCCCTTTTGGCCCCTTATTCCTAAAATTTTGAGGCAATTAACCCCAAAATCAATCCCAGCATTGACCCTTTGTGATATGGAATCTTGTGGTACAATGTCAAAGAGATCCATATGCTAACACACAAGTTATGTCTGGAAGTTACAAAAATGCTTATTTTTGGCCCCTTTTTGGCCCCTAATTCCTTAACTGTTGGTACCATAACCCCCAAAATCAATCCCCACCTTCCTATTGTGGTATTGAACCTTATGGTAAAATTTCATAGAGATCCATTCACTTAAACTAAAGTTAGAGTGCGAAAACCATTGTGTATTCGGACGACGACGCCGGACGACGACGACGACGACGACGCCGGACGACGACGACGACGACGCCAACGTCATACCAATATACGACCTCAAAATTTTTTTGCGGTCGTATAAAAAGTTGGACAATGTTTCCACTTAGCATGTTTCCTTGTAACAATTATTCTGCTAAAGCATTATACTAGAAATATATTTTTAAATGTTATCTTTTAGATAAGTTTTTGCCAACAAAATAAAATCTGATTGACATTTGGTTGATTAAACTCTGGCCATTGAGAAAGTCTTAATAAAATGAAAGAAAAAATATCAATGCAAATTGAAAAACAAAATGAACAAAATACATAGACAGCACTGATCAAGCTAAAAAGAACTATCCCAATTACACTGGACTTACCCATGCTATGAAATATCTAGTTTTTTGTTGTTTTTTCTGTAATTGAAATTGACTAATCTATCTAGTTACAGCTATGAAAACTATTTAACTCTGGTTATTTGTAAAATCCTATATCAAACCATAAAGGCAAAAACCCATAAAAAAATTGCTGTAAGTGAAGAAATAATATTAACAGTGCAGTTTCCTACTACCCTTGAATCAAAATAAAAGAATTGCACTAAAATACACAAAAGACTATGTTCTATTAGCATGATTAGAAAAATCTAGGACTCTTTTTTTTGTCTCACTACAAATAAAGGAAACACATTTTTAGTATCAGAAAATTGCCCACAGGGTATAAATCTAGTTACAAACCAGTCTTGCTGGTACTGAATATTTATTTACTAAGGTAATTGACTCATGTTTCATCTTCACAACACTCGTCAGTGAAGCTAGTATCAAATCAATTGAAAGGCTAAAACTAGATACATGAAATAAACACTGAAAACTAGAAATTCCAAAAAATTGAGCCAAATTTGACTAAGGCCATCTATATCTGAGGTATAAAACCTTTGTGTTTCAAATGATTTTAACATTTTAACATTTTATGAACACTAAATTTACAGAGTTATATTTCAGAGAGAATCATGAATGACACATATTTACCAGCATTCAGGGAGAAAAATCATTGCCAAGACTGAATTTTAGAATCAACATTGTGAGTACCATATGCTAGCAATATAAGTGTTTAGTACTACTGTAAATTCAGAAATTAATGCATGCGAATCATAAACCACTTGCAAAAATGCGAAATCTAAATAATGCAACTGCACAAATTTTATGAAAGAAAATGACTACTAAAAATATGAATGAGAGTTTTTATTGTTGCGAACCTGATACTGTTGCATTTTTGGCATTAACAAAAACATCACAATAATTTCTGAATTAACAGTATTTAAAAACTTTCCATGTACTTAGCAGTGTGACAATATGAATTTAAGTCATAAACATACCACAGGTTGTTCAGTGTTACTTTTGTTAAGGAACTGACTCCATGGATCAGGCAAGTTATTGTCTGTCTTTAGACTCTCAGCTGTATGGATACTTCTGGAGTTGATGTTCAACAGATGGCACACATTTGCTCCGTAAGTAGACTTCATACTTTGGTAAATAGCATCAGCTCTGAAATCAAAATAAAATAATTCAATTCAATTATTTATCATAATGAACAGTGTTTCCAGTTACTGGACATCACTTTTAAGTTTGCATATTGCCTTGGTAGGACAATATTTCAATTTTGTTTGTACAGTTATGAACCTAAAAATGCCAAGTATCATCTGGTAAATTGTTTTTATTATTTCTTAAACTTCTTAAAATAAATAAGAGGATCAAATATTGGTATAAAACAGAATTTATTAAAATCTATGGAATCAACTGAATGTCAGTTTGAACATTTTTTATCCCATAGATATTTAACATAAATGTTATAAATGCAATTGTCGTGAGGAAAAATCATAAATGTTTGCAAGATGATTTACAATCTAAATTGAACAATGCACGCAATCAGATTGTATTGTTAAATTTATTTATGTTTATTTATAAAGCTAATGATAGTAGATCCTACTATCTATATAATTTACATCAAATTTTTGCAGTTATATATTCATCAACAAACCTTTTATGAAATTGTTTTAAAAATGTTATATTTGTGTGTTTTTTGTCTTGTTGGATTACTGATTCATAAGACACATTTTTGGCTCATAAATAAAATACAGATTTCACACCTGATTCATGAACTACAGGCTTTGACCATAACTTTATGGACAGGATAGTATATGGACAAATATAAATACATATATACATCGTAATCTTTATCATTTAAGGAAAAGTCTAATACCTGAATTTTTTTTACCAAACTGTTTTTATATTATAAAGCTACACAACATTTTCAATATATGACATGCAAAATACTACAGATTTCTTATTTTCTTATTTGTTGCAATTTGTTTTCTTAACACTTAAATTCTTCTTTCACTTTTACCCACAAAGCCCTGGAAACTTTGTACACCACATAAAATAATCAATCTATAGTAATTAAAAGAAAACAAGCTATTACAACACATCAGAACAGAACAATCAGAAAGGTACAATAAAACCCAGAGTAGAACAACCAAATAAAATGGTGGAATAAAAAGCACGAACTGACAACACGCATGGCAAATAAACAACCAACATGAAGTTTGGTAAACACCTGACGCCTAGACTTTGATACTGATTTATGTCATACTTTGCATCCTCTCCTTCAATGACATCATGAAGCAAGACATAGTATCGTAGTGTGCCAGGACAAAACCAGCGTGGGATTTTACTGGGATTCTGGGTCTGTTGTGTAGATTGCTGGTTCACCAGACTGTTGAACATGCTCAGTGGATCTGAATGCCCTGATGAAACAACAAATACACCTTCAATTTGTTAAGGAATTTTTGCAGCCAGAATTTATCTACAATTAACATAAGTATTTGTGTGACACATATTACAATTTTCCCTTTTGGTATTGATTTAAATCGTAAATACATTTAAATTCTTTATTGTGAAAATATCAATTAAATTTCATTATTTCATGAACTGTCTGCACAAAAGATGGATTTTGTCAGAATAATCTATATGGATGTCTACCATATCTTTAAAACTATAAAATTAGCATACTGTTGACTTTTTTTTTTGTCAGACATATTTTTTTCAAAATTCATTCACCGGTTTTATTTACTTTACACAAAAGTTTCCCTATGTACCGTTCACTTTGCATACATGCATTATTATTTTTTAAATATGATTAATCTTCCCTAAATTTCCTTTAACACTTTTAGATTACTTGATATAAGTAAAAAATATTTAGCCTGAAAAATGCATAATTTCACAGAAAGCATAAGACAAATGCAAGAATCTTAATTTACAAACAAATGGACACATGGTATAAGGTATGGCTGTACTTGTGACCTTGAGATGTTCACTATTTCCACTTTCAAGTGTTTTTTTTTTATATGATGACTGTCTTAGTGGCAATAACAATTCATATTACAACATATTTTTAGTAAATCTTATGATTATTAAAAGGATACATCCTAAACAATGGTTGAGAAATTCATGGTCACTTGGTGGTAGCATCTGCAGAAACTTTTCTCTGTATGCTTCAAACCATGGTGTTGTAGCTGTAAACAACAAAATACATGTATCAGTAACATCTAGTGTTCCCAATAAAAATAAGGTAAATACATTTACTTTTCAAGGATTTCTGATGAAGAACATGTAATTACCTTTTTTCAAAGGCAACAAAAATGTCTATATATAAACAACTCAATCCTTAACCCACATGGCTGAAAATGAAGCTGAAATAAGTGAAGACTGCCGTCTAAATAATTGTAAAATAATAAGTCTGTAAAACATTAGCAAAGACAGCCAAAGTTCATTTCTCTATTTACCACTCTGGAATGAAACACAAACTTAATCTGTCACTCATCACTTTATATACAATAATGAACAAAAAATCAGCTCATTATTTTTAGGTGTGACAACTTTTGGATTTTAGAATTTGTGTATTACAGATTAATACAACCAAAAGTACTTCTACAAATTTTTTTCTTCCCGCAATACACTGAATCATTACACATACATATTTGCTGTAATCTTGTGACCAACAATACAAATATGTAAACCATATAAGCAGGGGTAGATTTCGAAAACTGTTATTTGGAGAGGGGTAAAGTTCTATCATACATACATTAATCCTGTAATGCTTTTTACTGGGCATTAAAAAAGTTACTGCTTCCACCTATTTAATCCAGATAGAAGACCAATAACTACACTGTGGATTCATCATTATTCATGGGATACCAATTTTCGAGGTTTGTGGACAAATGTGAACTACAAATTGAAAGGTTTAATGAAGTTCAAATTTTCTATAGGCTTGTAAGCAGACTTTGTAAAAACCATGAAATCAAATACATTTGTACCCACGAAAAATAAATTTTTCCGTCACTCCATCGGAGAAAATAATGAATCCACAGTATTTCATTTAGCACATACATGTTAATTGTAAATCATAGTTGCCAACGGATACCACATTCCCTCTGTTTCCCTCTACCAGCTGTGGTTGTGCTCCTGCTACAATGTCATTTAGGATTTTCTTTGCAACTGACTGCTGCGGCAAAGTTGCCGACATATCTCTCATGGTGATTTTTAAATGTCGTATTGTGTGAGGAACATTGTTTGGATCCCGTATGTGAACTAGAAATATAAAAAATATATGTATGTTATCAAACCATTTAAAGTGCTTCATACAAGTCATATTCAGTTTTTTTTAATATCAATATCCAATGAAATCAAACTATTCTATGAGAACAAAAATGTAACAGTATCTTTTGTTAGTGTCATGCCAGGGCTCAGGTAGTTTAAAAAGCTCTCCCTGATTTATCAAAAGTTGACCTGTGAAGCTAATGTTTTTATATCTGACCCCAGAAGATGTAATTTAAATATAATGTCTCAATAATTATCACTACCACTGACTTCAATTTTTTCAAATGTTGCTTGGTCGTTTTCCTCGTTGTTTTGGTTTTGAAACAATATTTAGCTACTTTCACAAATTACAAAATTTTAAACTAAATCTTCTACATGTAGTAAAAAAAGTTCTACGATTTCTTTTTTTAATCTAATAACTGAAGGTGCATATTCATTTCAACTTATCTTAATTTGGAAAGTGTGTGTCACAGCATCTACTGAGTGTGGACATTAACAGAAATTTTCTAGTGTTTTCTATAGACTTGAATATAAATAAGGAAAAAGGATAAGGATACGTTTTTGTTGTGATATGGTTGGACCCTTTTCACTAGAATACAGTATAGACAGAGACATACCTTGATAATTCACAATGAAAACATTACAGCATTCTGGAGTTGTAACACAGTTATTTTTTTTTATCATTTTATATCATCTTACTTTCCTTTGTATTTAAAGCGTTTTTCATGTACTTCATTGTGCCCAACTTGCACTGTCACAGTTCTGTGTTCAATAAATAGCAAAATCTGGGTCAAAACCACCCATCATAGGTGCAGCTACATGTAGCATACATTTTTTTTTTAAGAAAGGGTGATAATCTCATTACAGTTAACTATCAAAATGTATAATCCCCTGTCTCAGTCTGTATTGTATATGGTGCCACTAGCATAATGTGCATCTCTTCAATACTTACCATTTATTGCTAATAACAAAAAAATTAAATCATGTATTCTTATATAAGTGTTCTTCCATTACTACTAGCAGAGTTTTATTTTAAGACACCAAGATAAAAATTCTTATTAAGCTTTGATCAAAATTTAAATAAAATAAGAATGTGTCCATGGTACACAGATGCCCCCTCTTATTAATATGCAAGAGTCTATGTCAGTCTTTGCGCTCAACCACAGGCCCACCAGCCCAGGCTAGTAAAAACTTAAGTTGGCCCTGTAAAAATCATCTCCACAGGCCAAAGTAATCTAACTAAAATTTTCTTAAAATTCAGCTTTTGGCCTTTAGATTCAAAATTCTACTGTGAAGACTGCTATGTAGTAAAGTTGGAGTGTGAAAATGGTATATTCAATAATTTTTCCATTTATAAAGGGACATAACTCAAGAATGGTGAAAATAATGCCACCCATACAGTCTTTGCCCTCAACCACAGGCCCACCAGCCAAGGCTTGTAAAAATGCTGTCAGGCCTGTAATAATCATCTCTACATGCCAATAGAATCTAAAATTTTCGTACAATTCTGCTTTGGGGCTGTAGATACAAAAGTTTATTGTGAAGACTGCCCATATTCAAACCTGATCTGTGTTTGATGGTAATGAGCATTGTGTATAAATGTCATATCATTTGAATTAGGCAAACTAACGTTACAGTGTGGAAATGGCAAATTTCGCAACATTTTCATTTATAAAGGGACATAACTCGAGAACAATAAAAGTGTCACCACACAAATTCTAACTTGACCTGTGTTTGGTGGTAATAAGCATTGTGTATAAGTTTCATAACATTTGGTTGAGGCTAACTAAAGTTAGAGATCAGAAACTTATTTCGGGACATATGGACGTACAGACAGGCAAGGGTAAAACTTAATGACCCCTCCACACTGGCTGGAGCATAAAAAAATATTAAATAACAGATATTTCTTTTGCTTTAAATGAATCATGCAAATGAAACATTTATGATGAAAATTATAATTCTTTTACTTATTTAAGGCGAAGTGTACGTAATTAACTACTCCACAGAATTTTTTAAAATTTTACATGTGGATTCTGCTTGTAAAAATACATCAGACAATAAAATAAAAAAAGGGGGTAACCGTTTTCGTTTTTCAGATACAAGCTGTTGAAATTAACAGCCTGATACGCCAAAAATACAAAGGATATATAGGGAAAATCATAAAAATCGGCTGATATTTTTACTTTATCAAGATTTTCTAATTCGTTGGTCCACAGAATTTTTTTAAAAATCGATATGCGATTCAAAAATGAACAACGAACCCATTGGTGCAAAGAAAGTCCTTAGCAACCGTGCTAGTTTTCAAGCTATATCCTGTGGAATTTTGATTTTTAGCGGAAAAAATAAAAACATTCGGCGACGTTATTGATGTCTACTGTAACGTCATCACAATTTCTACTCTATAACGCTATTATACCGTATGTAGTGTCGTAACAAAATCGTGAGTGTGTATAAAATTGAGAATGGAAATGGGGAATATGTCAAAGAGACAACAACCCGACCAAAGAGCAGACAACAGCCGAAGGCCACCAATGGGTCTTCAACGCAGCGAGAAAATCCCGCACCCAGAGGTGGTCCTCAGCTGGCCCCTAAATAAAATTGTGTACTAGTTCAGTGAAAATGGACGTCACACTAAACTCCAAAACATATAAATGAACTAAAATTAAAAAAAACATACAAGACTAACAAAGGCCAGAGGCTCCTGACTTGGGACAGGCGCAAACATACGGCGGGGTTAAACATGTTTTGTGAGATCTCAACCCTCCCCCTATACCTCTAACAATGTAGAATAAAGAAACACATACTAGTAGCAATACGCACAGTAAAACTCAGTTTAAAAGAAGTCCGAGTCCGATGTCAGAATAGGTAACAAAAGAAAATAAACAAAAAGACAATGATACATAAATTAACAAAGGACTACTAGCAGTTACTGACATGCCAGCTCCAGACCTCAGTTAAACTGATTGATAGATTATGTCTTCATCTTATGAAAATCAAGAACAATTCCTCCCGTTAGGGGTTTAGTATCATACAATCATAAAATATATGAGAAGAACATAACCCGTATCATGCCAACAACTGGTTTTAGAATAATAGTGTTTTTCCGATGCAAAGACCCTATGAGTGAATCAATATTAATACCAAAATATGCAATCCTTAATGACCTGACAACAGTATCGTAACTATATCCTTTCCGAATAAGTCTGTTTAAAGGTTTGGTTAGCTTTTGAGGTGAATGCCGACATTTTTGTGCTTTGTAAAGAATATTACCATAAAATATTGAATGTGAAATTCCTGAACGTATAAGATGTCTACATGTTGATTTATATTTACGAATGATTTATAACCCATTTTCCTAATTATTGCAAATGCTCAAGCGTAATCAATTGATAAGGAAATAAACTGAGTATTTTTTAAGGACATTTCTGCTGCCAAAAAAAAAAAAGCAAATTGGCAAATAAATATACTGCAAGTGAAAGAAAGTTACTGTATAGACTTTAACTCAATCTTTTCTTAATTTGACAGGGTTCCACATCTTTTTTGGAAATGCTTGTATTTATAGCTGACTATGGGCTTTGATCATTGTTGAAGGCCGTACGGTGACCTATAGTTGTTAATTTCTGTGTCATTTGGACTCTTGTGGAGAGTTGTCCCATTGGCAATCATACCACATCTTCTTATTTTTATATTGTATTGTTCTAATAATTATGAATCAAATATCAAGTTCGAAATTGTCCCGGTTAACACAGCGTTGACAGAATGATTCTATATGTATTTAAATAATCGGTTATAATTATCGCGTATACACGTCTTTTTTAAAATCTTATTTCTGCATGTTTATTTTTTAAAAAAGTGAATATAATTTGCTGCTTCTTTTCATCCTCACCATTACCGGCGCTATTCGAGGTATTGCGCACAAAACATATTTTATTTGTCAGGTTCACACACGTGCACGTGACACAACTCTGCAATTTTATTTTTAAAATTTCCTGTCTCAATCGCTTTCCCTTTTCTTTAACTACACGACAAAGCATGATATAATGTTTGCTGGAGATTTTAAGTAAAAAAGGAAATAATTTCTTGTACCATTATTTGTTAAATATCCACATGCATGACTCCCAAAAAATAAGAAAACTGCATCTGCATATTATCTTTAGAATTTTTATGGCTGTAATAAGGTCAAAAGAAGAACACGCATATGAATTTTAGCAAAGTAAAACAGATCGGAGTTTTTGATATAACTTCCCGTAGCACAGATCATTCCCAGTGTTAGCCTTAACATTGTGTATATTGTGTATAATGCTATAGCATTGTGTATAGTGTAAAAGCTTTGTGCATGGTGATATGCTATAAATGTACTGGTGTTATATTATAAATGTACTGGTGTAATACTATACATGTACTGGTGTAATGCTATAAGAATGTACCAAGGGCGATGCTATACGAGTCTACCTAGTGTAGTGCCATACAAATTGTTCCTGTATATAATGCAAATGAATTGCAGTTTCTTAATATAATATGAAAATAAGGAGATGTGGTATGATTGCAAATTAGACAACTATCTGCCACAGTTTAAGGTAGACCGGGTGTCTTTTTCTGAGCGTCCGTTCTGATCATGTTGCAAAAATACTTTTTTGTTTTAAAAATATTTTACCAAGAATCATTTAATATACAACAAAATACCTTAAACTTGAAATTTAAAGATTGAACTATCAAAACATTAAGTGTCGTAAAGTATATTTAAAATTTTTGGGGATTTTTTCAAGAAAATAAGGCCCGTGACCCCCTATTTTTATTTGATATTTCGGAGTTATTAATGAAAAGCAATTCTCTCATCGAATTTTAGCCAATTCTATCGTTTAATGTTTCCGCAATAAGGAAAACTTAAGTTTCCTCTATATTAACAATATAAAATAACCCAAATTTCGTTAATTTCAATGTGTTATTACAAAAAACAAGGTCCGTGATCCCCAGTTTTTGTATTGAAATTTGAAATTACATTGACCCCGAAGTCTTTTACAGAAGTTGAAGAAAAATCTATCGTCCAATATTTAGACACCCCAGCTACCTTAAATCATGTGGATGTAATTATTATAGGCAACCATACGGCCTTCAACAATGAGAAAAATCCATACCGTATGGTCGGTTATAAAAAGCCCCGACATTATAGACCCTATTTTCTTCACCCCCTCCCCCTTCTTCCCCTACCTTATACTACTGCTGAATGATACACAAAACCACAACAAAAGAAAACAAATTTCGCTATCCCTTCGAAATTGGAATTTGATAAAGAAAAAATAACACGTTCTATTTTTATCATACATGTGTAGTTTCAGTTTCAACCATGTTTCTAAATTTAGATTTTACTTTCCCCAAAATTGCGGACGGAATAGAAAACACCTGTTTATTTTCTGCACCTTGAAAACTGAGATTTGGATGACATAGATTTTACTTATTCTGAGATAAAAGTAATAGTGCTCAATTCTTAGTTTTTGAGTGTGTAATGTTTTGTGGACGGAATCTGATGGGGTTTTTTTTTTGCTGTTGGCTTTTTCTTCGGCTTATAAATGTTGTACTAGTGGTCGATTACCCTTAGTATCTTTTATACTTTTTACATAAATAATAAAATATAAAACATCAATTGCATAAAATCGGACATGCCAACGTCTTTCTTGTTCAACACACAAATTCACATGCAATATGATTATTCGTTACCTACAATTTTACTCTACACTGAATTTCATTTTCAAAACTATGGTTTTTCAAAAAATATTGTGGGGTCAATTCTGGTTTGATTTTAATGAATTTGATACGAATAGAAGCAGAATTGTCACTGGTTTATTTGTTTGTTTGGTTATAATTTTGTTGTTTAGGCGTTTTTACCTTCTGTTGAAATAAACACGAGTCGTATTGTGTACCTGCTTCTGCGTGTCTAAAACAAAAACAGTGGTAATAGAGTCAGACTAACTCACAATAGGATACTCAGATTTCTGATTGGAGTCATTATAAAAATTTCTTTGAAGTTTTGAGATAGCACATGAATACTTGTTTGGATTCATGAAAGACCGCACGAAGTCATTTTTCTTTCATGTGCCCATTTTTCCTTTCTTGGAGTAGGGGAGATAACCCGCGTAACTAACGACGCACGTTTTTTATCCTGAATTCCGCTAGAGGCGTGCAATTACGTACACTTCGCCTTAATGGCACTTGAGGATATGAAAAGTAACCTTAAATAAAATGCTCCGCTGGGGCGCAGCCTGATACGACCGCAGAGGTCAAACCCTGAACAGTTGGGGCAAGTATGGACACAACATTCAAGCTTGATACAGCACTGAATTTGGATTGTAATTAAATATTTGACACAGCATAGGTTTCTGACACAGAATGAAAGTGGTCTAAGAACTTATAATTTTTTAATTTACCTATTCATACATGTGATGGACTGTGAAACTCAGATCAGGAGATTGGGAAATTTTGGTCAGGAGATTAGGATCCAGATCAGGAGGTTTTTAATCGACATAAATTTTGTCGTAAATGTAACCGTGTGCTGTAAAAATGGTCTTTTAAAGTGTGTTTTCTTCAACTTTCCATCCAATTTATTATGTTTATAGTACCCTTGTACTTATAAAGTTTCTCCATCTTTATATTTTACATGTTCAATCTAACATTTTTTTTCTTCAGTATGTTCTTTAAATTTTTTACTTCATATTCTATAAAACATTTATTGCAACCAGAACGTTTGTTTAACTATCTGCAAATAGCTTTAGTTTGCATACTCAGAAAATCATTCTAACTGTAAAACAAGGGTCATAGTTATTATATAAATTTCAATTTAAGCCTTGAAAGGAAGTATAGAATCCTCAAATAATTTTCAAATTATTATTTTTTTATTTGTCCTAAGACATTTAAAATCATTTATTTACCATCCTTTTATGATTATTTGTTCAATTTATATTTTATTTATATTCTTTTAAAAGTTTTCATTATTAAAAGGAAAGTAACTTAAAACAGGATAAATCAAGGGAAGTAACCCAATAAATACACAGTTTTTGTTACACAACGGCAGTTAGCCTGAGGTAAAAAATCATTGATTACCAGTATGTTTGACACCCAAGCTGACAAGTGAAGCCATATAATTATGCATGTTAATTGATTTACAGGTAAAATATAACTTCAGGTAATGTGAGTTACACCAGATACCTGAGATGATATGTTGGGCAGAAATTTTTCATTCATGAAAAATTTCATACACGGGATTATAATTTTCCTCTTCAACCTCGGGAGGAGACTCCTGAAAACAGGATTACTGTACTCCTGTTGGGAGGTTCACATGTATGCTATTCAAACCATATCATTATTATTTGCTTTTATATATAAATCAGAAATAACCAATTTAAAATGGAAAATTTTAAAGAAAAAAAGGAAAAAAAAATCCCCCCCCCCCAAATTTTTTTAACCGCCTTATGATTCATCGCCCCCACACTCAATCCCAGCTTTCCCTTTGTGGTATGGTACCTTGCAGTACAATTTTAGAGAGATCCATTCACTTGAACACAAGTTATTGTCTGGAAACTAGAAAAATGCTTGTTTTTTTGTCCCTTTTTGGCCCCTAATTCCTAAACGTTTAGGGCAATTACCCCCAAACTCCAACCCAGCTTTCCCTTTGTGATATGGAACCTTGCAGTACAATTTCATAAAGATCCATACACTTACAAACAAGTTATTGTCCTGAAACTAGAAAAATGCGTTTTTTGCCCCTTTTTGGCCCCTAATTCCCAAAATTTGGAGGAAATTACCCCCAAAATCAATCCCAGTATTCCCTTTGTGATATGGAACCATGTGATACAATGTCAGAGAGATCCATACACTTACACACAAGTTATTGTCATGAAACTAGAAAAATGCTTGTTTTTTGCCCCTTTTTGGCCCCTAATTCCTAAAATTTGGAGGCAATTACCCCCAAAATCAATCCCAGCATTCCCTTTGTGATATGGAACCTTGTGGTACAATGTCAGAGAGATCCATATACTTACACACAAGTTATGTCTGGATGTTACAAAAATGCTTATTTTTGGCCCCTGTTTGGCCCCTCATTCCTTAACTGTTAGTACCATAACCCCCAAAATCAATCCCCACCTTCCTTTTGTGGTATTGAACCTTATGGTAAAATTTCATTGAGATCCATTCACTTAAACTAAAGTTAGAGTGCGAAAACTAATGTGTATTCGGACGACGACGCCGCCAACGTCATACCAATATACGACCACAAAAATTTGTTTGCGGTCGTATAAAAACCTGTATTTATATCCTTCTTTTTATCAATTTAGTAACTGAACTTAATTGTCTCATACAATTATACCACCTCTTATTTCAAAATGTATCATTCATTGAACTAACAATAAAAGTAAATGCAAGTAATGCCTTTTAACACCCATTTTTAATATACAGTTCTCTCATTCATGCATTTGCATGTTTGGGTTATTCCACTTCAGTACTATGTAGCATTTTTACCTATTGTTCTATAAACAAATCCACTATATTAAATCAAATTAGTAGATTAGGAAAAGTATGTCCTTATGATTGAATCTAGTAATCATTTACAGTGGAAAATTGATTTAAAGATAATTTTGACAATTGAGTCTATTTGACAGTTTTTACTATTATCACAATTTCTGTTAAAGATTTGACTAAGGCCAAATAATAACATATGTGGTTCCAGTTACATCCTGAAAATTATGTGGTCGGTGGGTCAGCATTTTTTTTTAAAATTTTTTTGGGGATTGTCAAAATCCTGAAAAAAATCGTGGGTTTACCAAGTACAATATTATACACGCCCCTAACGGAAGTTCGTCATTTTCTATATGTTTGGTTGTAAAATAAACAGACATGCTACGTTTTTAGTTAATTTTGTTGCATTCTGTTAAAAAAAATTGCATTTTAAGCCATAGTGGATACTTCTAATGAAAATTCAGATGACAGAAGTCTTCTAATCTAATTTTTGAAATTCACATTCTAGAAAATGGGATCGTTCAAAATTTATATTTCAGAAATGGAAAAGGTTCTAGGGTAGGTCAGGTAACTGGAACCACACATATACTTTTATTTGGCCTAATTAATATATGTAGTTAGTACCCATGTCTTGATATCATCTGGTAGAATTGCTATCGTATGCACAAGAAGGAAAGTTTGTTACTACTAAATTCCTACATTATTTACATATAAATTCAAAACCCATTAAAATCAAAAATTGAATCAGAGCATACTGTCCAGTGATTTTGCTAGTGCTCGTCACTTTCGTAATTTATGAAACTGTTTTCAAAATGACGAAAGTATTTCAAATCAATTTCGTCTTAAATTTGGAAAGTGTAAAAATATTTTCGCATGAAAGTACTATAATTCTGCCTGTCTGCATGTTTCTGACAATTTTATGACCCTCAGCTAATTAATATTACAGGTGTTATAAAGTTGTGATTACAGCTAATCCGCTTATCGTCATCGGATGGGTCACTAATCTGGTTAATTATTTTCCCTAGTAAAATTAGTCAGTCTGCATTTTAATTTCAATATTTCTCAAGACCAACGACCACAATTTGCTGTTGGTTTGTCATAGTCATGATAGTGTTGTCATTTGAACAAAATTGTTTCCCCCCGGACAGTTCGCTTTTTTTATTTCAATATTTCTTAAACGATCATAATTTGCAGTTAGTTTGTCGTAGTTTCGTCAAATGATCGTATTTTCGTCATCTTCGATAATAAACGTTCAATTTCGATTAAAAAGACAGAACTTTATTCAAAACGTTCAAAAATGTTTTCACGTTAAAAACTTCCATCATCATCAACGAGTCAAACAGGTGCTTCCTTTACGATATACTGCGCATGCGTGAAAGTATTCCTATGAATTTAAAGACACTAAAACGTAAAATACGAAATAAATTTAGTGCCAAAATAAATGAGAGAGACAAATATAGTTCTTACTAAGCAAATTGAAATATAAAAATGATAATTTCCTGCCTTTTTTTAAACACGAACCAATCCGTAGATGAATCCAGATTCATTCTGAATTTATTATATACTTGTCACTTCCCGTTTACATTTCAATTGAAATCGAAAGTAAACGTGATCAATTCTAGATTAATTTACAATTTACAGTTATTGGAATCGTTCCATGTGAATTTGTACAAATCCTTGATTCCAACTTTATAGAAATTAATTCAAAATATCGATTTAAACGTTTTATAAGGATAATGATTATGCAGTGTAGTAGTCTTAAATATACAATTCCTTGGTCTTACAAAGTTCAACAAGTTCATTTATACTGTGATTCTTGGTTTTTAAAAAAAGGAACCCAACTTTTGTTGATCAAGAATGTCCCCTGAAACTAATTGAAGTAAAATTTTGAACTAGATTTTCAGATCTTATATTCTAATCTTCATATTTAAGTGACACATCAGTCAAATCATGCAATTACTGCCTAGTACATTAATGCCTTAGTCCTGCAAAGTCTAACAAAGATGTATAGCTAGTAATATACATACATCCTTGGTTCCTTGCTGTTACCCAAAATAATGTTGATTTTCATCTCGTGCAAAAGTGACTAAAGCCCTCAAAATCCTAGCTTAAACCCTGCTGTCTGATTATTCTATTCAATCAAATGTAAACTTCCAGCCAACTGTCTTCTACCACTACCACTGTCATTAGGTTGACTATCCTGTCACTATATATATATATTCAAGTATGGTTGCAATCTGACAAAGCATTGAAGTAAGCATCCAACAAGTATACTGTATACCCTCTCAATACTTTGTAGCTTGGGATTTAATAAGGGCAATTGTTAATACGACAAACAGCTCGGATAATTTGACAAGTGTGCCAGTTTTGGGAATTGATTGAAGTATTGCTATACTGGGTAAGGAGGGATTAAGCATGCAGTGTGATAGTTTGCAGTTGTCATGGACCAACTTTTAACAAAATAGAACTTTTATGTTATGCTGCTTGGAAATTGCAAATAAACATAGGGTCTAAGTATGACATAAGGTCCGCCCCCTTTCTCAAATTATGTTCAAGCACTCATTTAAATGAAACAGAATCATTCTTCAGATTTAAGACATTGTACATATAATTTATGTTACTATACTAAAGGAGATTCACCTTCTGACGTTAACCGACAAAAAGGTTGAACAAGTTCCACAAATGTCAAATTATTTTTCTGACATAGGACTTCCGCATCACGGCTGCATAACACAGCAACATGTGGATTAAACGTATTTTGCACAAACTCTTGTGCATTCTGTTTGCACTGTGCCATTATTTCTATCTATTTAAGAAGTTACAAAGCTGTTATTGATCGATGAGTCGTCGTTTTTTGCTCATGACGATCTGGATCTCATCTGCCATATTTACGATCATGCGCAATAACAATCTTTAAAGGGGAGATAATTTCATTACCTAATACTGAGATTGCAATACAATCAGATCATAATATTCGTCTGCATTGACCTATCATATTGCAACAAAAAAATACGTCCAAGTTTTTTTTAATGTTCATGTAAACCATACTTGAAATACAATTTTCTTTTCTGTTTTGTTCTTCTATGAATTACGAGAACAGAAAGTAGAATTGAGTGTTGGCATATCCTTGTAATCAAAGCATGGACATTAGGGATCTGTTTTATCAGAAGTCCATTACTAGACGAAGTGTGCAAGCTGTACTATATCTTAAGGCGATCACGATGTCCCCATTATCAGTGAATAGCCCCATAGGTGGTCCTCCCAAATCTTGTTTTATAACTATGGAATCATGGGTACAAATATTATCATCAAACAGATGGCTGTTAATTAGTCTCCTTGAGTGTTTGATTTAAATTATCAGTTTGTTGTAAATGAAGTGAGCCGACTTAGTGCGGTGGTTTCTTATTGCCAGTTATTTAACTTCATTTTAATTCAACATTTAGAAAATGATATAACATTTTATAAACGAATACATTGGTACCAGATTTTTCAAAGGCAAATGAGAACTATAAAATCTTCCGTGTCGGACTAAAAATGTATCGTCTATTTAAAAGATATAGTTGTTTTTGTCAAAATATAGTCATATTTGCCTTTTTTTTAAATAGAACGTTGTGTTGACGAATTATGTCTTGGTTACTTACGGCTGCAGTGAAATGATCAAGGAAGCTTTATGTTCAGTGGCAAATATATCATGCATATTCCATCAAAGAGTTGTCGCAAGTGTTATATTTAACATCAGAGATCGTAACATTCATCCTGAATATGCGAGGTACTGGATTTAAAGTCCCTAATGCGACCTGACGCGGCTTCTATTAATGTATACATCCCACACTTGTAAGAAAGGGTTTTACTGTTGGAACCGGACAATTCCAGGGATTACTTTATATCTTTACGGCCCAACTTAACCCTTGAGACTGATTTAGTATTTGAACAAATTAAACTACAGCTGTAGGTTTTTGAAGTAAGACTTCGTCATATTTCTGTATGAAGTATACTTTCATAAAGAATATATATTTATTACTCATTTGTTTACAAAGATCGTGATCGCAACTTGTCCTACAATTTGAACCTATAAAATTTATACGTCGAACGCACGTGTTGTGAACGGCATTTTTTACATGTATTTTTATGGATAAATGTAACAATATCTGACTGAAATGTCATAACCTTTGTTAGTCCACACCATCATCCGAGGTAATATTTCCGTCAAGATCTCAGTTACGCAGGATCGAAGATATTGGAAATTGAAGAAAGGGTTTACAATTAAATTGAGGGTACAATTTGTTAATTTTGCTAAAAATGGTTATATCTGCAGAATTCCCGTGTAACTTTTAAAAAAACTTATTTCTTGAAATTTGTAATTCGTAACATATACTCTTAAAATAAATATAATAGAATGTAGAAACTCATTCCTAATCCAGTATAATTTTACTGTATATGGATACACAATTCTCCAACCTAATTTTTCCTTGCCAACTTTTTTATGGCAATTTTTTCACAATTACCTCTAAAACCAAACGTTTATTGAATTTATAAGAAGTGAGCTTTTTTATTCCGTCTGACAATTTTTCTACGGTTATAATTGTAGTTTTTAAATTGATAAATATACAAACATATTTATCATTTAATATTAAAACCATCATAATGACTCATGACACTGATATAATATGCTAGTATCTGCTATTCATTAACACGTCAATGGTCAAACATTATTTTCAACAGTGTGCTAATTAAGTTATAGGGTGTTTTGCATAAATTATCTCTTCCCAGAATGCATCGCAAAAAATTTGGCCATTGATTTTTGTTACTATTAATAGCAATCTTGCTCAAATCCCGTTTCAATCACAGTTGGAAGCACGGGGACGTGATCGCCTTACTATATAGCGGGTTGCACACTTCGTCTAGTAATGGACTTCTGGTTTTATCTATACCAGATTGTGATCATTGTAATATTCTTTTACACTGATCATTGTAACTTATAAACTATACTTGCACACTTTTTATAAAAGAGTCATATTTCTATAGGATGATGCTGAATGGTTGTTTAAATTCCAGTGTGCAAATACAATATCCGTAATTTTTCCCTTTTTGAAGTTTTCCCAGTTAAAATGTGTAACCTCACTCTAGTTTGTACTTTGTATGCCTCGATTGATCAATTAAAGTTTATGTAACTTTTCGTATGATCATCACATTAAAGATTAAGATATCTATATCAGAATATCTTTTCATTATTTGAAAATGTGACAGCTCTAAGTTTAGGAGATCCCACTTTCCTCATTCAGAGTAATTTTTGTTGTAATATCAGTTCTGAGTTTCAGTTGTTATGTGAATCAAAATGGAATCATGGGAAGAAATATCATCTTCCTCATAAAAATAAACTGGTAAAGGTGAAGGTACTGACTGTTTGGGGCCAAATTGGCCCTAAAATCAAATGTATTTCAGATGTCCTCTTATTTGCAGAATTGAATGTTGAAGGTTCTTTAATAAAATATTGTAATTTTGTCTTAAAAATTATAGCCTTGTATGTTATTCGGCTGAAGAATGAGGAAATCTCAACCAAAAGGTGAAATTCCATAAAATCAAGACTTTATTAGCATGATTTACAAAACTGATATTGTAACTTTTCAGTTTTTAAATTACTAAAGTACTGCTGCATCTCCATTTATCAAAATTAACCTTTCTGCTGTTCTTCGTAGGCCCTTTTGGGTTAAAAACTCACTTTTTATGTGTTTGACTTCTCAATCTTTTGGTCTTGAGAGTACCTGATGAAAGTTATTTCTGTAACAGACACTGTGGACTGTGCACTGAATTGTATCATACATAATATCTATTTACTGTTGACTGGGATGAATGCCACCTTATACACATGGCAATGTCATCTTATTGGAGGAGAAAACCTAAGTAATTGACATGAACCAGTGATCTTTTGTGAGTTGCTGACTAAAACCATTATAGTCTGATATGTCAAGTATACCTTACCCCTTTTCACAAGACTGGAGCTTATCTCTAAACACAAACACAATTCAGCCAATGAGTAAACAAAAAGAACAACTCACATTTTATCAAGAAATCAAATTTTATTTATTTTTTAAAATAAATATAAGAGATCATAATAAAACTATGACTACTACTTGTTACAAAATTGGTTGACATGCTTAATTAAATGGTTCAAGTAAGACATACATTATTGCACTTCAATAAAAACTAAATGCCTAATGTGATATTTTCAACATCAAAGTTATCTGAAAGCGCCAATAGTTACTTTATACAACTTTGAACAAAGCTTTAACAAGCATATCTTAGTGCTGATGACAGTTTTACAGTCCTACTTAGTGTGTAGTGATTGGTTATATTGTTAATCATCGATCCACACATAAATGTTAATATCTGAATTTTTTTCTACACATGAAATGTCAAAATGTCAAAAAAAATTATCATTTTAGTACAGCATCAAACACACTCAGTAAAGTTAATATACACTTTCACTAATTACTGTTATGATCTGAATAAAAATAATGGTTTCAACTATGGTTTAAAACATTAACTTTTCAAAAAGATTATCATAAAATATCTTTTATTATCTAGTATACTTCCAGATAAAGTAACTGTTCATATATATTTGTACAAAACTTTCAGCTAGCATTTTAAGTCTTGTGAACAACAACAAAAAACAAATTCATATTAAAACCAGGAAGCTATTTACAGCTTAAAATTACACTTAAAATATACTTATAATGGAAATACATGTATTTATACTTCCCTTGACACTGAATATATAATGCCTGAACTAAAATTAGGAAATGAATATGAAATACACACTCATATCCTTATACAACTTCCAAGTTTTGAGTTAGTTTAATAATCTCATTGATCTATTTTTCATTTTTTAAATTGATAACTTTTTTTCATCATATCCTGAGTCAGCCCATGAAATTAAGGAGCATATCACATTTGTACTCTTTGGTGAAGTGCTTTGATAGAACTTAAGCGCATATCTGGTAAAACTGTTCATTTCAATTTTTGTCAGAACTTTTAATTAGTTTCTCAGATGTGCTAAAACAACCTAGATTCTAGTATAAAAGTAATCATGAATCCACAATCATTTGGTTTGATCATTATGCTTAATAATTCCTTAAGGAGAGAGACATATATCAACAGACATAACTCTTCAAAATCACTGGTATGTTTGAATGAATTATTTTTCTTATTTAGTTCTGAGCTTCTCAGTAACCCAAATTATTTTAACTCTGTATCACATGAAAGCTTATAACCTATTGATGAATCTTCCTCTTAAAATCACATTACTGACATAAAGAATTATCTCCCTGAACCTAGGTATAGCCTTAAATAGCATTACATATATATTTTTACAAAACCATTATCAAATTATATGGTTCAATGATTATAAATTATGGATTTCATGTAAAATATCACACATATCAAAATTTAACATCACATGTTCACACCTCACACAAAAATTATAACATCCCTCTTCAAACAAAGATTTTGCATTTAATATATATGCATAATTTAAACACATGACAAAGTATGAATACAAATCTTACAGTAAAATAACAATTTTGGCAATCAATATATAAAAATTATGACAAAGAGACAAAGAATATTTTTTAACTTCCTTGGATATCAAATTGTGAATTAAGTCTCTTATCAAGATAAAAGTTTTTCAATTGGCATCTTTTCCTTAAACAGTTGCATATTACACATTTCAGGAACTTGTTTAAAAAAAAAGGTTTTTACCAATTTTCTTAAAATCAAATAAAATAACACTTAAAATTTCATGAGTCCAAATGTTGAAAGTAATTCAATTCTAACAAAAGCTGTGTAAACAAGAAATGAATGTAACAGGATGCTGTTACGAAGTCTCCCAAACGAAGCTCCCATAATTCATAATTCCCAGGGTCGCCTGACATTGGGCAACTTCCAGTGAAAATTGGTTTGGTCCAGTAAAGTTATATGCATTAGTGATGCCTGGGGACTAACCTTGTATATCATTCAAATCATCTTGGCATGACAAACCAGAATATATATGGTTTAGGGGTGGGGATCTCGACCATTTACAAGATACTAGAACATTGGGGGTGGGGAGGAACCCCTGGGGACTGGCCCTATACGTCATTCAAATGTTCATTACATGACGAACAGGAATATATATGGTTTAGGGGTGGGGATCTCAACCATTTACAAGATATTAGAACATTGGGGGTGGGGGGACCCCTGGGGACTGACCGTATACGTCATTCAAATGTTCGAGACATGACAAATAGGAATATATATGGTTTAGGGGTGGGGATCTCAACCATTTACAAGATATTAGAACTTTCTCAAATGGCAGGGGGTGGGGGTGACCCCTGGGGACTAACCCTGTATTTCATTTGATGTGCTTTATCATGACAAACCAGAATATATATAGTTTAGGGGTGGGGATCTCGACCATTTACAAGATATTAGAACTTTCTCAAATGGCAGGGGGTCGGGATGATCCCTGGGTACTAACCCTGTATATCATTCAAACCATCTTAGCATGACAAACCAGAATACATATGGTTTAGGGGTGGGGATCTTGACCACTTAGAAGATATTAGAACTTTCTTAAATGGCAGGAGGTTGGGGTGACCCCTGGGGACTAACCCTGTATTTCATATGATGTGCTTCATCATGACAAACCAGAATATATATGGTTTAGGGGTGGGGATCTCGACCATTTACAAGATATTAGAACTTTCTCAAATGCAAGGGGGTCGGGATGACCCCTGGGGACTAACCCTGTATATCATTCAAACCATCTTAGCATGACAAACCATAATATATATGGTTTAGGGGTGGGGATCTTGACCACTTAGAAGATATTAGAACTTTCTTAAATGGCAGGGGGTGGGGGTGACCCTTGGGGACTAACCCAGTATTTCATTTGATGTGCTTTGTCATGACAAACCAGAATATATATGGTTTAGGGGTGGGGATCTCGACCATTTACAAGATATTAGAACTTTCTCAAATGGCAGGGGGTCGGGGTGACCCCTGGGGACTAACTCTGAATATCATTCAAACCATCTTAGCATAACAAACCAAAATATATATGGTTTAGGGGTGGGGATCTTGACCACTTACAAGGTATTAGAACTTTCTTAAATGGCAGGGGGTGGGGGTGACCCCTGGGGACTAACCCTGTATTTCATTTAATGGGCTTTATCATTTAGAACATTTTCAATTAAAAAGATTGTGTCTATCACAAACGGTTTTCAATTTATAATCATTTGAAAATTAAAAAAAATAAAATCCCATAGGGTTCTATAGTAAAACCCTCTTTTCTTTTTGCCCCTCAAAGTACTCCTTTATAAACCCCATTGCACAAACAAAACCCTGATTGCACCACTAGACATGTTAGTCTAACATATTGTGAAACCTTAAGTTAATCTGACAAGCGGTTTTGGAGAACGGGTGCGGACAAGTTCAAATTTAAAAGCGGCGGAAGAAGAAGAAGAAGAAGAAGAAGAAGAATAATAATAATAATAAGAACTGAGCAAAAACAATAAGTCTTCCCAAACTTCGTTTGGGAGACTTAAAAATATCATTAGTTGGAGCCAACTGATCAATTGGAACACAGTAAAACAGGTTTACCCTCCCTGAAGCTCAATGTCTCACCTGAGAAATTTTATTTTCAGAGCCTAACAATTGTTTATATAGCTCTAGATAACATTCAAATTGAACTATAAAACAGCTGTAATAAAATAGGATAACACTTGTATGATATATGGTGCAACTAAAACTTGGTGACATTAAAGTATGTGATTTGATATGGCAATCAAAAGTAGTGTGATATGGGGTTCTTTAATATGGCGTGATGAAAATCTGTCTGGATCATGGTTAATGATTTATTGTGGTTTAAATACTAACAATGTATGTCTGAATCAAAGGAACATGGTAAACCCAATTTTCTATTTCACCCCTGCCCCCCCCCCCCCCCCTTTTGCCCATTAATTATTAAAATGTGATACTGTGTATATGAATTACAATTTCTTTTACAGGATGGATTAATACAAATGAACAAAGAAACGGCAACATAATCTTGGTCAGAAAATTGTAATCTACTGTTTAATGAGTAAATCTGAAGCATAAGAGGAACATTCTTAAATATCTCTTATTTAACTTTATGATAAAGTGAAAGAAAATAAGCGGTCAAAAATCATAAAATGTTGTCATAAAAAAGGAAGTGTATTTAAAAAAAAGGGCATTTTGACAAGATAAAAAGCCAAATTATAGAACAGAATGAGATCCTTAACCAAAGATTATATATACCAAATTATGAATAGATTCTGTAAAAAATGGAGAAGTCATGAGACTTTATGGCACATTCCTGTATAGTGACAGGGCAACTTTCTATTTATGACTTAATCATTAACTGGAGTATGTATCATAGTTGTTACAGTATGAATTTAACTATTTAAAAACTATGTAGACCAGTTACCCTCTACATACATTTGTAAATTATTGTCTCATGAGAAAAGGTAATGTTTCTTAACTTTTATGTTCAAATGTTTCAACTATTGATCGATAATGCCATTTTTATCAAATAAATCATTACCACATAAGAGTATCACATTATTTATGTAAATGATAAAAATAAAAAACTTCTTTAACCTTTAACCTAATATCACATGTTCATCAAACTCCAGGAGTTTTAGTCCCATACACTGAATGGTGTAACTTTTTCAACCTTGGTCTCTTTTTCTTGGTTTTTGCCTTGCCTTTATAATACTGATTGAGTAAAAATAACAACACTAATCCTGTGCCTACGAAGGCCAGTACAGGGTATACCCCTGCAGTATCCACATTATGCACTGAATGTCTGTCTCTAAAATGAGGTTCATGTGGAAGCCCAACAGGTTCTTTAATTTCCTGTGCTCCAATGTCTAAAGTTTTTCGTTCATTTCCTATGATAACTGCTTCATCTAAACCTACTGAAAGTAACTTCTGCTGTTGAAATAGATTTCTGAAAAAACAACAACAATAAAATTAAAAGTATTGAAACTAAAACTGCTCTGATGGAACTCGGCTAAATCAAACAACTTTCGGTAAAATTTAAATTGAATTGACCAGTTGCAAGAAAATGAGTTAACAATTGTGTGAGTTTGAGTGCAAGTCAGGAAGATGTCATTTAGCCATGTCAAAGCTGAAAGAGAATGCAAAAGAAACATAAAAGTGTGCTGTAATGTGGTCTAGCAAATATTTGGTGAGAAAAATCTTGCATATTTGCTTTTATCTTGTTTTGTCCAGAGTAAATATGAAAATAACTTATATATTTGCATACTAGTCGAAAGCTAGTGGTTTACAGTCAAGTGTGAAAAAAAATACTTGTTTGCAGGTTTGTTTTGTTATTATGTGATTTAGTTATAAATATATGACTATTTTTTTATGTCTTTTTTTATTGGGCTTAAGCTCACTCTATGATGTATATATGCTTATCTTTGAAAACCCACAGTGTGAACTTCAGTCGTTCATTTTACTCCCATGTATTCCCATATCAAGTTTCTTTTTTTCAATACTGTTCATTGGATGGGATGTGCATACACTTTCATGAATGTCACTATATGTGTAACATTATTATATTTTGCAACAATGTGTATAAGCTACTTACATATTTGCTGTCTTGTTGAGAGGATGTGGTTTAGCCCATACTTGATGAGGACAAGGAGGAAGTACTTTTGACACTGTAGAACCAAGATGTCCTTCAATAACTTTAGAATATCTATGTAGATGGTTACCTACAAATAAAACAAACAGTAATTCAATCCTACTTTCTTAAATCACTCAATGAAACCAAATTCTACACAAGAAATTGACACAAACAAACAACTATAATCAAAACATATTTCAGTGAATCATTGAAATAATTTTATTTTTTTATTTCTCTTCTCTAGAGTTTTCAAAAGGAAGGTTGTATGACATTGCGTCATTTTTCGAAAAAAAACGGGGGGGGGTTCTAACCCTCGGAACATCATGAAAAGTTCACATAATTGAAAAAAATCAAAAAAGGGGGGTCCAACCCTGGAACACCACCCCCTCCCTTGATCAGCCAATGTCACATAAACAAGCTTAATTTTCATAAAAAGCTATTTCAAAAATAAGTGTACAAGTGCTAGATAGAGTGTTTTGTTTAACCCACCAGGCTATTATTTCATTAACCTAAACACCTCCTTTAAAGAACTTTTTGTGTTCTAGTCTTCTATACAAACCTTCCATTCTGGTAGGAAGTTCAGAAGAGGTCAAGGAAACATGATCCTGACCAGTAAACAGAGGAACCATGTTGTTATAAGCTGTGTACTCCAACAGGGCACTCAGTAACCAATAACAGTCTGTAATAAAATAAAGTTATGAAGTATATGCAAGCAAACATATAAAGTTCAATTTATTGAAGTTATCATATTTGACTAAGTAATTGCCTTGGTGTATCTAAAAATCCAAAAGATGAGAAGGTTTTCATAACTGCTGATTTTGTTTGCTACATGTATCACTCACTATTACTAGGTATTGGTACCACAGATACAATAAGTCACACAGATCAAGATCTGTTGTACACAATTGCAACATCCATTGTATTATAATGACGATGGGAAATACACACAAGTATCTGCTGTACAAGATGTCCAAAACAATTGTTTTTAATAGCAACCTAGAATTAAATCCCATTGTATCTGCTGTACCTATAGCCAGTAACAGGATGTGATGAATATATAATAAATGTAGAATTTATACATGGAAAGCAGGTTATGTTAACATATATGATATAGCAATCCAACAACACAATTAAACTGTTAACACAGAGATATGTCTTGCCTTTTTGTTATTTTGATAATGCAAATGTTGAAATTAAAATAGCAATACTTAACATGTATTCAAAGTCAATGAACCATGACTTGTAAATGACATGCACAGGGCTAAAAGCAATCTCCATGGAAATAAGATGTGCCAATGCTTATACAACTGCATACCAAATATGACTGACTTATCATAAGTCATTCCCCTTAAACAAACCTAAACATAAACATTAACTTGTAAACTATGTGAAAGTTTCAAAGTCAATGAACCAAATATTCTCCATGGAAATGAGATGTGTTAATGCTTATACAACTGCATACCAATTATCATTGACCTACCACTAATGGTTCCCCTATAACTGAACTTATCACAAACTAATACATGTAAACTAAGCGAAAATTTCAAAGTCAATAGACCATGACTGAGGGGGCAGGGCCAAATAATCTTTTTGACTCCGTCAATGCGAGACAATTACTGTAGTTTCATAATTGTTCGTAGAATATCAACTTTTGTGTATTTAATGACTATAGGTAAACCACGAATTTAAATATTCTAGGAAGTAGGAATTTTCTATATGCTGAAATGTAGATTTAGGCAAAACCACAAAATAAAATATCAAAGAAAATGTGATTTTTCCTCAATCCACAAAACCGGTATCCATGAAAATAAATGAATTCATAGTAACCAAAAAATGTTTTGAGATCTACCTTTGGAAAATGCTCAAACATGTATAACAATATAATCCTTACCTTTCTGCATATGACTGTTGTCAAGACAATTAGAATCACCATATAAGGCAACCCTTCCACTATCTGGTCCCCCAGATGATGTCTGATGTATTCCTAGTATAGGCACTGTATCCACTGATTTTGATTCACCTTTTAGCACTTCATGTCCTTGAAATAAAATATTCATAAATGTATAAAACTAAAATCACAAGGCACATCAGCAGCCAACATAGGGACTCTGTGGTCAAGTGGTCTATGTTGTTCTTTTACAGAAATCTACAGCCGGTCAACACTTAAAAAAAAAACTTTTACCCCAGACTGTATCTAAATGATAACTGCAAAAAGGCCATTTGTCAGTAAAAAAACAGTCTGGGATTAAATTTTTTCGACATGATAAATTTGTAAACCTTCATGGATTGTTATGAAACTTGAACAGAAGCTAATCTTCAAGACCAAGAAATAGCACCTTAAGAAAAAGTTTGATTTTTTTTTCAAATTCTGTATTTTACTGATAAATGGACTCAAGTCAACATTACACTTTTAACACTTACAGCAGCAATTAGAGGCAAGACACAGGGTTCCGCGGAACCCCTTACAAATTTTTTGTCTATATTAGGGGCTAAGCAACATTTAAAAATATATTTCAATTTACAAAATTTAATATAACAAATTCACAACTTCTTTTACACTTACCTTGGTCTTTAAGATTCTGTGTAATAAGAACTCCATCTGATGGAAACTTGGCAATACTTGTACCAGAGGCATAATACACTGCAAAATATTTTTTTCTTATTTTTCTTGTTATTCTGTCTTATTTTACCTTCATTTCTATTAATAAGCAAAGCAGAAGTTGATTGTTCTATAAAATTAAGAGTTCTTTGATAAATAAATACTTGAAAAATGTTATGGACTTGTCCAGCAAGAAGTCAACATGTTTTTGAAGGATAAATAGAAATAAAATAATGAAAAATAGAATTTTTGGGACAGTTTAGACCAGTTAAATAAAACTTACACTCACCTATAATGAAATATTATTAATCAAAATATACATTAAATATGCTGAGATGATTTTTGTTTTAGTAGTTTAACAATATACTTACTATCATGATCTCCCATCATAAAATCTCCTTCATAAACTTCATCACTAAAAATATACATTCTTACATCATCAAAAACAGTGAAATATTCAAATAAAATAACTCAAATACAATTCAATGTCATAAAAATAATTTCTAAAATTAACAAGAGCAATTGTAGTGTATGAGTCAATTTTTTTATGAGATCAAGTATGAACCAATAAAATTTGGTTGCAATTCATGCAGGAATAACTAAAATTTTCTTGGAAATGATTTCAAATATTTAAAAGTGTGGTTAATAATATAAACCCCAATCATATTCATTAATACAGTTGTAGGCCTAAATAGTGGTCTGTCACAAAATGCAGAAAAATTTATTCCATTCAACGATATAAGCTTTCTTATGCATAAGGCCAAAATAAATAAATAGTGTGTTTCCTATTTCACCTCCAAAAAAATTAGGTAGGGTAGGTAGGTAAAACATTTTATTTTATGAAAACATTTTATTTTTTTTCTATTGTCGACAGCAATAAACAAGGTTCCAAATCCAATCCTTGATAAGCCACCCTTTGCCCGATTCTTTAATATTTAGAATAGTACTTAAATCTACAGCATTTTTAATTTTCTATTTTAGTTCTGTCAGAAATATGAAAATAAACTTCATGGGTCAAAATAGGGAATATCATCTAGTCAATGAATTATCTTAAACCAAAAATGGCAGTGAAAAATCATGGCATGTTATGTATGTCCTAGTTGAACCTAACAATGTAAATGACACACACTGGTTACGGGTGGGAGCAGATTTGATATTACCCCTTGAACACATTGTGAACTGATGCTTAGCAGAGGTTGATTATGATGTTTCGAGGGGTAAACTCTGCCCTTGCACCCTCTTTATTTAATATATAAAGATGTGTTTTCAAATAAATTGCAGAAATAAATATAACATGTAACTAACATGTATACATTGTTATATGGACCAGCCAGAGAAAAATAAAAGAATAAAAGTTGACATGGTGCCAGGACAGATTCATTTATAAATGAACATGAATCATACACCATGTCTGCCATGGGAAAGCTTCTTTCTTCACTTTCTCGTTACACATTGTTGTCCCCTGTCATCATTAACTCAACTGCTCAGAGGCATTGACAGCCATTTTTGTTACGTCTTGAGCACAATTGGGTATGTACAACATTCACGAGAGCGTTTTTTACAACAATAGCTGGACTGATTTTAGCAGCGAATTGAACACATTACACTCTATAACCGTAAATTCACTGACAGATACCGTCTGTCCAACCTTGAACGATTGACTTTTAGTCCAAAGAAGTTGAGGAAAATATGTCAGCTTCATACGTTTTTCGTCTATCAGGATCATCATGATGTTCTTCAAAAAGGTTCATCAGATCGTAATTAATATCCGGAATCAATGTCATTATATTGTTTGCGTCCATGTGATCATATTTCGTATATTTGACAGATAATACATGGCACGGTTGTCGACAAGCCTAACTGTGGAACTGAAACTCTCATGGTCTTTATTATGTTTTCTGATTTGTGTGAAAAGTCAGCAAATTGTCAAAAAATATCAAAAAACCTACGGGCTACGGTTTCCCAGCTACCACAAGCTATGCTTGTTTATTAGAAATCTTGGTTCTTGATGCACTTTACTGATGCATATAAGTCGTAACTGTCAAACACTTTGCGGATCAATAGTATTCTAAACAGATAATCGGATCCTGGAAAACCAAAAATTCCGGATTTAAAATTTTTTTTTAAATTGTCAATAAAATGTTTAGGGTCGATGTCAGAAGCAGAGGTAGGGTAGGGAAACCGGAAACACACAATTTATTTCTTTTGGCCTAACCGAAGACCTTCCCAAAGCACAACTAAATATGGTTATTACCCAGTATTTCATAGGACTGTTGTTCAATATATATATAGATTCTACCACTGCATCAAGTGTGATACAATATTTATCTACTTGAGACAGTTAAATTTTTAAAATTTAAAACATGAGGCTCGCCAAGCGTTTTAAATATTTAAAATTTAACTGTCGAGAGTGGATAAATATCGTATTGCACGAGATTTGGTGGTGGAATCTGTTTCTCTAATGATTATTAGACAATATACAGACAATCTTAATCCTTCTTTTCGAATGATCTACAAAAAGATGTGTTCTTTCTATGTGACGTCATCAGGCATGGTCGCCTTTTTTTCATGACGTCACAATAGGAAATTTAGAGGAATGCAAGAAAATTTGACATCATAATCGAATTTTGACCAATGAAGAACTGAGATCAAACGAACCACACCTTGATTAAAAAAAAATTATCAACAGCTCAGGAAAAGGATAAATCAGGTAAGAACTAGAGAAATATATATATCTTTCTACTTTCATCCTTAAGACTGTACTTAACATATTTACCAAATTATACATACCTAAAGGCCATGCCTAGAGACATTATCAAATCGTTTAAGGCTGGTATATTGGCTCCACCTGTGTCTGGCATCCACCATTGTCTAAAATAATAATTCTCAATCTTAATGGACAAAAACATATAAAACTGTATTTATTAATAAATAAAATTCCATAAGCCAAAAAGTCAAGATTACACACTAATTTATTTCAGATATCAATATTCTGTTGCACTAAATATTTAGATTTGATCTATGACCTTGCAGTCAGCTTTAATTCACATTTAAAATTTTATAGTAAAACAGTATACCAAGTTTGAAGAAATTCAAATGTAAAACTCAAATTCCTACATCTAAAAACTTTTATATCATTTTGTCCCTTTTAACTTATATCTTCGATTTTGAAATTAAATTGGCTTCATGGTCTCACTATGTCAAGCCAAATGTATGGCTGGATTTAAGTTCAAGCTCTCTTGTTGGAATATACTGTGGAGTATACACATGGTCAAACAAACTTCATACTTTATTATCTCTGCAAACTTTTTTTCTAGGATTAAATCAAAATACTTATCTCAATAACACTTGGCAACCATAACTTACCTAGTATTTTCATCGTAGAATTTGACCTTTTTCATAACTGATACATTATACCAATCAGCAAAAATGATGACAGATAAACCATTGTCTATATCTCTCTTTAGTTTTGTTACTTCTTCTGGAAAGTATTCTTCCTCCGCATCAACAATCAACAGAGTACCATACTGACTAGCATCAAAACATGTGAAAGGTGAACCTGAAAAAAGAGTAAATTGACAGAAATTACTATGCATTCCTGACATTAGAATAGGTCTTAGGTGAACCTGAAATTTAGTACAACCAACAATCAACCATATTCTGTATTTATAAGCCAAGCATCAATATAGAACAGATGACCATGAAAAAACTTTAAAATCAGATATAAAATTGCTGTAAATCAACTTATTTTCACTATATTTCGTGTTTTAACTTTTAAGGAAGACTTCCAGACAATTTATTTACACAATTTTCTAAGTTTGTTGATGTTTTTATATTAGGGAATATCCTAGTTTGACAAATTCATACAATTTCTATTCACATTATTTTTCTACTCCTGAAACATACGAAGATATATTGACTGTGAAAATTAGTTGTTTACAGTATTCAAAATAAAATATGAACAATAGACCCAATATTTACTTTCTCAACCATTAACAAATACAAGTAACCCTTAAAAGTATTATTGCCTTCATTCACAAAACATTGTCACTGTTATTTTGGATGAAATCTTATATAGACTGCATAAATCCAATTCAAATTAACGCTTAAAATATTTTGATAATATGACAACAGCACATTCTTACCTAAGACCTCTATAAAATATCCATTGCTTCTCAGATGATGATACATGTCTTTGAAATTTGTATGAATATGGTCTCCATTCCTGAAAAAACAAACAATTCTAATTTGCCTAGTTAGTGTTACTAGTAAACATAAAGCAAACATGGACATCTCTCTTTTTTAAATTGTTCAATTTGAAGAGAAAAATTTATTGAACAATATTTTTTTACTTTTAACTATCTTATTTGTATAATGTTGTCAAACATTATCTGAGTTTTTTTTTCAAATATTTTGAGTGGGAGACCTTTTGTTTTAAACAAATACTTGCCAAAAAGATCATCATTTTGACATAATTACATACTGTTAATTATTCATTGCCATTATTATTGTTAGAATTATCATACCTATAAACTGACAAAAATGTGAGAATAATAAATGTGGTTTCAGGAAATGCTGCATATAAATATAGAGAAATGTTATGATTGTCATTCCCATGGCATGAGCATAAATTCAACTTTGAAACTTCATGAATTCACTTTGCTCTTCATTGAGTCATGGTATTTTAGCTCATTGAGGGAACATTCGAAATTTCTAAAATTGTAACTGCTGAACTCAAACTAAGCCTCCAGCAAATAATCCATATACAATGAGAATTTGAAAATTGTTTCACAATTTTTAAAACTACTACTAATCCAATCAAATTTTCCTAATAATAAAACATTGCTAAATTTCCAAATTAATGGTGCTTCAGATAATTGGTAAAAAAAAGTACTAATGAATGTTCCACATGAAGACTTCAACTCTGTACTCACCAATCTAAAGGATCATTCTTCATTCTCAGGTTGTCTCTGGGAAAGTAGCCTGGTGGATATCTCAAATTGTGAAACTGATCCCATAGAATTCTTTTGCTGCAAATAATTCATATAAATCAATAACACTTTAAACTTGAAACTGGTTGAAAGCTTGACAATATTTCATGTTTGTTATGCATTTTGAATGAAATGGATGTCTGTGAAATATCTTAATTTCTCATTTTCAAAAGTAGACTTTTTGCAGAAGTTGCATGCAAAATTTCCATAAAGTTTACTTTTCAATGGAGACTTCATCTGTTGATATATAATGTGACAGTTTTGTGTATATTTAAGTACATTTAGCTATGTTGAAAGACTTGCATAGTGGCAAATTATAAAGTTACGAATTGTTTAGTCTATAAGAAAACCTATAAGATTTCCTGTTCTCTTTGTGCAAAATGGATGCAATTTGGGTACTGTTACATTACAGGATAGTAATCACTGTAGATGACATACTAAGACCAGTCTAATCCTAATGTGTCCTCTGGATGTGTTACAATGTAGGTCTGTTAGTTTATTTAAAAAGCAAGCATATTTTAATGAGGTTGGTTTTTTTTTTCAGACAGAACTTGCAAGCTTAGTCAGTTAATATTTATATTTCTACTTTTATGTAATTAGAATTTCAGATAATAAAATTTTCATTATTATGTTTATACCAGATATTCTTTTGTTTAGCAATCTCTTGGTGAGTTTTCATAAGATTTTTGTGTTTTTATCTAGACGTTGTAAAATCTCTAACCTTTCATGCATTGTTTTTTCATTAAAAGGCCTTATGGCCAATTTTTCATTCATATCGCTTAATTCAACTTGTAGAAAAAGACTTTTTTGTTAAATACATGTAACATGTTCATGACTGCATATTCTATATAATTATTTAGTATCATAATGATGGCTTCATATTTTATATAATTATTTGAATTTAGACTAATTACCTTCTAGGTGGAGTAGGAATAATTTTCACTTTGACAGGTAACCTAAGTTCAGTTCTTCTTGGTTCTGCTTCATCATACTGAAATTGATCATAAGTTAATAAAAATCATATATTTGGTAAGTCTTATGACATAAGCTTAAGAATATTACAGCGGATCTATTTGAGTGAGTTCATAAAATTCCAAATTTCTTATAAATTACAGGAACAATAATTCTTTAATAACTACCAAATTCGGGTGTGAATTATATGCATATTTTTAACCAAGACACATAATTGGTAGATGGGGTGTTTATTAAACTGTACTATAGGCTCAGGTGTGGCTTATACACAAATGCAGACAATACATGGCCAAATATGGTATTGTAAATATAGAAACTGGTCAACCTTGTTATTCAGTCATCTTTATGCTACCTGTTCTGTGATTAGTTAGGTTAATGATGAAAATATTGTTGCTCTTTGAAAAGACAGAAACAAATGTTTTACCAATTAAATGGTCCTTCTAACAAACAAACAAACTTAACATCATTGTCCTTTGCACACACTTAAGAAGAATAGATGAGAAAAAAAAAGATTTCACTCTTTCACCATACATTTTTTTAAATGATAACATTGAAAACTGCATGAACAATTTAGTATTGGAAGAATTGTTAGTGCATAATTTAGTAACTTAGTTATATTCTGTAAAGTTCAGTACTATGAAAATCTTTCATACATGATCCCAAATCTAAATATAAATGAAAAAGAATGAATGAATTTGTACCTTCTGTCTGCACAGTAGAATGTGCTTATGAGCTTGAGGTAAATGCTACTAAATTTTATCAGTTTTGGAGTTAGTGCTGTGTTTGTAGAGATGCTTTTTGTGTAGTTTGAATTCTGTCTCATTGACGTATACCCACATCTACTTTTAGTAATGCATATTGCTAATACCATATTCACAATCATACCTCTGGTGGAGATTCTACTGTTAGAGTTATCTGTCCTTCAGCTATTCCATCCCAGGTGGCACCACTTTTACTAACTGTTATGGATACAGCCAGATACCCAGACCATGGCCAAAGTGATGAAGAATAAGTGAAAGCAACCTCTATATGCGTACCATGCTGTGGAACATAGGGTTGCCATTCAGGCTGTAAAACAATAAAACATAAAATAAGAAATCATGTTGATATGAGCTGTCCAATAAAGGCACACAGGTCTTCCCTAAAGGTGGCTCTAATAAAATAGGTTGGTGTCAAAACTTGCTTTGGATGGCAAAAATAATGTATCATAATTTTCTGCAGGTAGCAAGTTTGTTCAAATGGAACAGGCCAATTAAATAAAAAAAAAAAAAGTTCTGGAGTTCACTATGAAAGTTATATACTCTGGATATAGTGAATATCTATAAGTTCACAAGCTTGATATTTTACTAATTGCTTTAGAAATCACATTTTATGATGATATACTTTTTTAATTTTTTTCTGATTTTTTTAAATTTTGTCTTTTTCAACTTTTAACAAGAATGTGTCAATAGTACATGGATACCCCACTCGCACTATCATTTTCTATGTTCTGTGGACCATGAAATTGGGGTCAAAAATCTAATTTGGCATTAAAATTAGAAAGATCATATCATAGGGAACATGTGTATTAAGTTTCAAGTTGATTGGACTTCAACTTCATCAAAAACTACCTTGACCAAAAACTTCAACCTGAAGCGGGACAGACGGACGAACGGACGAACTGATGGACGGACTAACAGATGCACACACTGAAAAACATAATGCCCCTAGGTGGGGCATAAAAATCATGATAGTTCTAAAAGGATGAAGAAACCATAACATCTATTAAATTACAAACCTTATTTACAATCTTGCCTGATACACCCATTCCATTCAAAATGGTCACCTGCAAAGTATAAAATAATACTTACTTAAAGGGGCACTAGCTACGAGATATAAAAAAATTATAAAATATGATTTTTTTTTGTTCAATCATTAATGAAAGTGGAATAGTGAAATAATAATTCGCATTTAGCAGCCAGTATTGTCTAATTTTGTCAAAATAAGCAAATAAATATTGATGATGAATTATTCACTTGCAAGTGAATAATTCGACCTCATTGAATCCGTATTCATGTGAACTTCAATTTAACCCCTTAGATAGAGTTGGATAACGCATGAATTGTGTGCATGTTTGATTATTTAAAGGAAAAGAATGTCAACACTGAAAGTAAACAAAGGTAATTCATTTAATTGACTGATTCGATCCTCAAAAAAATCCTTCTTATACAGGTAAAAATGATGATTAACACATATTTTTAATCTATAAATGAAATTAAATGGACCTAGAAGAATCCAATTGCACGAGTTGCGCTATCTATTTATATCTTTATTTATGTTTATATCCCTTATATGGGCATCGGTGGTTTTCGGGAGGACAGTTAATTAGATGGCGTTTAAGACTAAAATACACACAAAACCAAGCTACATATTATCAACCCTATGCCTTGTAAATTGTTTATTTTAGATTTTTTATAATTTGGATAAATGTTTTACATTGTTATATAACAAATATGAGAATTTGAGTCAAATCGGTGAACATGAATTTGACAGCTAGTGCCCCTTTAAATAAACCAGAATTCCTACATACATGTACATCATAAACTGTAATCACAGAGATATGTCTCGCCTTTTTGTAATTTTGATAATGCAAATGTTGAAATTACAATAGCAATACTTTAACATGTAAGTTATGCAAATATTCAAAGTCGATGAACCATGACTGAAGGTACATGGCTAAACAATCTCCATGGAATGAGATGTGCCAATGCTAATACAACTGCATACCAAATACCATTGACTTATTATAAGTCGTTCCCTTTAAAAAAACCTAAACACAAACATTAACTTGTAAACTATGTAAAAGTTTCAGAGTCAATGAACCATGATCAGGGGTGCATGGGGCTATATAATCTCCATGGAAACGATACTTGCAAATGCCAATACATTTGCATACCAAATATCATTGACTTAATATTAGCAGTTCATCTTAAACTGATCTAATCACAAACTAATACATGTAAACAAAGCAAAAGTTTCAAAGTCAATAGACCATGACTGAGGGGGCGGGGCCAAATATTCTCCATGGAAATGAGATGTGCTAATGCTTATACAACTGAACACCAATTAACATTGGCCTACCACTAATGCTTCCCCTTGAACTGACCTAATCACAAAGTAATACATGTTAACTTAGCAAAATTTTCAAAGTCTATAGACCATGACTAAGGGGGCGGAGCCAAATAATCTGGAAGGAAATGAGATATGCCAATGCTTATACAACTGCATACCAAATATCATTGACCTACCACTAGTGGTTCCCCATAAATTGACCTAATCACAAACTAATACATGTAAACTATGAAAAGTTTCAAAGTCATAAGACCTTGACTGAGGGGGCGGGGCCAAATAATCTTCATGGTAATGAGATGTGCTAATGCTAATACAACTGCATACCAAATATCATTGACCTACCACTAGTGGTTCAACATGAATTAGACCTAATCACAAACTAATACATTGTTGACGCCGCCGCCGGAAACAGCATACCTGTCGCACTTTTTGACTCCGTCAAGGCGAGACAAAAACCATGCATAAATTCATATGCAAATGACATTACTTATCGACATCTTTCTTGCATGGTGTAACTTGTTTCAAAATCATTATAAAAATACATCACGTGTTTTCAAAATATATCATCCTAAAAATATATTAGCTGCGAGATAAAATTGCCATGCAATTACTGTGGGTTCGCAAGTTTCGTGAATTTCATGGGTAAAGGAAAACATGAGTTCAAATGTTAAATGAGGTACACATTCTCTATAAGCTTCTATGCAGACTTTGGCAAAACCACAAATCAAATAGCCACAAAAGTACAATTCTTCCTTAATCCACAACAATACAATTCTTCCTCCATCTACAAAAATTGGTATCCACAAATATAAATGAATCCAAAGTTTTTTTTTTTAAGTTATAAATTTTATGTAACAGATCTAAATACAACAGCTGTTTCAGTGCATTCACAATAATTCATAGACACTAAAATTTTCCAAGTTAATTAGATACTCAAAACATTCTTGTCTAATTATATCCTGAAATTTCCAAGCTAGGTTCTTTCATTTAGCAATTTACAGCTTCACAGTTTTGACCTGAGTCTTCTGTGAACTGTTTTCAGAACAGACATGCCCTGGGTAACTTTAAGTTCAAACTTCTAATGACTTACATTGACAATAGAAGGCATTCCACCATAATAAATTGGCTGTGTGCAATATGGCCACATGTAAGGACATTCTGTCAGGTCAATGTAACTGGGACTCAAACTGCAACAAAACCATACAATCACACATTTTACACTAGCAACTCAGTATACTGTAAATTTAGAAACTTTTCTGATGTTTTTATTATAGTGAAAAATTAAACAAGGCTAATATTGCATTAATTAGATCTTAATTTCTAAATTCAGATGACAGCACATAATTTTTATGTATACATTTTATGAAAAAGAATAAACACATGCAATAAATAAAATATAAACTAAAAGTGTTGATAAATTATGCCTCCAGATAGAAGATTCATCTATATACTTCACAAAGAACCTTGATTATAAATGACATAATGGTCTATACCTGGCCTGAGGTTTATATGTCCTGAGTGTCTGGTAAGCTCTAATAAGATCCAGTTTCCCATGGCCTTGTTCAAACATGTTGACTTCAGGGAGTCTTCTTGCTGATGCCATCAAGGCTTGTTTCATACTGGCAGGATTGATAACATGTGATCTATCTAGTACAGCACTGTAAAACAAGTGAGATTCTATAATGGTAATTTTATTAGGTCTAGGTTGATATAAAGTAATCCCCAGAGTAGTAACAGTTTTAAACCGGTTACGTTTGTACAGAAAATACATGGTATGTCTTGATAAGAGAAATTGTATAAAAAGGTTTCCATTTTACACAAAATTCAGTTCACACCTAAAAATCACTGAAATTGCTAAATTCATCCTTTTAACCACAAATTACAGTTACACATATTTCAAAATTCTCAAAATTTTCGAATTTATTTTTAAATATATATAAAAAAAATTATCATCCAAATTTACTCTTTAAATTAAAAATTATCTCTTACCTGTACAAGAGAGTTACTGCCCCTGCTACAACTGGTGAAGCTACACTTGTTCCAGATAATGATCTACATCCACCTCTGGAATCATGAATAAAATATTAAGGAACAGGGGTTAATCAATATTTTTAAGTAAACAGAGTATAAATTCAATATTCATCAACACTTTGATGCCTTAATTTTCAATTTAAGCATTAGAAATATATACATATATATTGAGTAAACTATAAAATATAAATCTTGCTTCATGTTCTTACAAACCAACAATCTTTTAAAAATTACTGGTGTCTATATTATTCATTGCAATGTTTTATAGTCATGAGATTACAGTTCTATTTTTACTTACTTAAGAGCAGAGCCTCTAACAGCTGAACCATAGGTTACAATATCTGGTTTTATTCTGCCATACCCTCTAGGTAGTTCCTGAAAAAAAAAGTATTTTCAGAACAAACCTTTCTAAATTGTTCTCAAATTATTGAAAAATAATAATAACTTTATTAATCAGATGTAGGAAAGCAAAATATTCTGCCACTGGGTCAATGATGGAAAATATTGACTGCTAAGGCTATTTTAAGATAAGCACTTCAAATAACAAGTGAATCTGTGAGCTACTGCTCACTAATGATACCCCCGCCCGCTAAAGGTATAAGTTAAACAGGAAGTTGTTGAGTGATGAATCTGAAAATGTATCACAAGGTATAGCTGACTCATATAAACCCTGAAACCAAATTTCAGAAATCCTTGTAATGTAGTTCCTGAGAAAGATGCGGCGAAAAATATTCATGGGATGGATGGACAGACTGACGGACAGACAGAGGTAAAACAGTATACCCCCACTTTTTTAAAGCGGGGGTATAATAATACTATAATACATTCGTTTATTTCACTTTTTTCTATATATATATATACATATTATCAGTTTACAGTTATGAAATTCAACATGAAGAACCTACCCATGTTGTCATGCCTCTTGAAGAAAAGCGAGCTATTTGGTTTTCAAAGTTAATTCCCCCAACTCCAATAACATCCATCTGGTCTGCTGGATTGTTTAATGTCCTGAAATAAATCAAGTTAAATTAAACTACATTTGTACAACTTTCTGTTTTGGAAACAAAATATTTTGAAGAAAAATGCTGCCAAACACCAAATAGATAGCCAGTTGCAGTTGTTTAATTTAATATACAGTGTATATTACAGTTAGTTGTGACTTGGAAGAGTTACAAATAAAGGGATTTCTTCTGTTGAGTTATTTTTCATTAGGTTTTTTATCAATCCAAAGGCAAAATGCATAGGATAATGTGAAGAAAGGTTTCCATTACATTGTTTCATTATTACTTCAAAGGGAGACCACTCTTGTTACTGAAAACACATTTTTTTTGGCAGAAATTCATTTTACAAAGGCATTGAATCTACCAAAATCTTGATTGAGTAAGGTAAATGCAAGATATCCTTTTCAATTATTACTACATATAAATCATACTGCTGTATCCTGTTAAATAGGATGTTTCTTTATAGTTAAGTTTACAAAATTTAAAACTCGAGACTTGCTTGACAAGCATTTTAGAAATTGAAAAATGAGTAATCCAACATGGCAGAATCTGATTTTCATGACATAAATTATTCATATTAGCCTTGATCAATATCTGACAGGAAATATCCAAACATATCTAATTCAGACTCACCCATAAAGTGGACCATCATTTCCAATGGCAGACACCATGATCACTTTATTTGCTGTAAGTTCCCAAACCTTGAGAAAAGATAATACAACTAAATACTTACTGGTGTCAAATACCTTCTTTTATATATGTGTTGTAAAGTTTGGACAATAAGACAATGATTTTTCTTGTGAAAGTTAACCGCCTTTTCTTCGGATCGACATATTTAAGGCATTTTTTTTATGAAATCCTGAACTTTTGACAGTATTAACAATGATTATATATTTTATATTTATAGGTTGGAGACAAGCAGATGAAAGTCTATTGTTACTTAATAATATTTAGTCATGACACCTTGTTTTATGTTATCTACAAACATTTAATGCTGTTTTTATACAAATTAACTATTTGAATGTTATAATGATTCAATGATAACAAATTGAAAACACAAAATCCCTGAGGTTTAGTAGGTTTAGTATACCTTATCTACAAAAGGATGGTCCATGAAATCAGGTCCACCAATACTCAGGTTCAGAACATTGATCTTCTTCAATATAGCATAGTTAAATGCATCTAAAAACCAAGAGGTGTAGGAAACCTGAAATAAACATGTCCAATGGAGGAAGTTATGTTAGAACATTGGTAAATGTAAAGATGATGTCAAAATTAAAAAAATCCAGTTAATTCTGAAAAATTTCATTCATGCAATACAAACTACTGGATCCCTTGACAAATAATGTGTATTTCTGTTACATTATAATTTGGGTTTTGTTTGTTACTAAATTATGCTGCATATTACAGGGAACACCAAAATACAGATTTACTCGAGAAAGGAGGTATTGTTATAAAATTATTCACACTGAAAAACTTCTTCAATACTCAATTCTAATGGAAGTCACTGATAACAATAAATTTACACAAATTTCATCATTGTTTATAAATTTACACTTACCTGGTTATTGGTGAATACTCTGAAGACATAAATATCAGCATCTGGAGCAAATCCTAGACATTCTTTAGAACTGGTTATAACACCTGCTACAAATGTACCATGACCTAGTCCTGGAATGAACAAATGCATGAGAGTCATTACATTATAAAGGAAGAGGGAGGATATGTCTTTATAAATCAACCCACAACCAACAAACTTTCTTTGAGTAATCTTGCAGACATCAACAAATGAATCACTGTGATATAGCCTTTTTGTGCTGATGCAGCATAAAGCAAAGACCAATCAATCAAATCAACAAATGAATCGCTGTGATATAGCCTTTTTGTGCTGATACAGCATAAAGCAAACACCAATCAATCAAATCAACAAATGAATCGCTGTGATATAGCCTTTTTGTGCCGATGCAGCATAAAGCAAACACCAATCAATCAAATCAACAAATGAATCGCTGTGATATAGCCTTTTTGTGCTGATACAGCATAAAGCAAACACCAATCAATCAAATCAACAAATGAATCGCTGTGATATAGCCGTTTTGTGCTGATGCAGCATAAAGCAAACACCAATCAATCAAATCAACAAATGAATCGCTGTGATACAACCTTTTTGTGCTGATGCAGCATAAAGCAAAGACCAATCAATCAAATCAACAAATGAATCGCTGTGATATAGCCTTTTTGTGCTGATGCAGCATAAAGCAAACACCAATCAATCAAATCAACAAATGAATCGCTGTGATACAACCTTTTTGTGCTGATGCAGCATAAAGCAAAGACCAATCAATCAAATCAACAAATGAATCCCTGTGATATAGCCTTTTTGTGCTGATGCAGCATAAAGCAAACACCAATCAATCAAATCAACAAATGAATCGCTGTGATATAGCCTTTTTGTGCTGATGCAGCATAAAGCAAACACCAATCAATCAAATCAACAAATGAACATACAATCGTTACCCTATATCCAAAAATAAAAGTTCCCTTTCCTACCCTCCAACATTCCTTTTAATTGAATAGCCATAAAAGAATTAAAGAAAGTGTGTACTTTTTTTAACATTAAGAAGTTGGATTACCTTTATCTACAAAATCCACGAAAAATTGATACCCCACAAATAAAATAGAATCCACATTAACACTCAATTCAAATTCATTCAAAAGCAAAATTTGTAACATGATATTGATTAGTTGATGAGAAATTAATATGATAATCTACAAAGGCTTTGCCTTATTCAATAGAATATTCTTCAATCATATCTATGCAAGCCATGTCCAATCAGAACCGTTTTATACTGTAAAACTAATCAATTTAATCTTAACTAACTAAAAACTTAAAAGATTTCATCATAATTTCTCACTATTACAACATTACCATCATCCAATGATTTTTCATTGGTCCAATTTGATCGATCTTTTATTTTGCCTCTTTTGAAATGTGGATGGTTTTCAGCTAGACCAGTATCAAATATGGCTACCTTGACACCCGCTCCTGTGTATCCCATGTTCCATAAAATTTCTGCTTGGAGTGCACTTACAATCTACAAAAATAAAAAAACAATTTAAAAAATTATGGAGACATACATTCAGTAGTTGTCACTTGATCATGTTTAAGGTAGTAAAATTTTCTGTTTTTGATATAATATAAAAAAATCAAAAATATGAAACCTTGTACAGTGACATAAATCATGTTTTTACACAAAAATTACAAAGTGTAATGTATTAAATATTTTAACTAAAAAACTGGATCCAAATTAAAATGTTCATATATTGAAAAAAGTTTCACTTGATTTACATTTTTTTTATAAAATTCAAGCTTCTTTAGAAAATGCTAGGATGGTTCTGCGATTATTTTTTCACAAAAACTGCATATTTTAAAGACATACCTGTTTGGGAACTGCTCTCAACAAATTTCTGCTTCTGTGACGAGCTGGTGAATGCCAGTAAGTTGCACTCTGAAAAATATATTATTAGAAATAATGCAATCTCTTATACATCATATTGTTAAGACAAAGTATCATCAACATCCTTCATGTCACGTAAATGAAAGTTCTAAGCTAGAAAAAAAAATTATTTTGAATATGGGGATTTTAAATTTAATCATCCTCAGGTGGTGGAAAACAATTATTCAATATAATGTTCTCATGGCAAGAAAACAGCTACACATTACCTTGCAAAAGGAGCCATGAGAGTAATTATATTCTTATTGTAGGGTAGTACAAAATTTTAGTTTAAACTTAAACTGTCAAGAAATTAAAACTTATGAATGATGGAAAACGGCACAACCCTAAATTTTGACCGTTGCATTAAATAGGTTGCATATACAAACTTTTCATTCCACTATAGGTTTTTCATGAAACTTTATAGCATAAGCGGCACTAATTTAGGCATAAAAGGAGTCCCTTTGTAAAATTTTCCATTTAACACAAGTGCAACATGTAAGCCAGCTTGGTCCTTAAGCCAACAGACCTACTAAATGAACCAAATCAAAATCTTACAAGTGAAAGGCTCCTTCTACTCCTCTGTGTTCTGGATGAAGTGAACGTCTGCTCCCAGTCTGTCTTATTACAACTATTCAAATCTTTTGGTGCCTTTGTATCTTCACCAGGATAGTCAGGATCTATGTTCATAGAATTCAGTTTTCATTTTGGTCAAAAAGATTGTTTAAAATAAAAGGTTACACATGTCAATAAATTTATGTTTTTGTTATAGATATATCTTTGGCCATTCAATCGTTAACAATTGTTTGGTAAATACTTAGATGTTTTATAGTTTGAGTTATCACAAAAAATTGGACTAATAATTGATGAAGAACAGAAAGTATTAAGCCATGATTAAGTGTCAGAGCTGCTCATAGTCTAGAAATAACAAATTAAAAGTATTATATCAAATATAGATTTTTTTTTTTAATTGTCAAGTCCATGCTGTTTTTTTTTTTTTTTGCTTTACACACATGTAGGTATGTGTGAAAAATTTTCAGCATTTTATTTTTGCCCATTTTTGTACTGTTTGAAAATTGTGTTTTGTTACATTTGTTGTGCTTGGTGCTTTAGGAATATTTGATTTTAGACATTTTTTCACAAATATTGAGAAAATAGAACTGATGTGAATATTTTTCATGCTCACAGCAATATCTTGTAGTACAAAAATTGCACGGACTCGTAATCTTTTCTCTCCACATTGATTTACATATGTTTAAAAAAGATTTATAGATGCTTACACAATGACTTCTTCAAAAGGCAGTGCAATATGATAAAATGTTCCAACTTTCTTATCCTGCCATTATATACTCTTTTTCATTTTCAATGGCCTATATATACACTTCCAATCAATTTCAGTAATATCATATCTCTTATTAAACTAAAAGAAACCTACTTTATAAATTGAAGTATGGTCTAATTCAACTGAAAACATACATGTACATACCTTTAACATATTTGAGTGACCTTGTAACCTTCTTATGAGGAGTTATTCTCTTGACCACTGGGTGGTTTTCCAATGCATCAAGTCCTTCCTTCTTACCATCATTCAACTAAGAAAAAGATCATAAGATTTTGTAACACTGCAAGATCTAATGTATGAAGTGGTAGTGATTTTGAGGTTCAATCAAAACAAAATCAATAAATATTAAGTTCAGCATAAATGCTTATACAAAGTGAATAATCATTATTGTATTTTTAGCAATGGTCAAATTAAAAAATAAAATTTCCATCCTAGTCTAAGAAACTTTTAAAATGATATCTGACCCATTCAGAATATTCAAGATAATATTCCCATAATGCAACTATGTTTGTGTAGATGAGTCATTGCAGACAAGTCCTGTAGCTGTAATCGATGTGCAAATGTATTTTAAGAATAATTTGTGTGGCAGGAAATGGATGCCAACCATAGATCTATTTCAGAAGACTGAATTAAAATATATCTCTCTAGTTTGTATCTTCTGCAGTGGGCCTTTTCCAAATATCAAAAATATCATTACTGTTTCTGTCTATGTTTTGTTGCAAGTTTTAAGAAATTCAAAATGGAACAAAAATAATCTTTTTAAATCTTGTATATATGATCTTTTATTCAAACAAGTAAACTAACAAATAAATATATTTCAATAAATAATTGATCAAAATTTAGTAACACATTCTATTTTTATCTGATCATTCACATTTGTAGCAATATTGATGATTTTATAATGTGTATGTAGGGTATTGACTACAATTTTTATGGTAAATCTTTACAACTCATATATGCAACTGCTCAACAATTTAAACAACAAAAATAACACAGAAAAAGTTATCAAAACTACCATTTACATGTATTTGTTTTGAAAGAATAAAACACAGAATCAATCTCTGTGGTTGTAAATCGATCATCCAATCAATGACCCCAAAGCAACCAATTATACAATGTTTCCTATGATCAGTCCACCACTTTTATTTACCTTGACAACATCAAAATCACTAGGATAATCATAGGCTGGATTATCTCTTGGTAGAATCTTCCATGACAGTACACCTGATTCATGTAAGGCAGCGGTTAGGTAACGTTTCCTGGTCTGCGGTTTATAGTATCCATTAAAAGATACAATGTATTCTGAAATCAAACGAAAAGAAATAATGATTTTAGGCTATAATAAAATTGAGAATGGAAATGGGGAATGTGTCAAAGAGACAATCCGACCAAAGAGCAGAAAACAGCCGAAGGCCACCAATGGGTCTTCAACACAGCGAGAAAATCCCGCACCCGGAGGCGGACTTCAGCTGGCCCCTAAACAAAAATGTGTACTAGTTCAGTGAAAATGGACGTACACTAAACTCCAAAACATATAAATGAACTAAAATTAAAAAACATACAAGACTACCAAAGGCCTGAGGCTCCTGACTTGGGACAGGCGAAAACAATAACCCACTTTGAGACTAAATGCTGAACTATTTAAGATGTAAAACAAAGGCTACAACTTAATTTTTTTTTAAAGAAATGAAGATTAACTTGTGAAAATAATGAAAATAGAAGAAAGTTTTAGAGCATCTTATTTCTCAAGTATATAGCATATAAAATTACACCAAAGTTGGTTAATTCTTATGCAGTTTTCATGATTTTGTTCATTTACCATGCTTTTCTCATTGGTTCATCTAAACCAATACTGAAAAAATTGATATAAATGTATATCTAATAGACAAAATTAGGAAGCAATGGTTTAATAACTGTGTTATTCCAGCCCGCTCTACTATTTAATTCTAGACATAAATCATGTCTTCCACCTAGAAAAATAAATGTATGCTTAGGATTACACTGATTATAAAATAAGGGTAGGAGGCTAGTAGGTAAATGTTCATTTCTAAAGCTAAACATAATGTATACAGACTATAAATGAGAAAAGCCTCGACTTTTAATAATCAAAATAATAGGTTTGCAGATACACTAAAATTAAATTACACAGATAATCTCTTAACATGCAAATTTATTTTTCTTTGCCTTACCATGGTCAATGATAGATGAACTATAGTCCACTTTGACTTCTTTAGCATTCACAGATGTATAGTTGCAGTCACCATGAACAGGACCATAACAGCAAAGGGCCAGTAGAAGAATTTGTCCCACATGACCTAGCCATTTGTATCTCTCTGTATTCGGTAAAACCATTCTTCAATGATTTGATCTTTTAGTGCATCGTCTTTTTTCCAAGTTTTCCATTTCATAAGTCTGAAAAAGAATTTAATGCATTGATACTGACAATATTAGGAAAATCATTATTTAGCATGGATTTTAAAAACATGTATAGTCCAAAAAACTTGATTGATTGATTGATTGTTGCTTGCTTAATGTCCAGTGACATATTACATTCATATTCAGGACAGAGACAAATTAACAATAAAATACATAAGGTAGATTTTGCAAGTATGAAGGTGAGGAAAGGATTAGGTTCACCAAGGGTTAAAATTGCCAATATGATTTCATGGTTTTTTTTTTTAATCAGGCCTAAATATTAAAAATTTAACATAAAAAGTAGTTGTGATATTACTTTTAATACCTCTAATTGGTGCATCACATTATAAATTACCAAGTTATAAACCCTTAATTATGTATTGTTTGTGTTGTAACGTCAGTTTTAGTCCAATTTTTCCATAATTTACTTTGGCCACCACTCCTGAACCAGAAAATGTTTGTCTCTTGGGATTCAACATAACCCCTTGACATCTTTTAGCTACTGAAAACTTTGAATCATAGGATGCTGACAAGGTTTTCCTAAAGCTAAATTCCAGTACATGCCTAAAATTGCATTTTGACAATATCTCCAAAATATGCTGACTTTGGAACTTATATAGTACTCTAATGATGAAATGTGTCTTACCTAGCTGTAAGCATTAAGGCTTTTAAATTGATCTAATTGAGAACTTAAACTTTACTAGGCATCGGAGTAAACATCGCCAGTCTGGTAGGATCTGTGCGTATTTATACATCCCCAATTGCTACATGTATACTCATTTTAGCAACAATACTGTAGACGAGAGGAGTCAAGGGATTGCCATATTTCTATACCCCATTTAATCCTTGTGGTGCACAAGAAACCTGTATTGCTCATTTAACATCATACATAATATTGATCCACATGACCAATAATGATAATTTATGTTCTCCAGCAGAAGACACAGAACCAATAATGATAATTTATGTTCTCCAGCAGAAGACACAGAACCAATAATGATAATTTATGTTCTCCAGCAGAAAGACAGAACCTAAAATGATAATTTGTGTTCTCCAGCAGGACACAGAACCAATAACACAACACATGAATAATGATAGTTTATGTTCTCAACATGCTCAAGCAGAAGACACAGAACCAATAATGATAATTTATGTTCTCAAGCAGAAGACATAGAACCTAAAATGATAATTTGTGTTCTCCAGCAGGACACAGAACCAATAACACAACACATGAATAATGATAGTTTATGTTCTCCAGCAGAAGACACAGAACCAATTATGAAAATTTATGTACTCCAACAGAAGACACAGAACCAATGATGATAATTCAGGTTCTCCAGCAGAATATACAGAACCAATAATGATAATTTGTGTTCTCCAGCAGAAGACACCGAACCAATAATGATAATTTATGTTCTCCAGCAGAAGACACAGAACCAATAATCATGATAATTTATGTTCTTCAGCAGAAGACACAGAACCAATAATGATAATTTATTTTATTCAGCTGAAGACACAGAACAAACATGACAAATAATGATAAATTATGTTCTGCAGCAGAAGACTGTATCATTGGATGAGTTTATGAAACTATACATCATTACAATGATTCTGGTTAAGTTTATTTAAATTGTGTGTGTTGTTCAAAGAAAAAGATTTTTAAGTGATTTATCCAACATGTAGGAACAAAAATTTGCATAGCACTAATATTGGATGCAGGGCAGAACAATTTATTACATTTTGATTGCATGCTTGGTAGTATATTGATGTGTAGTTTCTATGATTTTCTTTCAAGTCTCAATTACAAATTTATTTTAGACATTTTGTAACCTTACATTGTTTTTACTTTTATGAATTAAAAATTAAAATTGGTCACAAGGAAAATAAACTGCTTCGCTGAGCGCAGCTGGATACGCCCACAGAGGTCCAACCCTGAACAGTTGAGGCAAAAATGGACACAATATTCAAGCTTGATACAGGTCTGAATTTGGATTGTAATTAAATATTTGACTTATTATAGGTTCCTGAATAAATGTAGTCAAAGAACTTGAAATTGGTTTAAGATTTCTTGCTGTTGTGCAATACACTGTGCTGTTGTGCAATACTTAGTAAATCTGTTGTCAGATTATAAACAAATAAATCTTATAACTCGGAAACGTAAAATTGAAAATTTATAAAAATCAAAAGGGAGCTTACAAAAATAGACATAAACAATTTACCAAAGTTTCATAAAAAATGCTGAAAGCATTTTTGAGTTATTGTCCGAAAACTGGAAAATCTCCCTTTTTGTAATAAATAAAACCCCATAAATCAGAAACGTATAGTCTAAAATTTATAAAAATCAAAAGGGGGCTCATGTCGATATAAATAAACAATTCACCAAAGTTTCTTGCAAATTGGTGAAATTGATTTTGAGTTATTGTCCGAGAACTGGAAAATCCCCCATTTTTTAATGAATAAAACCCCAAAACTCAGAAATGGTAAATCAGAAATTTATAAAAAACAAAAGGGAGCTCATGTCAATAGATATAAACAATTCACAAAAGTTTCATGCAAATTGGTGAAATTGTTTTTGAGTTATTGTCCGAAAACTGGAAAATCCCCCATTTTTTAATGAATAAAACCCCAAAACTCGGAAACGGTAAATCCGAAATTTATAAAAAACAAAAGGGAGCTCATGTCAATAGATATAAACAATTCACAAAAGTTTCATGCAAATTGGTGAAATTGTTTTTGAGTTATTCAGTGATCTGGAAGGATTTTTTCTCTATGGGCCCAGGGCCCCCCAAAAATAAATTCAATGGGCCATTTTTAGAATTAATGGGCCATGTTGTCAAATGAGTGGGCCATTCGTTAACAACAAAAAAATAAAAAAGTGTATATTTCACTGTACTTACAAGTATGATTCCAAATAATATCATGGATATTGTTCCTGTGATTTTGTAATTTCAATTTCAATGAATATACAATAACTTCTTCCAAACCGGGCAATATTTACGATAACCTTTATTTACAATGTTAAAACTGGTACTGTTCCCTTGTTCATGGTTATGTTTTTTTTTACATTAAATTTGGGTCTTCGTCGATACCATACCTATTCCAGACGTTCCGTATTAGAGGACGTTTCTGGCATTTCCTCTGCACTTGTATTATTATTACTTCATCACGATGACAAGAATAACAGTAGAGAGCAACGTTAACTGACTAGACACAACAACAATTCGCTGAAGGCATGTTTACAAAATGTCAAAACGAGCCAAAGACCACAAAAATTGACAAGGACAGTTAAGCCCCTTTTATGGAGACAAATACTATGCTATTCATAAAAAGGCTTTTGGGTTTTTCAATCAAAATAATAGCAAGCTTACTTAAAAGATAATAATTAGAGAAGAATTCTCGCCTGTACTTGCCAATTTTCACAAATTTAAAGTTGTTTATAAAAAATTATATCATGAATGATGGTTAATTACGTTTTTTGGGTAAGCAGTCATACCGCATGTTGCTATTATTACCATAGGAAAACACCCGAGATGTCCCAAAAATATATAGGTGCTCCTATCATTGGAGTAAACACTACACAGTTGTGTACTCACACATGGCGGCACGAAATACGATCGGAAATCCATTCGACGATATCTCAACGTTTCAAAACGAAGTGAAAAATATCAAGCGCCACGCGGGCGCTTACATTTGTCACTCTATGCGCCATTTCTGGTCGATAAGCGCAATTGGCCCAAGGCGCACATCCTTCCCGATCACTGGTTATTGTCAGAAAAACTGGAAAATCCCCCCTTTTTTAATGAATAAAACTCCAAAACTCGGAAACGGTAAATCCGAAATTTATTGAAAACAAAAGGGAGCTCAAGTCAATAGATATAAACAATTCACAAAAGTTTCATGCAAATTGGTGAAATTGTTTTTGAGTTATTGTCCGAAAACTGGAAAATCCCCCATTTTTTAATGAATAAAACCCCAAAACTCAGAAACGGTAAATCTGAAATTTATAAAAAACAAAAGGGAGCTCGAGTCAATAGATATAAACAATTCACAAAAGTTTCATGCAAATTGGTAAAATTGTTTTTGAGTTATTGTCCGAAAAACTGGAAAATCCCCCCTTTTTTAATGAATAAAACCCCAAAACTTGGAAACGGTAATTCCGAAATTTGTAACAAATGAAAGGGAGCTCACGTTATTAGATATAAACAATTTAACAAAGTTTCATGCATATTGGTTATAGCGTTTTTTAATTAATGTATGACATGTTGACGACGGACGGACAGACAGACGGACGGACAGACAGACAGACGGTCAACGGTATACCATAATACGTCACGCAAAAAAATTCATGCACTTTCCCATAAATTTCCTATGTCACAGTGCTTGTGTTATTATGTCATAATCAGAACTGATTGTTTGATTTACAATGACTGACCTTGGGTCAACCGGTGTGATTCATTCGTAATAAAACAACTTGAGATGAGGGTCGTAATGGGGGTACCTTCATGACAAATAACGATAAAAAATCTTGCCAAATGACGTTAACTGTAATTTTTGATGCATGACGATAAACTGTACATTTTCTTTATGACGATAATTTTTTTTACTGATTTTGATGAATCACGTTAATTCTTTTTAAAAAAAAACAGTAACAGATAATTATTTGAGACCTCTGTCACAAATCAAGCTAAGGAAACTTTGACAAATCATGATAAAAATTTTAACCAATTTGACGCTAACGGTAGCCGAAAATGACTGTTTGATGCCTGACTCTCTGAGATTGATGTCTATGAAATCTATTTAGATGTCAATTATTTTACTTTCTTTTGCTGATAAATCAGAGGTATTTTCAAACCATTTATCATGTTTATACTAGATTTGGAAATACGGTACTGCTCAGAAAATCTTAAAACAAAAGAGTTTGACAGTATGTGCAAAATTACCTTCAATCCATGAATAAATGTATAAAAATCATAAAAATAGTCATGACATGAGCTTCAATCAAATATATCTATATTTTGTAACCTATCAGGCTATTGGGTCGATCACTTTAATTTCGTTTCATAGTTATGATATCAAGTCTGGGAACTGAATTAATCGTTCATCTATAACTAATTTTAATGCAAGAGAACCTTGAAATTATGTTATATGTTTGATGTTTTCTTTCTCAACCAAACTCCATTTTGTTCTGTTTAAATGTATTATTCCCCTTTTCACATTTCACATATTTTAGACGGACAGTTATCCTGACAGCAGATAAGACAGTCACAATTTGACTAGTACTGAGATTTAAAAAATAATTTATCCTTTACTCATTCATAAATTTCTGACTGGTTCCGCGTAAAATGTATTTCATTCGCTCTCTGAAAAGTACCTTACAACTAGACGTAAACTTAGGTGAAGTCCGAATGAATGCTAATCGTAATGGCGGAAGGAGGATGAGCAATTTTAAAGTTCCCCCACAAAAAACTACGTTATATGGTAACTTATATTTATGTATGATTCCAATTTGATTAGTGGAAGGGTTGAATGAACATTATAAAATGAACAAACCTTTTCCTCTTCTCTCTTTCCTGTCCTATGTGGGTCATAAATTATATATTTCCCAGAAAATGCTATTTTGTGTATTTTTTGTCCAGTTCAAGGCAGTTGGCTGTTTCAGAATATGCAGTAACAACATATAGCAAGTATACAGTTCATGTCAGACATCATTACTTGCTTCAAAGGAAACGTACCTTTGAAGGGCCTAATGGTTTATGTATCCGTTCTTCATGATCATAGATTTGTAATCATAAAAATAAGAAGATGTGGGTTTATTGCCAATGAGCCAACAAGAGACAAAATGAGACAGAAATTTTCAACTATAGGTCACTGTACGGCCTTCAACAATGAGTCAAGCCCATACCGCATAGTCAGCTATAAAAGGCCCCAAAATGACAATTGTAAAACAATTCAAACGAGAAAACTAACAGCATAATTTATGTACAAAATAATGTATGTCTTGTAATGAATTTTAATAAAAATTATTTTATTACATTATATTAAAGTATGTATCAATCTGATATATTTATATATATGGACCTTTTCAGTGAAACAAATAAAGATTATATTCTCTTATAATTTGGTTTGAACCGTTGATAATATCAACCATGCCGACTCTACAAATAATCAATTCATTCATTTATACACTAAAGTGTAAACAGTAAACATATCCTAGATAACAAAAAAACTCTTTCTAGAACAAATAAACAAATGTTTATTTTCTTCTCTCGGTATCATGAAATAATGAAAATTCATGTATATTTAAAACAAAACCACACACACTTTAATGCTTGTTTCTATATATATTTATTTCAAATAATTATTATTTAGATAAATTGGTGTTAAATTTAATTTCTTGTCACTAAATTAGTTTTCTTGTTGCTTAATTATTCTTCTAATCTTGTCACTTATTTATGTTATATGTGAGACCCACTTTTTAACCTTTTGGCAGCACACAGACATTTATGTCCTCTGTCTGCAGAATCCGCTAAGGAATATACTGAATGTAACCAGTAAGACAATGGCAAGGATGGTTTTTCCAAACAAAAAAGAACAATTAAAAACTAAATTACCATTCTTGAATAATAATTAATAATATATATTTTTGGATCCTTTAAATTCAACCAATAATGGTGTATAATGACAGATATGAAAACAGCTGAGAATGTTTTCTTAAATTATATTCATGATATATACCTTGTAGGGCTTGATGTCAATCTTTAAAACATCAAGATAAAAGGGTTAAATATATATAACCACAACTTTATTAGAATGAAACTTGCACAGAAATTGTCATCAAACAGCATTTCCTGTTGTCAGATCTATATTTGCGATGTTGTAATATTATTCTTTTGAATATTGAAGGTGTCCTAAAATATTTGTTTATACACTCAAGTTAATCTTTTTAATCATATGTTCTGTTCAATCCACTTAAAGGTGATGGACTGTCGAGACATGAAATCAACTTTAAACTATAACATGTCAGTTAAAAGTCCATTATGAACAAATTGATCAGTAATTTTTAGCACTGACCTCATGAATTAAAATGTGATAAGCACAGGAATGCATGACCTTTTTGTTACGTGTACATGTATAAATAAAATTGATTACATTAAACATAGATACATTTACTTGATATAATAATATAATAATAAATCTATTTTATTATTGTGTCACATATTGAATGACATACATATTATACAATAACATTAAAACATACATAGAACAATCAATACCCAGCCATATCAATTTGGCTCATGAGACACATTGCACAAAATAAATACATGTTCTTAAAAATCCAACGATACTTTGAAATTCTATTTTTAAAACTAATAACTATGTTTTTTCAACATGAATAAAAGGAAAGAAAAAATATATAAAAATGTTTCGTAAAAAATATTTACTTTACATTTATTTAAAACTTCAGACATATGTGAAAATATTTACGTTAAGATATCACAAAAAACGAATATGCATAATGTAAATAAACAGAATTTATTACATAATTTATTCACTGTTAAAAATTAATGTAAACAATTTAAGTCGCATAAAAAACGGTTAAAAATTTATGTAAACAATTTATGTCACATAAAAAACTTATAAATATATACTTTTACATAAAAATGGCTGAATCTCGGAGCAGTTCATGATATATATCAGCAACTACACACTTAAAATCAGTTAATTGGATATATTTGTGGGTTGTTTACATACAAAGTATTGTTCAAATTTTCACATACTACGACATGAAACTCCATCAACTTCATGGTTAATAAATTAAAGCTTTCAATCTCTTTTTCAAAGTCATCTAACTTGGATTGACAGTGGGAAGTTTTAAAGTCATCAGGTAGATAAAAATGGGCAAATACACAAAAGTTGTATGACAAGTTTAAAAACACATGCTCTGTTGTGCTGATAATTAATTTTCAGCTTAAGCTGTTTCTATACTAAATGTACATTTACTAATTGCTTTTGATCTTCCTTCTTTTATCTGGGAAAAATTGACAATTCATTAATTAGCCCAATCTTTAACAATGTATCAAATAAAACGAGAAAAAGAGATCTATTTTTTAAATCATAGTGCTTCAAATGTATATTCATTGTTACTGAATAAATGTCTGTTTAACTGAAAAATAATTGAATCCAAACAAAATTACTTTTGTTTTTAAAAGAGTTTTCATGAGTCAAAAGGCTTAGATCTGATTATTGTCTTTTTTTTCATAAACTCTGATTTAGAAAAAATATAAAATTCAAGTCATAAATATTTTAAAAAGGGTGGAAGAATGTCTATATGAGTTGAGTCCAGCTGAAATATTTTCATTTATACATGTATATTATTCAGACTACATTTTCTTTTGTAAGTATGACACAGCCAAAATTTTTTTAAAGTGCTTAAACACTGCTGTTTGTCCTGAGATAGATGTCTTTGGGAAGAATTGTCTCACACATTCTTCAGTTGATGGATTGATTGTTGCTTGCCTAATGTCCAGATTTACATACATGTACTTTATGTATTTCTAAGGGTTAATGTACATGAATAGAATAGTTTACACAGAGCAGTATTTCACTCCTTCATTATTTTTTGTCTTAGAAACTAATGGCATTTATTTAAACATGTTGCTATTAAAGAATTGTTGAAAAGGAAGATGCCATTTCAATCTGTCATATCTGATATCAGACTTTTAAGTTGAGATTTTACTCTCTGACTCTCATTGTTTACAACAAACAGTATTGTAGCAAGTCAAGCGAGTATGGCTACTCTGAAAAACAATACAATGTAGATGTATAAACAAAAATAAACAAATAACACATGTTCCCGATAATTTGATCTGGTTCAGACACATATAATGGAGTTAAACCAGCTTTATGGCATACACACACCCTCCCTTCTTTGTCAACAGTATCTAGACCATACATGTATATGTATGTCATAAAAGTAAAGCACATCATAAAAAGCCTGCAAAGTGCAGCTAACAAAAGGATGATAATTAATTTGAACAAGGAAAAAAGACAGCACATCACATACATGTAATTTCGGAAAGCTGGGTCAATATGTGTTCGCTATCAAAGCAAGAAAGCAAAATAACCCTTAACAGCACAACTAACAGGTTTTATAAAGCTAAGACTCCTCACAAAAGTTTAAATGAAATCTTGACTACTGTAAATACAGAAATTATTGCGTGCATTTATTATTGCGATTTTTCAAGAATGGACAAAAATGCGAGTTTAATTATTGCGATTTCGAAAAAAAAATGCATATAGATCTATGTTTCAGTTATCAGAATGCGAGTTCTTATTATTACAATACCCACCCAGTCGCATTATTCGCATTAATAAAAACCTCGCAATAATTTCTGAATTTACAGTATTATATATACAAAACGCTGTTACTTTGCTCTTTATGTTTTTTGCTTTCCATATACTGATTTTGTCTCATGGATGAATACCCCATATCCTTTCTTTTCTATTACATGACAAAACATGTATTACAAAGAAAGGTTAGTGTTTCAATTCAAAATCCTGTATACATAGATACAGAAAATTTAAGGTCAGATGTTCAGTTGTACACTGTTTAAAATCTTCCTCACTTCTTGACCTAATCTTCCTCACTTCTTGACCTAATCTAAAATGTCATGTCCTGTTCTTCTTTATAATTTAGAGATTTGCTAAGGCCATCATGAGCAGTTTTATGCAAAGGTCAACAATAAGAACAATGAGAAAGTGTGATAAATAATGTTTTGACATTTTCTTTTTAGGTGAAATGAAAAATTATACAGATGGATAAAAACAGAAAGGAGCAACATAAGCAACTCAAAGCTGTTGAGAAGAAGATTAATTTTGTTGAGCGAGATGAAGATGAGATGCCTGTTTTCAGTGGTGCTGTTTTACATGTCCTGTCCTCAAATGGTCTGACAAACTGTGAAAATAGTGGAATCATACAGAAGGGAAAAATTATAAAAAACAATGATATGGGGAAGAAAGATATCAATTCATTCGTTTTATCAAAAGCAAATATTGATAATCGCCAAAATAGAGACGGTTGTTATTGTAAAAAAATGAATGGGTTGGATGCCATCGAAAATGGAGCCGAACAAAGAATGAATGATCAAGAATCTGGTACTTCTTCTCTGAGGCAAACAAGAAAAATTCAAAATGGTGGATTTGATGTCACCTTAAATGGATTTAGCAGTTCTCCAGATTCAAGCCCAGTCAAACCCGAAGCATGTGCATGTAGTAAGACTGTTAACGGAGATATGCAGCACTTTTCAAATGAGACTAAGACAAGCCCAAAAAGTCCGGCAGTGCGTCCAAAGTCTATGTCCTGGAGCAGGATGGTAAAACAAAGAAAGGAAAATAAAATGAAAGAAAGAAATGGAAAAGGGAATAAGAAATCACACAAAAGATATATATACCCTGAATTGTGTTCTAGTTCAGAGGAAAGTTCTGATGAAAATGTAAAATCATCTGATAAAATCACAACACTTGAAGGAAACTGTGACAAAATTGACAAAAAAATAAAATCATTAAGTAACCAAAGCTTGAAACTGTATGGAAATAACTTGGTCAGTAAAGATGGTACAGAAAAGTTATCTCTTGCTCAATATTTGAAACCTGTAAAGGAACCAGTAAATGGAGAAAACGGTCATTCACTAAATTCACCGAACTCTCAACCAGATTTAACATTATTAAGGGTAGCACCCTTAGCTGTTCCTGAAGACAGTGATACTGGACATTCGTCAGTATCGAGCTCAGAGGGGAAAATGAACGGATCAGTTATAGAAAATAATATTACGAGAAGCATGTCACAGGAAAATATAGACCATGAAATTCCCAGTGCTGAACAAGTAAACACTGTTGAAGAGGATCCATTAGCAGGTCCTAGTAGTGCTGTAGATCACAGAGAGATGGAAAGGAATATTCTACCTCTCTATAGAAATCCTAGTATTGATAGTTTAGAGGAAGTAGGGGATTATATAGAAACTGATTTCCCATCTAAAGCCAGCCGACTTTTATTTCAGTCTAGTTCACGTAGTTCATCTCCGTCAACTGATGAAGAAGATGAAGGATATGGAGTTAATAAAGCAAAAGATACGGTGCATTTGAACTGTGATGAGGTCGAACAGTCTTTTGATCCTTCTTGTCCTCAGAATCCTCCTAGTCATAATGTAAATCCTGATCACTTGAAGCTGAAAATCCTTGAGCAGAATGGTCCTTTAGTGCAAAGACCAAACTTTGATAATATTAATCATGCTGCCCATAGAATTGCTAGATTGAGTAGCGGTGCTGGAAGTGAAAGTGAAAAAGGTGGGGTCATAGGTTCAGACTCGTCATACGTGTACACACCTGAAACTGACTATCAGGAATTTATAGACTCTGATCTTCCATCGTCAGAGGCAAACAATCATTATGCCGGGAACAGTGATAGAGATTATGCAATGCCTTCACTTGGCAATTATGCAGAAGAATATCTCGATACTGATTCCAATTTAGGAGCAAGTAATCACCTTGTTGGAGCAGAAGGCGGGGCTACTAATAATCTAAACCTGGAAGGTCGTTGTTATGCGTTTGATTATATTGACAGCAATATGGAGGTATATGATCCTCATTGTGATCAGCCTGACAATGACAATTATTTGCTTCGGGTTATTTATAAACATGAAAAAGTACCCATTGCTAATTTTCAGGACTCTGAGAGTAATAAACAAGAAAAGATATTCTGTAAGCTTGCTCTGGATCGTGACAATCGATCGTTATCTGGATCTTCTGAGGAGGAAGAAAATGCCCTCCATCATTTCTGTCGTGATGCACCTTGTCTTGCCTCGGCTGCTCAGCAGACGAATAATGATTGCTCAGATTGTATGGGTGTAGAAGATTTAGAGAATTTAACTCATGCACTGCAGAATGCGGTGATTATGCATCTTCCCTCTAGGCTTGAAGAATCGTCAGAGTGAGTAATAAGTTTTTTTTAAGGCAATGACACATTTCCAATCTTAATCCAAATTTGAATATTTATTGCAGGATGAGAGCTCTGATCAGGAAAAACTTGTTACTGGTATTAATATGAATTTCTTAATTCTTTTCAAAACTATGATTATCCGGAAGTGTTAAGAATTACAAGAGTCAGTACATGTACATGTACATTACTTTTTTAGCTGTTGAACAAATTTTGATCTGACAACTTACTAGATTTATAACCTTGTAAATGATAGATTTGAGCTTGAGGTTTGTCACAAATTCTTATGCTTCTTAGCTATAGCCAGGTTTACATCTTTCACTTAAGCAAAGTCTTAGTCTTATATGAAGGGTCACATATTTTTTTTAACTCCAATAATTGAATTTCTAACTAGGTTCTGACAGTACTTCTAATTAAGAATTATGTATCTTTTTATGTACACATTTGTTTTATATTGGGTTTTCTTTTAAATAATTACAGGGAAAGTTGTGAAGATCCAATATATGAAGAAATAGACAACTTAGATTCCTTTTTATCTACCAGTGATAACAGTCTCCATGTGGTGGAAGAAGAACCTTGCCATGGTTCTGTACCCAGAACTAAAGTAAATGTAAGTATAGTGTCAAAATAAGTAGATATTGTAAGTTACCAGTAAAAGTAAAGATATTATTTGATTGCTAATGAGGTAACCTAAATAAGTCTCTATAGACTATGGCACATACCATATAGCCTCATCACTACAGAAGTTATGGTCACCATCTGTAGGCTAGTATGTATTGGGCAAGTATCTCATCAAATGGTTGAATAGAAACGTCCCATAGATACTGCCTGTTGATTATTGAGCAATATGAAAGGGATCCCTTACAGAGCAGGATATGTTATCCGATATTCATTTTTATTATGAGAAAATTCATATTGCCCAAGATTTAAGTTTTAATTGTTGTTTGTTTACATGTATTTGTGATATTTTGTATTTTGTTTGTTCAGTTTTTGTCTAATGTGAGTTGTTCATTTGTCATCTGTTTTTGTCTAATACTAGCTAATGTGGGTAAACTTTCAGTTTCTGACACTCAAAGTATGTCACACTGATGGACTTAGTGAGAGATTATTAAGAAACTATTATAAAGCTCATACTTGTTCTTCCTCAAGCATATTTGATCTTATATTTGGTTTTATTATGTCCCTTGTCGGTGATATAGCTCTTCAAGTATTTATATGTTATACATCCTTGGCTTTCCAATTTTTGGATTTGAGAGTCTTCATAAAGATTTATCAAGAAAAGTGCTTCAGGCCAACCAAATTTATGTAGAGTGTTATTATCATTTTCTGGCAATTGGTTGATACCATTGCTGGTATACTGCCATTTCCTGAGGGTATAATCAGATCAGTAATCAGTGATTTGGTATTAACATGATTTATTTCATACCTTTTCTTTTTGTTCCATGGTATCAACCCATGAAAAGCATTGTGCACAACAAATTTGAAAAATGTAAAATTTGACTAAATTAGATTTTGCTTGTTTAAATGTCATTAAATTTTGACAAAATATTTACTTTGACTTTTTGACAAAAATATAAAAAATTTCGAGAAATTTAAACCTCACAATTTACAGGAATTAATTCATTGGATGTATAGCAGCTTGTCAAACACTAATTTTGATCATTGCAAAGCTTGATTTCTCATTACTAATAGTATGTGATTAAAACATTCAGCTGATTTTTAAAGAGTTAATTCCCTTAGGTGTTCTGTACCACTTTAAATCAACACAAATAGGGATCTCAGAACATGTAGAAAACAGATATCAAATTTATATGGCAAATAAGTTTTCAGGTATGCAGCTGTTTCAAAATTAATTCTTAAAAGATTAAGAGCAGCTGGAAATTAAATGTATGTAGCTTAATTTTTAAACTTTTTCTCCAGACTCTTCCAAAGTATGAACGAAGAAGACGTAAAGGCCATAGAGGATCTGATGTTGATAAAGTGATGATCTGGAATGAATATGAGGCATACGTTTTACAAGTCAAACAGATTGGAACGTCTGCTTGTGGTCCTACAGCTGTTCTTAATATATTGGTAGGCTATACTTTTGAAAACAATGTATAAATAAAAGTTGGAGATTTAGCTGGCTATAACACCAGATTTAATGCACTATAATCTTCGAAAAGTGCCTGTACCAAGTCAGGAATATGACAGTTGTTATCCATTTGTTCTGATAGTTTATATAGTTTAGCGTTTGATTTTGTTTAGATTTTATGACTTCCCCCTTTTTGAATTTTACCTTGGAGTTCAGTATTTTTGTTAATACTTTTTTTCCGTTAAGAAAATATTTTGATGATGCCTAAAAGATTTTCTTAATAGAGACTTCAAAGAGAGGCAAAAGATACAAAAAAACATTCAAACTCATAAGTTGAAAATAAATGGACAATGCCATGGCAAAAAAAAGAAAAAGACCAACACACAAGCAACAGTACACAAATCACAACATAGAAAACTAAAGACTGAGCAACACGAACCACACCAAAAAATTCAACCTTCATAATTTGAATTTTCAGATGAAATCATATTTTCCTTTAAATTATTATTAAAGAAATATCAATCAAATGAAAGGACATGTTCGGTAAGTGTCAATGAAACAGCAACCCAACATTACAAGTTAATGAAAAATAGGAAGCTAGATATGAGCCTATGGTCAACAACAGACTAGTGTTTATACTAAATGACAAACTCTTTATATCAGTTATATGAGAAAAGTTGCCTAGTCAAAAATTACTTTATCCTTGTCTTTAAACTAGGATTTTTGTGTGTCCAGGATGCATGTACTTGTCTTAACGCAAACTCAGTTAAGCAAACCAATCAGTTTTCTTGTCCAAAAATTTTACCCTTGATGATTAATAAAATCTTTGGAATATGAATTGAAACAATCATAAAAAAAAACAGTGAAAGTTTTTCCTTATGATTTCCTTTTACAGGAGCTAAATTTTTGGATCAGTGCAAAAGTTCTATAAACTTCATTTATTTATGTCACTTTTTAAGTTCAATTAAACATTTCATTTTATATTTGTTTATCAGAAAGCTTTTGATTATCAAGTTGACAAAGAAGAAGTATGCAAAAAGGTGACAACAAACCTTAGAATGGAAGCTGCACCAGTACCATACTATCTTTTCTCTAGATACAATGCAGGTAGGATTTAGTAGAGTAGTCATGCCATATAATATAGATTACTGTTATTGATATATTATAATTTCATTATAAATGTCAGATGAAGAAAAATATTTGTTGTTTAAACTGAATCCTGCACATTTCAGGCTCCTTGGTGGTCTTATGGTAGTGTGCTCACCTCCAATGTTTGATCCCCTGGTGTGTCAAAGCAAAGACAGACTGTTACCATGTCAATTACCATGTTGAAAATCAAGCTCAGCTTGTATGTCTAGTCCAAAGCAGGTGTTCATATTCATATCCAGTATATGCATTTACAATGTAAATTACCACTGGAGGTCAAACAGCCATCCATCCATTATCATCATTAGGGAGAGATAATTTGACCACCAAAATTCAAGCTGCATTTTTTTCAAAGTTTTGAAGATTTATCCATTTCTTGACATGTTGATTATTATTTTTATGCCCCACCTACGATAGTAGAGGGGCATTATGCTTTTCCGTCTGTGTGTCCGTTTGTTTGTCATTTTGTCTGTTCGTTCGTCCATCCATTCGTCCGTCTGTCCCGCTTCAGGTTAAAGTTTTTGGTCCAGGTAGTTTTTGATGAAGTTGAAGATCAACTTGAAACTTTAATAGTACACATGTTCCCTATGATATGATCTTTCTAATTTTAATGCCAAACTAGAGTTTTGACCCCAATTTCATGGTCCACTGAACATAGAAAATGATAGTGCAAGTGGGGCATCCGTGTACTATGGACACATTCTTGTTTAATCAACATCTGGTTCCTTTGATCTCAGTTCTTCATTGGTCAAAATTTAACTATGATGTCATATCCTGTTTCTTTCCTTTTGTATTGTCACATTCCCGTTTCTCATCCTTGTATAATACAATTCATTGAGATAGAAAGTGAAATGTTCGCACAGGGTAAATTATGTGGTAAAAAGTTCATTGTCTTCATAACAAAGATTGGAAATGTGTGAAAAAAGTTTCCTTTTATACAGTCTAATGTAAATGTTTGTTTTATTTAAGTAATAATTCTTTCATGCCATGCTTTATGTTCATTTTAACATGGGTAGGCATTATATTTATCAATATATTTAACAAGCGTTAGCAAGGAAATATAATGCCTACCCATGTTAAAATGAGCATAGAGCATGGCCTGATAGAGAAGAGGACCTATAATACACCCTGATAGAGAAATGGACCTATAATACATGTTCGAAAGGAAGCAATTTTGATTAGATGAAGCCAAAACGTTATGGAAAATTTTTTCACAATAAAAAAAAATTAAAAAGATACATGTCAACTTACTTTTAGAATGATTTTATTCAATTTCCTAGCGAGCAACACCAACACAAATGTCTATTTTGACTTCTGGCATTTTTCAAAATACAACTGATGTTGCAATTTCAATTGTGACGTCAATCACGTGCAGCCTATGTTCTATTGGAATTAGAACGGCTTTGTTTCCAAAGAAAGAAGAACTCTATATTAGAACAAAAAATAATGCATACAGTGGAAAGGTAAATGGTAAGTGGAAATTTAGCTGATATGATTAAGTTTTACAGGTCAATGTAAAACACCAGAATTGTGACACGCTATTTTTTTCTTTATTTAAAGGGACAACTGCCAATTCCTTAATAGATGGGATAACAAAGCTGACTAAAGGTACAATAAAGGGTCGATTCTTCCACTTCTATCCTGCTAGAAAGGTACAACTACTGAAATGGTTGGGATATTGGATGAGGAAAGGTGGGTTTGAATTTGTGATGTTTTTTTTAAAAACTTAATGAAAGAATTGACTTTTATCATGTATGTATAGAAAAACAAAAAAAAGGAAAAACTATGATATTAAAAATGTCTGGACAAGCCAACAATTACAACATCAATTCTATTTTAGGAAAAGATCCAATACTGAGGAAAATGTTTCCTTGGAAAGAGTTTGAAACATGATCAAAATTTGTCTTGTAATAACTTTTGATTACTAACTAGTCGGTCAATGTCCAGACAGCATTCAGTTATTCAATCAACTGTTTTGGTCTAGTTCAATGTCCAATTTAGTTATGGTTATTAATAAAATTGAGAATGGAAACCAGGAATGTATCAAAGAGACAACCCGACCAAAGAGCAGAAACCAGCCCAAAGCCACCAATGGGTCTTCAACACAGCGAGAAAATCCAGCACCTGGAGGTGGGCTTCATCTGGCCCCTGTGTGATAATACATATCACCTCCTTGTTATTTCAGGACACATTAAAGAATTATTAATATGGAATTTATTTCATCTTGCAATCTTAAAGAGACAGAAATGTTAAGTTGTAGTTGTTATTGGCATGATTATTATTGTGTTATCTATACTAAATGATTTTATTTGTTCTCTCAGGAGCTGTGCCATTAGCTACACTTAATCTACAAAGGGGAGTTAAGCCAGGATGGACAATCCCTGACGCTTGGCATCATCAGATGGTTTATGGTGTTAGTTCTAAAGGTTTGTACCTAATGGCCATGCAAAATAATTTTTCGGGGCCTTGATGACTGAGCAATCCGTCTAGTTTGTCAGCCAGTCTACACAGAGGTTGTGAGTTGGAACCCTGTTTGTGTCAAGGTTTATTCAGCTGATATTTATGAAAAAGGATTGCCAATTTTCCTGTGAAAGATCATGGTTCTTTCTGCATAATCCAGCTTCATCCACCAATAAAAACTGGCCTTATTAAGAAGCCACTGGTGCTAAAAATTCCTTTAAACAACAACAAACAAGCAAACAAACTAATTAATTTTTCATTCTTTTGAATTTTGGAGATCAACCAACATTTAGTATGAAAAATGATTGCATTTGAATTTGTCAAATTTAGATATAACTTCCTCAATAAGGGAATTTTCTTTTGAAATATTAAAGCCACTTCATATTTGAAGACAAACTCCTTCCAAGTTTATTTCATGTGTAAATATCTTTGCTTAAACTTTCATTTTAATTACAGGTGTCCATTTGACAAATCCATTGGAGATTGTTCCAGAGGAGATTATAATGGAACAGTTGACAAGTGATTCTGTGTTATTGATACGGAGACAAGATGTTGTAAACAGATTCCGGGACTGGGCTCCACTCAATGAATTCCTGAAGAAAAGTGATACCAGGTGGCAGACAATGAATGTTTTAGGTTTGTTTGAGATAATATATGTCGATGATTTTAAGTAAATGATTAAAATAATTTCCATTCTCTAACTTAAGTTTGCCTCAAGCAAATGTTATGAAACTTATACACAATGCTTTTTACCACAAAACACAGATCAAGTTGAATTTTGGTAGCGTCACTTTAATCATTATCTAGTTATGCCCCTTTATAAATCGAAAAATTGCAAAATTTTTAGTTTCTGTTCTGTAACAAGTTTGCCCCAACCAAACATTATGAAACCTATACACAATACTTACTACCTTAAAACTCAGATCAAGTTCAAATTTGGGTAGCGTCACTTTTATTGTTCTTGGATTATGTCCCTTTATAATGTTGTATGCAGCAAGGGCATCATCTGTGTCCATGGGGACATATTCTCCATTTATTTTTTTAACATATAATAACCATTCATAATTTTTATAGGTCAGGTTGTAAATGTATTGAGAGAGGCTTGTACTGCCCTGTCACACCAAGGACCCCGGTATAGAGCACAGCTGACATCACATATAACGATACCTGCTGGATACAAAGCTGGAATAACTTTATTTGTTCGACAGAATACAGAAGTATGCCAGGAATTGTTTAATGCACCTGATTTAGAACTGATGAATCCAGAAGAGACTGAAGAAGGATATTGATGATAGAAATTATTATTTATAATTTATTTTATGCAGTTTTTATGGCCAGTTTATGAGTTACTTTATTCAAATATTCCAATCCCTGTGCCCATTGGACTGATAGTTTTTGTTGGGTTTATTCCTGGAAAATTTATGCCTTTATTCAGAAAAAGAACATTCATTTTTATCTTATTCAATTGATACACAATGGCTTTCTTTGTCTACCCTCTTTTAAGTAGTTTAGAGTCACTGAAAATATTATAACTTTCTAGAAACAAGTGAGATCACTACATGACTATCTATATTAGGATCTATTTTTTTGGTGCATGCATTTTTCAATGCGTTAGAAAACATGACAAAATATTTGCTTCTTAATATATTTATATTATTTGTTTTTTGTTATTTATCTTAAGTGGTCGTAAACATGAAAAATTTTGAATCTTCATTGACATGTAAAAATGTCCTGAAATGTTACTTGTATAATACAAATCATACCATTTTGTAATTTTTATGCATAATATATTTTACAATTTTAATAAAATTTTGGTTGTTAACATTACATGTCTTCATATTTTTTCACCAGAAATACAAATTTCATTAATCCCATTTTATTTTGAATTTTAATATTGCTTGATTAATAAAAATGTCAGATAGCCTATTTCAATTATTTGTATACTTTGTGTCAATATCGTTAACCAAGAAATCCACAAATAATAGAAATTGGTTTCACATGCAGAAAATATGAGGTTTTAATTTGTATTTCCAAAACAACTTAAAGGAGAAACAAATTAAACCTCCCCAGATAGATTTTATCCAGAACAGATTAGAAGTGTTAAAGGAAAATTGTCAAATCTATATACCCATGACCTGAAATTTATTATGAAAGGAGGTATTTGTTTAGACTTATAATATGATATTTGTTATTTACCTTCTAAAATTAAATTGTAGTTCAAAGAAGAAGAGATGAAGCCATACCATATTGTAATATAAATATAGAGAAATTTCAACATTGTTTTTGAGCTTGGTCAGAAAAGCTTTGTTTTAGTTATTATAAAATTTACATGAACATATTTTTACATAATAAGGAACAAAGAATATTCATTTTAAATGTCCTGCCAATTTTGGTCAACCTACTTGCAGAACATACCTATTGTATTTGTTGTTAATGGTTTATCTTCTTGAATATGCATTAAAAATAATTGCAATTGGCTGTTAAGCAAGCAGCAACCAGTAAATCAATATCTGTTTTTACTAATGCTCTTTATTGCAGGGAACATGTACTGGCTCTTCATTTTAGTAAGGGGAGTAACTCATTAAATTATATATCGATTCAAATTCATTTTTTAATGATTTCCCCAAAAATGTCATTAGGCATCTTCTTACAAGTTTAATTATCATAGCATGGTAGGTTTTTAATTCTGATGAATGAATGACTGAATGCAGAATTTTATTCCACCAGTATAGAAAATCACAGATTTGACCATAAAATTTTGTAACAAAATAATTGTTTCATAATGTAAATGGGTGCAAAGTGGAATTATTTTGACAATTGACTATGTCCAAGATGTGCAATTGTTCTATGCAGCCATTGTCAATATATTCAGTTGATATGTTATGTATTCCAATGTGCTTCAGACACAACAAATTCAACCTGTCTATCATCGTTCATTTTTTTGGCTCTTGTTAATTATTGTTGTGTAGATATGGATTATTTAGGAAATGTGGTACATTTGTAATTTCTAAAATTTAATGAGTGTATTTTCAAGATTTAATATTAGTTGTACTTTAAGAATACATGAGGAGCATGATTTGTTTTCTTTGGTTCAATTGTAATATGTATCTAGTATTTGATTGTGATATCTAAAAATGATATATTCAAATACTTGTTCTGCGTTTTGCTTTTCAGGTGATGCAACACTTATATATTTTCATCAAGGCAAAAATATGCATACTATCAAAATATCTTGCAAATTAATTTTAGAAACTATCAATGAATATACAAACTGTAGGTTTATAATTATTTAGGAGTAACAAGTTTTGTTTATTTCATGGGAATAGGAAAACCTCAAATTTAAATGTTCAACAAAGTATAAATTCACTATATACAGACTTTTGAAAACCATGAAATCAAATTTTATTTTCATGGATACATGATGTTGGTTTTCCATCATTTGTCAATAGTACATTTTTATGTTTAAACTGGTGTAAAATTTGCATTTAGTTAGAAAACACTTGAAATATACAATTATGAATCCCATGAATTTTGAGTATTTTTATTACAAACTCTTATCTGTAAATCTGAAACCTGCAATTGATTGATTGCTTCAGATAGATTATTGAAGTACATAGAATTTAAGTTATTTATTAGTTGGATGTCCATATATTACTTGTTCTGTGATTTTATTGGTTAATAACAATCGTTGCTCTAAATTGGTATTAGCATGGCTAATACTGATTATATATTTGACCTTATTAACAAGCAAACTTTAAAACAAATGTGTACACTTTCAAATAGTTAGTCTGTTATGAATTATATTAAATTGAATCTTTATACAAATTAATGTTCTATTAGCTTCTGAAATTGTTAAAATTAAACTTGAACATTTGAATATTGCCAAATTTACATGTTTTTTTTAGATTTAAAAAAACATCCATCAATTTTTAAATCAAGGAACCAAATTGGCCCTTTGATTTGTTAAGTTTTTAAATTGTTAAAGAAGTTTCTTTTTAGAATAAATTTAGATCAGCTAATTTTCCTTCAGATGTAGATATTAATGACTGAGTTCATGGAATTGACAACTTATATTATTACGTGTATGAGACTGTACAGGTCATTTTCTTGTTAGCCAGTAGTTCATCAATACACGTTATTATGGAACTTTGTATTGTAAACACAAAGAAGTGGGTTCAAATGGTGGTTTTTCTGTGAAAATTGGTACCATATACTGTAAGTTTCTCAAAAATATAAACTAGAAATTCAAAATTTGATAGCATTATTTGTATATAGCATTTCCTGATGTAGCAATAATTCCCCATTTTTGTCCATTGATCACCAATCACAATGTTTAGTGCACTCTGAAATTTCTGAATTAACAGTATTTTACACAGATAACTGCAATGAAATATTTTCTATTAGTGACAAAATAAAAAAAAAAAAACAATTTGTTGATGAAAAATTAAGTTTCATACAATCATTGGTGGAGAAAAATGGTTGATCCTTGGCAGTAAAAAGGCATACATGCTCTCTCCTCTGTATGACTGTTGAAACACCTTAAAACAATATACACATTTCATAACTGTAGATTCAAGTGGTTGATCCTCTAGCTTTGCATTCAATAATTATCTCCCTTGTGTTAAGTGATTATCTCCCCTTGATTTTGAAATAGTTAATTCCCTTTGCATGATTTGAAAGAGCAGGTACTCTCTACATAGTCCTTTTAAGAAATTGTTACCTTTATGCATATAACTACACCATGTTAATATAATCTAACTAAAATTCAGTTATGAAAATGAAATATTATCGTATTAAAGGTAGTCAAATGTGAAATAAAACAATGTGTTCTTTGCTACACCCAATTACATCTATTTTCCTGTGTAACCTCATGATTCATGTTGCTAGATAAAACACCTGTTATTTCATACAAAAGTCATCTCCAGCAAATAAAACGAAGCAAAAACTAAATATTCAGCCATTTTAATAAAATGTTGGTCAAGCATGGCCCAAGTTTAATGTTATATGCTAACACATATAGAAAAATTAAAAAAACAAAATTTTCAAACACACAAATTCAACCAGTCCATAGGTGGAAAAAGTAAAAAATGATGTTCTCATTCATACAGCTGTTTTTCTAACAATGCAAACAAAAAATTGAGAACAAAATTTTAATTGCAGAAAATATAAGTGAAATATTAAAGGTGTTTCATATGGATTATATATTTGGACTGAACAAACAATTTTTGTAAATGAGATATGAAATTTGCAATAAAAAACTGTTTATACCCTCACAAATGGGAGATAACTCTTCCAAAATAATGACATAAAAGAAACTTGTAACAAGTAATTTACATTGTTATTATAACATTTATGATACTGGTGAGTGTTAATATAATAATTGTAAGTGCTTTATGCTGATTTGTCTGTGATGTGCTTTGTACACAAGGTATAAAGATACCATAGAAAGTTCAATATCTATAAACAGAACAGTTTCTATTTTTAACTGGAATATTTTTACAATTTATTTGGGTTTTTTTTTTTTAATTGATTAATTGACACGTTCTGGCAAGTAAAAAATCTGTCAATCAATTATAAAAAAAGAAAAATATATTGCTTTCCAGTTGGCATGGCTCAGTTTTAAAGACTTCACTGTAACATTTAGATGAAAAACAGCAATAGCAGTTTTGTTTTTTGCTGTTGGTTTTGTTAACTGCTTGAAGGTGACTTTGTGTCATGAGTCATAACACCCTATCCTTTTTCTACCATTTATCTCTTACTTGGAGGAAAAGATAACAATCTAGATAATGAACTTTCAGTGTTATTTTTTGACCTAGTGTAATATTAGTGGATATGTATATAGTATATATATACACTGTTATTTATAAGTCATTATGTACTGTTTTACAGTTTGCAAATAAATTGTAACATTATGCAATACATTCTTCTTTTTTTAACCCCAATTTGAGTTATGCAGGAGTTTGTTGTTATGGATTCAGTATTATATCTGGGATACCAATTTTCATGTATTTCGTAGGTTAATTTGAACCATGATTTTAAATGTTCACTGAAGTACAGATTTTCTAAAGGATTGTATGCAGACTTCGGCAAAACCACAATCCTGTGTCCAGGAAACTGGTACCTACAAAAATTAATGAATCCACAGTATTATTTGTTTTTTTGGTATTTAATAAATGTAGTACTACAGTTAACCTTTGTTGGTCCCTTTAGGTCTGTTTGTCAAACATTTCATGCATTTTAAGGATTAGAACAACTAAATGATATGTCAGTTCATAGTATCTGAGCAGTGTGTTGACACATTTTTGTAATGTTTTACTTTTTTTTTGAGACATGAACATTAAAAAAATGCATGCAAAATCAGTATACATCAGAAAATACTTTCACATAGGGAAATTCTGTTTTAACATACAAGTAACCTGGATATGGTACAATGAGAATTGGTTGTACATCCATAGTACTGATTTTATCATTTTCTGTGGGTTATCATTCTGAATGATAGTTTTAGGCACACATTCAAGCCTATTTATATTGCCATCCCTTGTCACAGATGGTTAGATAAAACATCCCTGATACAGTAAATCTCTGCATATTTTATTTCTTAATGAATTCAATAGTGTTCTGGTTTAAAGTGAAATTGTCTCAAATATATTAAAAATAACAACAAGTTAATCAAATCTGTATGAGAAGCTGTTAAATATGAATAGAACTGGTAAACATCTGAAATTGTTGTTATTTTCACTACCTTGTGAGCTGCTATTGATGTTTCACTTATTTTATTGAAATTTATGTAACCAACAGCAGCTGATATATTTATAAGCTGTATGTTTGAAATGTACAACATTTCAGAGTCTGTTTCTTTGCTTAAATGGACATTATTTTCAAATCCTGTTTGCACTAGTTTAGTTGGCATTATATCATTATTTTTCAATTTTGATGAATGATTTTCAAGTTCAACTTCATTACGACTTTTAGATATGCATTTTCTTTTAGAAATATCACATTTAATGTACGGAGAAATACAACCATTGTAAGTTTCATTACAGGAAGGCCTTGGTGTATAGTGCACATATTGATTCCAAATGTCACTTATTCCATCAATAACCATAACACTTCCCAAAGACATTGGAGCAAAGGGTGAGTGTGTTGGTCTTCCATAGAATTCAGGATAATCGGAAGTAGGATCAATTCCTTTTGCTTTTTGTTGTTCTCTAAAATCTGTCCATATACAGTCTGTGAATGAGTGAAGAGGATAAAACATTGGATCAAAAGCAGCTATTTCTATTGTTTTCATTTGCCCACCGATCCACACATGAACATCATTGTGTATTTCTTCGATGTTGAATTTCTTTTCTGCTCGAGGATTTGTAATCTCCCCTAGTCTGCTTTTTGATAAAATGTCCTCCACATTTTCCTTTGACATTAGTTTCCCTTGTCCACCTAAAAAACGCATTAGGTAGCCATACCCAAACTGTGTTTTCCAGTGACCAAAAGCCCCCTTTTTGATGACCCCATCACCGCTTCCTATAAAGTCATGTGACCAGATGATAGAATTGTAAGGTTTGTCCATGGCTTCATCCAATGTAACATCCCAGTATGGTATTGTTACGGTCTTTACTTTCTGTCTCAAAGCATTCTCCATCCTTTAAAAAGAGAAAATGATTTAAGTCAGATACTCTGTGAATTATTATTCATGGGATACCAATTATCATGGACTTTGTAGGTATAAGTAAATCATGAAAGTCCAATTTTTTTATGGGTTTGTAATGAAACACAAAATCAAATATTTATGAAATTACAGTTTTTCTCAATCAACTAAAGTCTGAATCCACAGTATGAGAAATTAAACAGACCATAAAGAATGTTAGTGCACACTGCAATCATTATTACACATTTTTTAATCCGTCTACCAAAAAATCTTTGGGACTGAAGCTTAACTAAGGATTAAACAAAGACTACTATAAGTGTTTCTTTAACACAGGTTAACTTACTTTAATTTTACATGACAAAACAATATTCACTATCGTTATATAAATGGGTTAAAGCTCATATCGGAGCAGTTGTTTATTTAAAAAGTCTCCTGAGTGAAACTAATATTAACAGTAAATGACAGTTCTTTTAACAAAAATTAGAACAAAGAAAAGAAAACTCACACTGGTCACATATTTTACTGAACATGAAATTGAAATAAATATCAGTTTAATATTCTGACAAAATTCTAATCAAGTTTGAGGGGTTTAACCTAAGATATATGTAAATCAGAACCTTCAGCCTTGATAGGACTTTAAGCAATTATCAATCAATCATTCCCCCTTGATAACAAGGTATAAATGAATACTTATCAAGTGTATTCAACTTGATACATGAGGTAAACTATTATACCCCCCCCCCCAAAAAAATCAAATCACTTAATTAGTTCCCTAAAAACTGTCATCAAATTAATTATCCAAAAGAAATTATTTCTTATTTACCACAAATGTTTAAATACATGCAAAGGTGTTAGAAATCCTTAAGGGAATGAAGCATATAAAGCCGTTTTATAGAAATATTAAGGCATGTCAGTAATATATATTTCAATCTAATGTTGTTTATGCTAAACATTCATCTGCTGTTTTGTAAATTATTTATCTTTTATTCAAATGGATCCAGCCATCAAATTAGTAACTGAGAAATAGTCTCCTTTGGATTGGTCCTTTGTGACTGTTTGAATAATACCAAAGTGGTTGGATTTATTTTCATAACTTTTATAAACTCAAGATGATATAGAGCTTGATATATAGTATAAACACCTGTCTATTGTTGAAGACTGTATGTTGCCCTCTAGATATTTTTGGGGCTATTTGTTTTGTTGTTTTGCTGTTTTATATTCCTTGTTAATGAATGATCCCAACACATAGCTATAAAGTGTTGATGAGAATTTAAGAAAATTAGAGTTGGTTTAAAAACAATATCAGTTTTTATTTTCAATCTTTACTGCAATCCATCTGTCTTCACTAAATGATATAAGAGGGTCTGGAAAGGAGTACTTCATTTCGCTATCTTTTTTTTTTTGGCCCATTTTTCTCTAAAAAAAATCTGCCCAATTTTCTGTATTCTATAACCCAATGATGAATCCAGACCATCATGGAGGATATCATAAAAAATGTATTAAATTTTAACACTGTTGGTAACAAATGATTGATTTGCTGTAATATGAATACTTACATCAGAAGAAAAACTCTGTGCCAGCCCATAAAATTTGGTCCCTGGTGTGCATTAGCATTAGCTGAAGATCTAGCATGGATATTAGCTAGCAGATCATATTTGTTCAAACTGACTGACTTGAAATAAAAGAAGAAATATTAAAAGGTATTCCCTTGATAAAAATACATGGGGTTGTGTATAAGTTGTAATATTGGATGAAATTATTTTGATATCTCAATTATGGTCTCCAAGTTTTCAATTAGTAACAGTGTTTATAAATAACTAATTCTTTATTCTTTATTACTGTGCACGCTTGGTTCGTCAAAATCAAACTACACCATCATAATATTAACTTTATTGAAACATCGGAAACTCTTCACTAAGAAAATGGCCCAACAACAAATTAATCTAGAATCATAATAAAATATTTGCTTTTACACAATTTGATAAAAAACACTTGTATGTCAAAATTTCTTCTTAAAATATACACTCATACAGTTTTTCGTAGATATAATATAAAATAATAATAAATGTACTAAAGTTTTAAGTAATTAACTTTTTTTAAACTAAAGAAATTAACCCACAAATAAACTCGCGTTCTGAAAGTGGGAGATTGAACCATATTTAAATGACACCAAACATTATCTCTATTCCGTTCTCAATATCTGCTAAAAGTACTATTAAAGAACACGGCCTTTCGTTTCCTTTGTAACATGACGCTTTATAAGGACATTCACGTTGATTAAATATCGAACATGATGTAAATGAATAGATATAATAACTCTTACTGTGTCGTTCTTTAACAGATTAAATGCTAGATTTAAATTTTCTCTTTCTTCTTTAGATAATTGCCTGTACTCCTTTCTTATTCGTATATCACTCTCATTAGGGTGGTATAGCAGTGATCCGAGCCATTCTTGGTCGGCAGACGACAGTGGAATCTCAAACTTGGCAGACTTCGGTTCAGTCAGAATCTCCTTCGTTGCAGAGGCGCCGTTTCGAAATGAGGATGCCGTAGAGTTCACCTCGGTGGCAACGATTTTCTTTTTTCCATTGACCACCGCAGAATGAATGAAAAAACTTTTTGATCGAACGCTGTTCACCAAAAGGCAAATGTATATTGTAATCCACAGAAGCAGTATTCGTGTATCCTTCAAAGAGAGCAAGACGATTAACGGTTGACTATTATGAATGTAATATCGCTATAATTTTTTTTCTAAAATTCCTATTTTATGTATAATGTATATAGCCTCAGGCCAAATATAGACATTTTGCCCTCACTTATTGCTAAGCAGTTCAAACTTCACCAATACTTCTATATTTGCCTTTACAAAAGAAATACGTCAGAAAGGTTTTGGTCGTTTAATTGACTGGCCCCTTTTATTTTAGTTAAAAAAAAAGTTGGAAAGGAAAATTTACCTCGCATATTTTAAACAATAGTCATTTAAAAAATCATTCTATGATTAAACGTGTCTTTACATTTGGAATGGGACTAATTTCTTCAGTATTTATTTCATTTTCAGAGTCAACATCAGAAAATTGTTGAAACCGATTGTAATCTTTATGTAAAAGTGTCGAAAATGCTCTTAAATGGAAGTCTAACAGTTTCAAATATATCAATACAATTCTTTTAAATGGTCCTTATGTGAAATAAATTTAGGGTAGATTGTCACCATCAACACAACAGGCAAATGCAAGATTTATGTTATACATTTCCATCAACGGCTCTTAAATTTGCAAACACCTTTGTTACAGCATATAATCGGCTATCGGTACGGAAGATACAATAAATGGTTTTTCCTATCGTGTACAGCAGATTTTTGTTTAGCTGGCTAACTAAAATTTGTACAGAGGTTGCTGGTGCTAAGGCCTTATCATCTAGTATAAAATTTAGGAGATGTGGTATGATTGCAAATGAGACAACTATCCACCAAAGTTCAAATGAAATGAGTGTAAGCAATTATAGGCAACCGTACGGACTTCTACAATGAGAAAAAAACCCATACCGTGTAGTCGGCTATAAAAGGCCCCTACATGAAAAATATGAAACAATTCAATTGAGAAAACTAACGGTCCCTTAGTTTAACAGTTTATGACAAACAAATATGACGGACACGAATCAACGACAGCCACTGAACTACAGGCTCCAGTTTTGTTCGGGTTAATTTTTTCTATTGTGACCTCCCTTGTATTTATGAATGACACGTCAACAATATCTAGTATGCGAATTTGTTGTAATTGATAGATCGTCGCCTTTCTTGACTTGTTTTTTTTTTTTTTGGTTCCTTTGGCTCATTAGTCGTGCAGTAATTGGAATACTGCAGCAGACAAGACGTGTAGATTTGTTAAATTTTGTCTTTTTCGGAGTATACCGGTACCAAAATATGAACAAAACGGAATAAAGCAGAACAAACCGACAGAATTTCTATATGGTTTCCCTTACACATGGAATCCTGAATCTACCCATGATGAGATGAAGGATCTGTACGCGTAGAGCACCATCTTTAGAAATGTCCTATTCGGAAATAATCAAGTCGTAATAATGAAACAACTGTTTTAAATATAACTTATACTTACCATCTCATTAACTTGTTAACACCAGGAACACTAGTTTTCTTTTCATTTCAAACCCGTTTTCACTTTTCATTATTTGTTGAATTTAAACATAACTATCTGTATTTTAGTAAGTAAATCTACCCATGTTCAAGTTATTGATAGAAATCTGCAAAGTAATAAGGAAGTGCCTCGGGTAGTTATCTGACAAATTTTTCGCGTGACATGAATATTACCATTTTCAAATTTACGCTTTAATGATTTTCACGAAACGTTGATACTTTTTTTCTTATCATTAAAAAGGACAGCAATTGTTGATTAAAGCCCTAATGCCGGATTCACTAAGAAAAGGGGGGGGGGATGTGGACACTTTTACCAATATTCAAAATATAAGTAGTTAGTTTCAGGTGAAATATTAAGGTTGTGTTTAAGGTCTGCTTCCTTGAATTTTACTGACAAATTCTTCTTTTATTCATTTTAATAAAAGTGTCGATATTCTTTTTTCTTTTTTCGAATCATTTATAGAAATTCATACTTTCATCCTAAAAAAGGTAGTTTGAGAAATTGTATAAACTCGTCATAGATACCAGGATTCAAATTGTGTACGCCAGACGCGCATTTCGTCTAAAAAAGACTCATCAGTGCCGTTAGAATAAAAAAAAGTAAAATAAAGATAAATAATATAAGTTGAAGAGCATTGAGGACATAAGATTCCGAAAGGCTTTGCATGCTAAATGCAGCTAAGGTAATATATCCCTGTGATATAATTTATATAACAACCCTTTTCCGTAACAAAATATACTGTTAATAGATAGATTAGAACAATGTACCGAATCATCTAACAACACACTACCATAGATCATGTCATTTTCCGAATTACGGAAATCTACGATTTGTTCATCATACATGTATATGAAATGTATATCCTATATTGTTTCTCATGATACCCTAAATAGTTTTACTTATTACCAGAAACTGTAGTGAAGTTTAAAACACTTAATGACTTAGTGACGTTGGAAGTATTTGGTAAACTCGGAGAAAAGATATTATGTATCAAATCTTTATTCGAATTACGTTTATATCGATAAATTTTAAATTTAAGAGATCAAGGAATGGACTTTAAAGAAACAAAATACTGCTATACTATTCTATATTAGCAGATTAGTTCTACTAACCTATATTTCATGTGTGTTAGTGGCAAATATCGATGTCTTTTTAACCTATAAAATCCAATATTTGATACCAGTATAGTGGTTAGTATGAGTAGGTTAAATTCGTTTTTGAAACAGTACAACAAGTTTTTCACCTTTTTCTCATTTGTTTTTGTTTTTGTTTTTGTTTCTTTATGTACTAGTATATAGTTCTGATGTTTAATCAATTGGATTTCGTGTAGAAATAATATTCCATGACACACAGTTTTTAACAGCTCGATCACTTTTCTTGATATATATTAGTTTAATGTTTAACTAATTGGAATATCGCGTAAAAATAATATTCCATACGTTGACAAACAGTTTTTAGCAACTCAGCTCCCCACCCCCTCCCCTTTCTTGATCTGTTCCATGTTTTATTAATTGAGATTTCGCGTAAAAGTAATATTGCATACGTTGACAACAGTGTTCAATAAATCAGTCTCCCATGAATCAGTCTCCCGTTTTATTTTTCTTGATCTATGTTTAGTTAAATTATTAATTTTATTTTGATTCGGGGTGAACATGAAATTCCTTACGTTGGCAAGCAGATTTCACTTGTCTTCGGTATTTGCGAAATTCAAGTACTAGTATTTAGTTTGAATGAACTTCGTTTCTAAGACCCAAGAGTGGTCGATCAATTTTTATATATGCCCTACATATTGATGTGATACACATTTATTGTTACACGTCTGACCCAGAAACCTACATCGTTTTGTTCTATAAAGAGAATCTGTTTAAGTTTTGTTTAATATTATATGAAAAGTTCAAAATTATTCATACTATTATTAAAGTAATTCATACTATGCAACAAATGTATAACAATTATATTTAAATAAAACATGTTAAAAGTATTGTCTTAATTAAGAAATGGTAATTCCAACCTTTCTCTTTTCATCCAATGAGTCCTTATTCTTGTTTCAATTTTTTGGGGGAGGGAGGGGGGTGCGTTAATCACCAATTCGCTAATTAATAGTTTGACGGAAAATGATTCTTTATTTTTGCTTCACTGAAATTCTGTACGGTTGATCTGGACATTGCACAAGAACGTGTCTTTTTGCGTTGATACTGTTTAAAATACTCTATGTAATACAGCAATCGATAAGTTATTAGAACGACATGACTACATATTAGCAGGAAAAGTAATAAAACCGTGCTTTCATTAACTAAAATATACTTTAGTCTTAGATGCATGATTTAGATGCATGATTTTTTTATTAGTTGTTAGTGGCTTTGAACTAGCTGTCAGTAACTGCGAGTACTCTCAAATCTGTACTAAGTGTCTTTTTGTTTTTTGGATGTACAAGTACCCGGCCACGTCCACTTGTATTTGTAGTATTTTGTATTTTTATCCATCTGACGAGTTAAGCCTCTTTCAACTGATGTTTATAGTTCGTTCTTATGTTGTACTGTTACACCACTGTCCCATGTTAGGGGGGGGGGGGGGGATCCTGCTAACATGTTAAACCCCGCCACATTCTGTATGTATGTGCCTGTCCCAAGTCAGGAGCCTGTAATTCAGTGGTTGTTGTTTGTTTATGTGTTACATATTTGTTGTTCGTTCATTTTTTGTACATAAATTAGGCCGTTAGTTTTCTCGTTTGAATTGTTTAACATTGTCATTTCGGGGCCTTTTATAGCTGACTATGCGCCGGTATGGGCTTTGCTCATTGTTGAAGGCCGTACGGTGACCTATAGTTGTTAATTTCTGTGTCATTTGGTCTATTGTGGAGAATTGTCTCATTGGCAATCATACCACATCTTCTTTTTTATATTTAATTCAATATTATATTGCTGTTTTGTCAGTTTTTGTGTGTTCTTGTGTTGTTTGTTACCATCGGTCAGGAACATCGTCATTGTTTTTTCCCCTGATATTCATATTCTAATGGTTTTATTATTAACAGTGATTTGGAGAATGTTGTGTTGATGGAAGATTTTTTCTGTTTAATTTATTCACAACCTTTATAGACTTGGGATGATTTAGAGCTATGGTTATTGTATAGACATACACCTGTCTATTGTTGAAGGTGTCAAATGATTTTATTCACAACTATTTCAATAACAAAGTATTTGCGAGATTTGAAAACAGTCGAATTCAATGCTAGTCGTTGGTTCATATCTGTCATAATTGTTTTTCCACTACGTTTTTTGTTATAAATAAGGCAGTTTGTTTTCTCGTTTCTCATTTTGTCATGTCGGAGCTATTTATAGTTGACTATACGATATTGGTTTTGAACATTATTGAATGCCGTACGATGGCCAATAATTGCTTACATCCACGTCGTTCGGACTATGCCGTATGGTGGATAGTTGTCCCATTAGCAATCATACCACAGAGCAAAACTTGGTTACACAAGTTCACAAATTATGTTCCATTGGTACATCAACGATACAACACTTGATAGTGCTGTTGTTGTTACTGTTGCTGAATAGTAGTAGGTACCGTGTGTCTTTTGTCTTTTTGTTATTTGAATTGTGTGCGTATAACGTTCACAAACTTGTTTAACCCTGCATGCTCATTATTTGTGTGCCTGTCTCAAGTCAAGAGCCTGTAATTCAGTGGTTGTCTTTATATATATATTATTAGTTGCTATCTGCCATATTTGTTTTTCGTTGATAGTTTCTTACATAAATCAGGCCGCTGGTTTTCTTCTTTGAACTGATTCACATTTTGTCATGCCGGGGCCTATTATACTGTATGGATTTTGCTCTATGTTCAAAGTCGTATGAGACCTATGTATAGTTGTTTATGTCCTCGTCCTTTGGTCTCTGGTTGATATATAGTTGTCTCATAGGCAATTATACCACATGTCCATATTTTTATATCAGAAGTTGGTTCATGTTTTTCACCGACATCTTCAAAAATAAAACCCAGCAGCTAAACCGGAGAGTTGTGGCTACTTATATGCTTTGATTAATTAGAGCTGCCGCTGAAAACGTGTGATAAGTTTATAGAAGGGTCACATATAAGGATTTGTAACAGCCCAACTACCCGTAACCGGCCATTTTAAGAATTGTTGCAAGGGTATTTTATTTTGCAGAAAGCGCGGGATTGGTCCAAACTAGAGTATCGTATCCCCATTACAATCAAAATGACCCATCATCAGCACGGGGAAAGTCCTTGTGGCTATATTGGTATACCCCATTCACCCGCGATAGAAATAATCATTATACTTATGTATAATTTTAAAAATTCATGCAAAGAAAAATTCACTATTCGCGAGAATCGGGCTTAAATTGAAAATTGATGGGTTTCAGCGCCGTTCATTTTCTAATCCTGTTTCTATAAAAGAAATAAAAGGAGATGTGGTATTATTGCCAATGAGACAACTTCCCACCAAAATTCAATTGAAGTAGATGTAAGCAATTATAGGCAACCGTACGGCCTGCAACAATGAGAAAAACCCATACCATATGGTCGGCTATAAATGCTCCCGAAAATATGAAACAAATCAATTGAGAAAACTAACGGCCTAATTTATAACAAAATAATTTACGAAAAACAACGACAACGGGTTAAACATTTTTGCTAGCACCAAACCCTTCCCATAACGTGGGACAGTAGTGTAACAGTACAACATTAAACCAGACTATACAAATCAGTTGAAAAGTGCTTAACTCATTAGATCGATACAAAGCAGAAAAAAACATCTAATAAAAATCTTTCTCTTTTCTATGATGTATGAAGAATTCAGTAGTTTGTATCAATTTGGCAGATGTATTGAATTTTCACGTTTTTATTCACGAGGATTTTCAGTTACATAAAAGAGATGAGTGACCTGTCTACAGGCGAGACTTGTCAAAATGACATGACAACAATTAAATCACTTTGCCGGACAATGGACAAGCTTAATGTGTTTCATATTGTCTTGTCAACCGAGGTTGAAGATGTAGAATACCTTTCTCTTTTCAAGTGTTAGATTTCAGTCAATATAAAAAAAAAATAAAGCAATCAAGCCACGAAGCAGATAAAAGCATATAATTTTGTTTCATTCAACTGGGAATAAAATCCGCATTATTCAATTGTTTCCTATTTAAGTTTGTCGCCTCGGTATAGTACAGTGTGTGAAAATATCATTCCGTTTAATGTGTTTGTGTCTTAAACAAAAAAGAATTAATGTAGGGAAACTAATGTAAAATTTCTTTTGTGCGATATGCGAAATAAACTATTTGAAATTTGAAACTACATGGTCAACTGATGACTATTATAAAGACCGTGACATTTAACACTGGACAGATACAAATATGTCATTTTTATGGAAAGAATGTCGGTTCTAAAATGTTTTACACAAATCAAACTTAAACAACCGTAACGCCCATCATTTGCTACGAGATGTCACTCAAAGTTATGTAAGACTATCCGAGTATTTATTTGCGTCTGACCTAGAGGATTCAGTGCATGTGTACATTTTAAACACAACCAACAAGAAGTGATTTTATATATCACTTAAAGATATGTATACTCAATACATATACTTAGGAACCTCAGTGTACACTCCACTTTTATTGGTTTCATCGTTTCTCCTGGTATGGATCATTTATCTAACAAGAAGAGATGAGAGAAAATGCTCTGATGCCCCGGGTCCAATGGCGTGGCCAGTGCTCGGAAATCTTCCAAGTCTCGGGAAGAAACCTCACATATATTTGACAGAGCTCAGGAAAAAATATGGTGACGTTTATCAGATCATGATGGGAAGTAGACCGACTATTGTCATAAACGGACTTTCTGCAATCAGAAAGGCGACCGTTAAACAAGCGGAAGAATTTGCCGGGAGACCAGACTTTTATACATTTAAATTTCTTGCAAACGGGAAAAGTATGGGATTTAGTGATTATGGACCAAGATGGAAACTGCACAGAAAAATTGCACAGAACAGTCTATCGTCTTTCACAAATAAGAGGAACAGTCCAATCGAACAGGCCATTATTTCCGAAGCCGAACTCTTAACAAAGAATATGCTATCATCCGAAGGAAAACCTATAAATCCACACAATGAAATCTATCTTTCCGTTGGAAACATTATTTGTGCACTTTGTTTTGGTAAAAGATATCAGAGAGACGATGAAGATTTTGTATTTTTAGTGAAAATGAACGACAAATTCATGGCAACAATGGGTGCAGGTAATCCCGTAGACATTATGCCGTGGATGCGCCATTTTACAAAACGATCTTTCAATACATTCCTTGGTATACTAAAAACTATGGATAATTTTAGTTTGAAAAAGAGACAAGAACATCTTGATACTTATAACCCAGCCAATCTTCGCGATGTTACGGATGCATTAATCCGGGCTACGGAAGAAATACCGGAAGAGGCAAAATCCGCCGTGGGACTAACAGATGAACATATACTTTTAACGGTCCAAGAACTAATTGGTGCTGGTTTTGACACCATTGCTAGTACGCTACAATGGAGTGTGCTATTTATGGTAACTCATCCAGACATTCAAGAAAAAGTTCATCAGGAAATTCGAGCGTATGTTGGGATGGACCGATATCCCGAATTCGAGGATCTCGAACATCTTCCGTTCACAGAATGTACGATAATAGAAACCATGCGACACTCTTGTATATTCCCGTTTGCTCTCCCACATAGCACAACTAAAGACACTGTTTTGAACGACTATTTTATACCAGAAAATACTTTAATTTTCCTAAACCTCTGGTCCGTTAATCATGACCCAAAGGTGTTTCCAGAGCCACAGAAATTCAATCCGTACAGATTTCTAGGTGAAAACAAGAAGTCTGTGAACAAAGTTGATTTGTTCTTACCGTTCGGCGCTGGAAGAAGAAAATGTCCTGGTGAACAGTTAGCTCATATGGAACTTTTCATATTTTTTGCCACAATGTTACAACGTTGCAAATTCTCCGTAGTCCCGGGCAAAGTTCCCGTTATTGACAGTAAATATGGACTAACATTAAAACCGTTGGATTTTGATGTACTTGTTGATCACAGATAAGTAACTTTCAGACTTGCAACAGTATTATACCTTTTAAAAATTATTATAGATATAAATAAATTTAAAAAAAAACAAACAGACATTTTCGTAGAAGTTATGATTCTTCCTTTTAATGAATAAATTATATTGTGCTAAAATGAAATATGAAGTGATCTTTCCACTCTTATCGTAACACCGCCCCTTTAAAGGGGCACTAGCTACGAGATATATAAAAAATTTGAAATAGGATTTCATTTGTTCAATCATTAATGAAAGTGAAACAGTGAAATAATAATTCGCTTTTAGCAGCAAGTATTGTTCAATTTTGACAAAATAAGCTAAGAAACATTGAAGATTGATTATTCACTTGCAAGTGAATAGTTCTACCTCATTGAATATCCGTATTAATGTGAACTTCAATTTAACCCCTTAGCTAGAGATGGATGACGCACGAATCGTGCGTCGTCAGTCATTTAAAGGAAAAGAATGTCAACATTGAAAGTGAAACAAAGGTAAATCATTTGATTGACTGATTCGATTGACAAAAAAATCATTCTTATACAGGTAAAAACGATGATTAACATATATTTTTAATCTATAATATGAAATTAAATAGACCTAGAAAAATCCAATTGCACGAGTTCGCTTAATCTAGTTATATTTATATTTATGTTTATATACCTTATATGGCCATCGGAGGTTTTCGGAGATCAACTCGATAGTTAATTAGATTGCGTCTAGACTAAAATACACACGCAACGAAGCTACATATTATCGAGCCCATGCTCTGTAAATTGTTTATTTAGACTTTTAATAATTTGGATAAATGTTTTACATTGTTAAAAATCAAATATGAGAATTTGAGTCAAATCGGTGCACATGAATTTGACAACTAGTGCCCCTTTAACGGGTGGCAGGTTTACTTGTTATAACTGTATATCTTCCCATTGTCCAAATGCATTTGAAAACATGTCAGATGTGCTAAATAATTAATACTAGTACTCATAATTATTAATCATGATACAAATTTTGATTGATTTATACCTTGCATTTTAAAGAACACTTGTGGAGAGCAGCAAAAGGCGCATATTGTTACATGCATCAGAAACCGTATTTTTTCTCTGTGAATGCATGTGCATATGTGATAGTCTCCAAAGGAATCGATATATCTTTGTCATCACACTGATTAGGAAATAAGGGGGAGGTTTAAGTACTAAAACATATTTAACCACGCCACCCACATGTTAATGGGCAGATCTTATATCGGGAACTTGTCAGGATAGAAATGAGTAGACGTAGTTCGATTACCAGTTAGTTCCTTTCTGGCAACTACAGGTCACCTCTATGATTGACATTGAGCAAAACCCACACCGTAATGTTTGCCGTTAATTTTATCTATAGGTGTTTTCTCGTGTCAAAAATTTTGTGTTGTTTCCAGACAATTGGAAGTGTCTTAAATTTATTGAAAACATAACAGACTCGGGGCGATTAGAGCTTAGGTACACATCTATTGTAGAAGATCGTACGTTGACCCATAGATACACGTTTTTTCTTTGTGTTTTGTGTGTGGTCGGTATATTATTTCATTGGTGAAAACCTCAAAATTAATATCATTTTATTCATAAATGCAGTTCACCGCATGGTCTTCGGTGTGAAGGATCCATGTTGTCGATTATGAGATTATATGAACGAAACCGAAAACACACGCATATATAATATAAACAAATAGCAACAAATCAGCAAAAGTAAGTAAAAACGACAGAAAATCGCGAGTCTTCTTATACAAGATGATTTTAAACTTTAGTGTTTTGCATACCATATTTAAAACTATAATAGATGGACTTAAAATTTGAAAAGCAACACAGAATATATAAAGAAGTCAAATAAATGAAATCGACAATCGATACTAACAGAAGTTGTTGCTCCAAAAGAAGAAAATTAACCCAGGTTTTAAAAGATCAGCAAACAAAGAGGGGGTCTGGAAGATTTTAAAGGGATAAGAGGGGCATTCGAAGCTCTTAAGTTGAGAGATACTAGCAACGCTATGACAAAAATACAAAGGACGACGAAAAGACAAACAATTACACAAAACACCACACAGAAAACTGTGGAAAGCCTCATCTGCCATATATTAAGTTAAGACAGCGTGATGATGAACCAAGTCATCCAAATGCTAACTTTAAATTACATTAAGGTAAGTTGAATCTGTGTTATTTTGATCTGCTATTTGTTTCCCCGAAACAAAACAAACAGAATGTGGACTAATCTAAAGAAAAATCGGATGTCTTCCGCCATCTTTGATCGCCAGATTTTTCAATGATATACAAATATTAAGAGAGGAATGTAATTCCTGTGAAAAACTTTTCATTCTAATGAAGAAAATTATGTGTTTTATCTTATTATAACGACTATTTCTTTGTAAATGTAGAACAAATTTTGTATAATCCTTTTTTTCAACTTTGACATATAAAGGGAGATAACTCAGATAATCTAACTTTTATGAGGGAATGTGTAGGGGACCGTATCAAAGTCTGAAGACGTAGATAATAACCTGTATAAATGATCGAAAATTTTCGAGACGTTTCGAGAATCTTGTTTCCGATGATATCTGAATGGCCCATAGAACCTACCAAAAACTCACCAATATATAGGCGTGAACTCCCTGAGTTCGTGCACTAAAGAGATGTGGTATGATTGCCAATGAGGCAAATGTCAATTAACTTTTATTAAGGTGAAATATACGTAATTGCACGCTTTTATCAGAATTCGGGATACAAACGTGCGACGTCAGTTGAGGGTGGCAAAGGGTTATTTTCGTGCAACGTGTTTTGCCATTTTTATTTCACGTGCAGCTGTGAAAAAGGTTCGTTATTCACCGTGTTTCGTGAAATCGGTAAAAAGATCAACGTGCAAGAAATTTTTTAACTGTTCGTTCATCGTGAAATGGCAATTTTATTTCGCGTTCTTCCGTGCAGATAACCCCCTCCAATTACGCCCCTCTTAGTTACGCGAGTTATACACCTTACTCTTAAGAAAGGAAAAATGGGCACACAATCAATAAATGACTTCGTGTGGTATATCATGAGTCTAAACAAGGATGCCTGTGCTATCTCAAATCTTCAAAGAAATGATCATATGACTCCATTCAAACACCAGATGATCTTTTTGTTAGTTTAACCTCTGTTACAGTTTCAGATTAGTTTAACCTCTGTTACAGTTTCAGATTAGTTTAACCTCTGTTACAGTTTCAGATTAGTTTAACCTCTGTTACAGTTTCAGACACTCCAGAAACGGTAAAAAATACAACTTGTGTTTATATCATCAGAAAATGATAACGTTTCATAACAAAAATTTAACCCAATAAAAAAACAAACCTGTGAAATTCTGCTTTTATTGGTACCAAATTTGCTATAATCGTACCAGTATTGACCCCCGGATTTTTTTTTCTTTCAAAACCGTTGTTTTATATGACATGCATACAGTAGCATACAATTGTAGGTGACGAATAAGATGATAATATGTGTATTTATCTAGAAAGACGTTGGCATGTTCGTTTTTATATCAACACAAAGCTGAGAATTCGGTATATATAAATGCAATATAAAATTTTAGCACATATTTTACATCTGTATAAAAAGTAAGAAGATACTAAGGGGTAATCGAACCGTTGTGCAAAATTTACAAGTTTTAGAGAACAAAGACGACAAAAAAGAACCTTTTCTTTTTTTTAGCTTTTTAGAGATTTATTTTTCTTAATTTAGAAACCAATTTATCAATTTTCTAAAAACACAAGAATAATACCAAATTCAACATACTCTTCTTTATCGTCAATGTCAAAATGTTACAACAAGTATTATACTAAATGCAAACCATTTTCATTATAGGCACACTTCATATAGCACTACACGTCTAGGTTAACTCGTATAGCATTACAATATAAACAGTCTCCTTGCATTTACACTACTAGAACACACCCGCGAAATCGCGGGTATTTAGAGCTTGGTTGAAAGTATGTAAACTGTTATAGGGTGAATTTTTGTAAAAGATTTTATATCTGGAGAAATTCAGAAAAGGTATCAAACTGAGTCATAGGCACTTGGAAACAGGACAATTATTTTAAGCCATCTCCCTTTTTTTCAAAGTTCGTTATTTTTTTTGCTCTCTGTTAAATTGCATGATTTCGCGTTTCTGTATACTATGAACAAAGATCTACATATAATATAAATAAAGTGTATTTGCTATTAACTATCAATTCCATCCACGGCGATCACTGCTATATTATATAGAGAGTCTCTATATATTATAGGATTATAATCATAGTATAGTACATGCAGAATAACGCGAAAATAATTGTCCTGTCCCCGAGTAATTATGAAAATTATGTTTAAAGAGGGGAGAAAAGGGAGGTATCTGCACGAAAGAACGCGAAATAAAATTGCCATTTCACGATAAGCGAACAATTAAAAAATTCTTGCACGTTGATCTTTTTATCGATTTCAAGAAACACTGTGAATAACGAACCTTTTTCACGGCTGCACGTGAAATAAAAAGTGACAAAACACATTGCTCGAAAAAAAACCTTAACCCCCTCTTTTAAGCTTAAATCGGAAGTCTTGGGTGCTAAAGAAAAAAAGAATACTTCGAAAAGCACAAAGACAAGCTTATGCCTCTCAGAGAGAATCAACAGCGGGAAAAATTATGAAAGCTTCAAATGCAGACACAAAACTTTTTTACAATCTTATTAACATGCAAAGAAAAACACCACTTACTAACACCAAGATACTGAAACTGAATGAAAAGACTGCAGAAGATGGACCAAACATAATGAACATTTGGCAAGAACATTTCCAACAACTAGCTACGCCAACATTAGAGAAAAATTTTGACACTGAAATGCTAGAGCTTGTAGAAATACAAAACAATATAATAGAATCCATAGAAAGGGAAAAAGGTCAAGGCATTGATCATGTCAATGTAAAGGAGGTTAATAAAGCTATAGAAAATCTTAAAGCAGGAAAAGCACCGGATGAGGATGGAATTTCGGCAGAACACTACAAATATGGGATGGATGAGTTAACTCCCTTTA